TGTCACAGGGAGCACTGGTCACAGGAACTCTAGATGTCCCCGGTCAGAAGGTGGGTCTCCACCAGGGCCCAGTCGCAAACTGAGAGCTGCTTCTGCAAAGAACAGGTACCTGCTTCAAAGCCCTAATGGCCTGTTTCCGCCAGTGTGATTGCTGTAGGGAGCCCCTACACCGGCCCCCAGGCCCCCCCCCTGCTGCCCACGCCCTCCTGTAACCCCGCTCCCTTGGGTAGGAGCTGGGCTACCGTCTGGCTTCCAGTTAACGGGATACAGCAAAAATGATGGGCTGTCTCTTCTGAGGTTAGGGTATAAAAAGACCATGGCTTCACGCTGCGGGCTCTCTCTGCGTGCCTCCCCACACCGAGTAAACCAAAGCTCATTGCCGTGTTGTGAGAAGCCCCCCGCTCATCAGCCTCGGGGGAACGGAAGCCGCCAACAGCCCAAAGCCAGATTGGAGGTGGAGCCTTCGCCCCCATTCAGGGCTGGGGATGACCGTGCCCGCCCACCCAGTGGCTTGGCTGGAATGCAGCCTCCTGGGATCCAGAGCCAGAACCACCCCGCTAAGCCCGTATTCCTGACCAACAGAAAGTGTTTAAAGATAAATGTGTTGTTTTAAGCTGCTAAGTTTTAAAGCCATCTGTGACACAGCAAGGGGTAACATAATGGCCCCGCGTGGACTCACGGCTTTCTACACAACGTTGCTTCTGCCCCAGGAACCCATCCATTCCCCGACTGCAGACGTGCACCGCGAGTTCATGCCTGCGGTTCCCTGGCCCAGCCAGGTGCACCGTCCCCCGGGAGCGGCAGGGCTGACGCGCAGCCGACTGAGGCTTCGGTTGCAGCACCTTTGGGAGACGCTAAAAGCGTGGGGCGCTGTTGTTTTATGGGATGTGCAATCCTTGGGAGCAGAGACTACCAGGGCCCTCACCCTCCACAGCCAGACTGTGCGGGTCCGGGCGGGGTGGGGGCGGCCCCCCCAGTTTGTTTCCCATCCCTGCAACTTTGAGTTAATTCCCTACGGGGGAGAACTTCCGCTAGAGGCCCTGACAAAGGCTCCGTGATGGAGGACGAGGCTGGCACTGGCCACGACGAGGCTGGCACTGGCCACGCCGAGTCTTCATGCTGTTGAAGTAACGAACAGGGGTCACTGAATCTGGTGGGAATTGCTCCCGGTGACAAAGGGCGGCCGAGCGGTGCCGCAACAATGGGGCAGGGAGGTCTGTGCGCGGAGCCCGCAGCATCCCGAGGAGCCTCTGAGCGCTCTTGGCCCCAGTGGGAGAGGCGAAGGTGGAACCACAGCCGCACGGTGAAGACAGCCCACGAGGAGGGGACCCCGTGGGAGCGAGGGCTGGGGGGGCAGAGGGAACGGAGTGGACAGCTGCTCTGGGCACACTGCCTCCTGGCGTGATATGTGCCTATCGGTATCTATGTAGCCAATCCCGCCCCTCCCCCTTTATTTTATATAAGGATTGTTCTTGGTGAATGACTTTACAATTTAGTCCCTATGCTACAGAATACTCAGCGGGGACTGAGGGAGACAGGAACGTCACCCGGAGGTGGCGATGTGACCGCTGGGACTTCGGGCCACTCTTGTGAAGAAGAGGATGAAAATATCCTTGTCTGTAAGGACAGCCGTATTTGGTCAGGCAAGAGAAAAAAGATGGTAGTCACTGCTGCGGTCGGGAACACGGAATGAACGCCGAAGCACCCGAAGAGTCCACTCGTCCCTTCCACCGGGCGCCCACTGCCTCCAGCTCCGAGCGCCCCTCTCCAAACTCCCTTCTGTGATGTCTGGGTGTGGAGGTTATCATTTCCAGGCTCCCGTGGCTTTGGGCCAGGCTCCGCAAGGGGAAGCTCGGCGGGCGGTTGGAAAGAGGAAGAAGAAAGGGCTCTTCCTGCTTCCAGTTCCCGTTGGGGCTACTCCAGCCGCTATGGTGGCGGCGGCGTCTGTCACCTGGCCCCGCACACACCCTGCTCTGCTCCCTTTTGTGCCCACAGAAGGAATGTCGGCCCCCCTGTGCTCATCTGTTGGGCCACGGCACTTGAAACATCCAAGTACCTGCCAGGCTGCATCCCCGCCCTGAGGAGCCGGAGTACCAGCTGCACCGGCCCGCGGTCTGATCACCAGGGGAAGACCCTTGTCGAGGGACCGGAGCATCCGTCCCTGAGAAGCCCTCCTTCCAACTCCGATTCCAGCGGCATCCCTTGCATTAGTCAGGGCTCTCCAGAGAAACAGGACCAACAGGAAATGCACATGTATGTTGAGAAACCCACTATACACACTGAGATGGTTTTATTACAGTTACCATCCGCTGTGGTCACAGGGCTGGGAAGTCCCACGGCCTGCCCTCTGCAAGCTGGGCCCAGGGGGCCAGCGGTGTCCTTCGCAGGCCTGAGCCCGAGGGCCGAGGGTGTAGGTTCCAGCCTGGGTCCGAGGGCTTGGAAACCAGGTGCAAGGAGGGCCAGGGGACAACGAGGCCCCGGGCCAGCCTCGGGCAGGAGGGGACTCAGCCCCCCTCCACTACGGGCCCTATCTGCACCCTCCACAGACTTGGCGAGGCCCATGCCCACTGGGGAGACCGGCTGCTGGGCTCAGCGCACCGGCTCAGAGGCTCGCCTCTTCCCGAGACCCCTCACGGACGCACGGAGAAATGCCCTCAACCAGGTGCGTGGGCCTCCACGTTTTTCACCATGCATTTCAAGGAACAGCAGAGGATCTCACTTCAAAGCTGTAAGTGCAGGCAGACCTCACAGACGTGGCGGGTTGGTTCAGACCATCGCAGCAAAGCGAGCCACACGAAGGTTTTGGTTTTCCTAGTGCATGCAAAAGGCACATTCGCACTATACTGCAGTCTATTAATTGCGCAATAGCAGTATGTCTAAAGAAATGCATCTAAGTTAAGTTGAAAATACTTCAGTGCTAAAAAATTCTGACCATCATCGGAGCCTTCGGTGAGTCGTAATGTTTTTGCTGGTAGAGGGTCTCGCCTTCAATTTGTGGAAAACTGTAGTGTCTGCAAAGCGCAAGAGAACAGGTGTGCCAGGGCTGTGTTGTCAAGTAAAACGTCCCGTTCACTGGGGTCTACGCACCGCGGCTTTCGGATACCCACCAGCTCCACTGAAAACGTACGTCTCCATCACCTAATTTTTATATCTTTATGCTTAAAAGTTCACCACGCCATTTTTCTCTGCAATAAAAATTTGCACATTAATTTGCATTAGGTTATAATTTTCAGGGAACAGAAGACTCAGTTAAAATGTTGAAAATTTCTCCTGGCTTGGTTAATTATAATTAGCTTTACTATACAATTGAGAATAAATATACTTTAAAAAATATTCTTAAATATAAAAGTAAAATTTTATAGAAATGTATCTCAGTGAGCTGGACGCTCTTCAAAAAATTAGATGTATCTATGGATGATTCTTGTCAGTTACTGGGATGAGACAGCACAATGGAAACCAAGAGCTAAAAGGCTGTCAAGCACATGCGGGGCTTTACAATATATATTAATAATTGTCATGTGCGTGATTTACAGAGTATTAGTGATAGAGGCTATAGAAGTAACAACACTCACATGGAAGGGATGAGTAAGAGCAAAGAAATAATTCATAATCCCTACCGAGCAGTCGATTCCCAAAGTTTAAAAAAAGACTTAAACTGTCTCGTAAGCTTCTGGCAAACTAATGAAAACATTTCTCCAAATAACCAGAAAAATAAGTTTTATTTAAAGATGTGATGTTGATCTGTGGAAAGGAAACATGGAAGCTTTCACCTCCGACTTAAATCACGCCAATATAGAAGATGCAGTTTTATACCCTGGTTGAGAGACTTATTTCAAATCGTCCCTTTAATTGATGCCTTGGAGATTTTATTATTCTTCAGGGGAGTGCGCCCTTGTAAAAATAAAACGGGGAAAAAATTAACTTCTCCTCTGTAAAGAGGAAGAGTGGTGATTGTGCAAGAGAAGTTCAACAGGACAATCTGCGAAGCCCTATCTGGGCTGCAGGCAGCTCAGCTTTAGGAGGAAGCATCTTAAGTTAGGTAGGAAATGTTGGAAACAAAGTCTCTAAATGCTACCCGCCCCTGCAGACCTGAAATTCATGCGGGGGAGGGGGGGCGCCGTGGGGGCACATTGTGTGAAACAAGTGAAATGAATGTTCCTGCTTGAAGGCCGTGGGTTAAGGAAGACTCTCAAAAGCCCCTGTACATAGGCTTGAATCAACAGAGTTAGTTGCATTAGATGGTCTTAAAATAATAGAAGAAAGAAACATGTTGAAACAAAATTTGAGCCATAGAAGTAAGAATAGCAATAGAATTTTGTTTAGGGAAAAGAGAAGTTCCAGTCACTTCTGGGACTTACCAAGAAATTCTTCACAGTAGCTGCACCCGCATGTTTCCCTAAACTGAGGCTGAACAGGAGGGACGGGCCCAAACCCAGATTAACCACGAACTCCGCATGTTCACTGCGGACCTTGACGCCCTCTCTCCCAAGTCCCCAGACTCCGTATTCCAGCGACCGCTGGTGGCATAGCCTGTCGGAAGCTGCCTGGATCACGTGAGCCTCAAGACCCCAAGTTTATCACAACCCCCCCTAAAAACTATCCTAAAAGTGTAGTCCTCCTCTAACATAGAGATATATTTCATATCTCTTTTGTGAGAAACAACATACGAAATTTATCTATGGTGTGAAAATATAAATAGCAAGCAATACTGTCACCCTCACCTTCAAAGCAAAGTGAACCTAACCGTGCAAGTCACAGAGGTCACAGGCCAGAGTCACGGTTACGCACACGGGGTCATCTTTTTCATTCCACTGTCCTACACGGACTCGCTCAGCACTTTCTAAGTGTGTGGCGATACCGCCCTCTGGACCCCCGCCCGGGACTGCCATCACGGGTGGAGTGCGGGGCAGAACCAAGGGTGAAGGAGCTCCTCAGCGGAGGACAGCTCAGCTCTTTCAGCTCACGCACCAAACCAGCTTCGCGGGCGTCACGGCCGCACGGCCCCAGGACGGGAAGTAATCCCGGTGGGGACGGCCCGGGGTACGACAGCGCAGGCGAGGGAAGGCGCCCTCCGTTCTAAAGGCGCTCGACGATCTCAGACTACAACCAACCCGAAGAAACACAGCTGGGGCTGAACTTCTGCAGCTCTCCTGGTTTGGCTTTCCCAACGTGTTCCCCAGATTCAAAACCGATATTGACCAAGTGCCCAACAAGAAAGAAGGTGCGTGGAGTTAGAATGAGAAAATGCCCACTCAGTCAATCATCGGCACAGCGAGGCCGGTGCAGGAGGTCGCCTCGTAATGGTCACCCGAGACTCCAGGGAAGAGATCCAAGCTGCCCAGGAATCGCAGCCAGCGCACCCTTCCTGACGTAATTTATTACGTAAAAAAGAAAAGCACACTTCAGGGGAAAGAACACATGTCAACACTTCCATGCTGGAATCGGCTGCCGTCGGACATGTCTGCTGACTCATCCATCGTCCTGCCAGATCGCGGGAGACGTTCAAAGGGCGAGGGCTCTGACGGGGCGCCCTCAGCACACCGAGGGCACCCTGCACCCCGCCTCCGAGTTGGAGCCAGGCTCTTGAACAAGTCGCTTCTTACTCGTCGCCTTGCAGTACTTGTTGAAATGAGTGAGTGCCACCGATCACTGAGGTGCCTTAAGAGCCCAGTACCCTATAGATTTGGATTTGTCATCCCGATTCCTTGGCACTCAATAATATAGGTGTCTTTAGAAGCATCTTCCTCATCTTCTGATTTCTTCACAGTAAATTTAGCCTGAAACCAGGAAAGTACTTAGCGTATAAATACAGTAGGGATGGCAACAGAGGGAAGAGCCCATAATTCCAGCTTCAACAGGCTGGGGGTTAATATCAAACTCCTTTTATTGAGGCAGCTGGAGGCAGAAAGAGCAAACGGGTCACAAGAAATTCTGCAGCCTACACATCAAATAGTTTGTTTCTGAGCCGTGGCTCTTACAGAGGCTCACAAACCTGTGGAGTTTGGTGGAAACAAGCAGCCTTGTCCCACTCCAAACCCCTGAACCAGAACCCCCAGGAGCGTAGGGCAGGCAAATAATCGATTTTTAAATCTCACTTATTTAATGGTAATGCCCCCCACTACCTACCTCCTAAAATTTTTCTAAAACATGGTACCCAAGCATTTGTACTTCTTCTATCTTGTCAGGCATCAAGTTACCTAGTGTGCAATTACTTTTATGATTTTTAAACATGCTTAAGGTCAGCCCCTTCCTTCATAAAGTTGAGTTATACATTTTATATTACAAAATTACATTATAAAGGCTGTAGTAAATGGAAATACGCTACACGTTACTGAAAAAGGCAAGAAATGAAGCTGTGTGCATTAGCTGTAGAAAATGCAGAGGAACAATTTTAAGAGTGGAGAAAAAAACTTAAATGTCAACAGCAGTTTTGCTAGCAAAGGGAATTACGGGCCGCTGTCTTCTCTATTTCCCAAATTTTCTATGAAGAAATCCTACTGATTTCAGAGTTAAGAGGACTGGGAAATGTTAGACGATCAGCTAATATTCTACCCTACCCATAAAATCGTAAGAAAGTAAAATATTTAAAATCCTAGCTCTGCCCCTGGGACACCAAGCAGTCTTAGCAGTTGCTTTCCTCCCTCTGCCTCACTTGACTCCCATGTGAAACGGGAGTAATAACAGGCGCCTACAGTGGTCACGACTCGGTGACGCGGCCGAGTTAGCTCCACACAGGGAGTATCAGCGGGGGGCAGCGATTATGACCGCTCTCAGGTTTCTGTCTGTTCAAACTGGACCCAAAATTGGCTACAATAAAAATCAGTTACTCCTTTTTGAGGGAACGCTCACCTTTGCTAGTTGTTCAGCGAAATGAATAGCCGTTTGTGTGTGGAGCGTAACCGGCCCTGTTTTTATTCTGGAAATTCCATTGGCTAAGGCCATGAAAATGATCAGCTGTTGAAAAAAGAAGAAGAAACATCTCACAGTCACTAATACTTGGAGTTAAAATTCTATTGCTTGCCATATAAGAACACTAGAAATCAAAATAGCTCAAAGAATTTCTATTTCTTTCAGTTTCCAGGAGTCCTAAGAAGATTTCAGACTACCTGTGCCACCCAAAGTCTGTAGTGTTGCAGAGAAACACTGAATAGTCCTCAATACAGATTTTTTAAAATTAATGTTTAAGGCCTTGGCTGGTGTGGCTCAGTGGATTGAGTGCTGGCCTGCAAACCAAAGGGTTGTGGGTTTGATTCCCAGTCAGGGCACATGCCTGGGTTGTGGTCCAGGTCCCCAGTAGAGGGCGCAAGAGAGGCAACCACACATTGATGTTTCTCTCCCTCTCTTTCCCCTTCCCCTGTCTCTAAAGATAAATAAAATCTTTTAAAAAATAAATAAGTAAAATAAAATTAATGTTTAAGAATAAAACAGAGTTAAAGTAAACATATTTAATCAAACCAACTACCTGTACAGGCTGACATACATAATATGACAAGCTTCTTTCACTCTCTAAAATTACAAGCTTTTAACAGGTAAATCACTACACTAATACAGAAATACGGAGAGTGTAGAGTAGACCTGGGCAAGAAGGCAGAGACTAGAAATATGGGAAACTGCCTTAAGAAGCTGGTTGAGAAACCTTAAAGCATACATTTGTAAATGTGGACCACGGACTTGAGACCAAGAAAAGTGCAGCAGAAAGAATAACCTATCGGGCAGCGGACCATAACGAGATGTTGTTTGGAAATAGCCTTAGCATTTCTCAGCGTGAGCAGATGTGCTGGGGCGAGAGTGGAGAGGCGTGAGATACGAGGAGGAGAAGGGTCTGGGCGGCTGAGGCAGATTTGGGAGCTGTCAGCATCCAGGGAGAGCTGGACCCACGAGCCGGGGCAGGCGACTATCACCGGGAAGGTGAGGGGCGGAATCCTGACACCGCAAAGAGGCGCGCGCCTGCGCGAGGGGCACCCCCACGTTCAGAAGCGGAGAAGATGAACGTGACAACGACAACAAACTAGCGAAGAAGCTAGAAGAGATGAGCCGTGGGACAGGAAGACAACAGAGGATCAGACGCCACAGGCAGAAAGCACTGCAGGGACGGCCCGCTGGGCCACCTGCTGTCGCCGCGTCATGCAAGGCGAGGTCTGGAATCCAAGGAACACACATTCCAGAATAATACTTCACTAACTAACTGGACTCTGACACGCCAATCAGTGTCTGAAAGTCAATGATTGACATGTGCATTCAATCCAACTGCCAAATACTCAAATCTCATAGGCTCGAAGGTTCGACCGGAAGCGCCATTACCTGGTCTTGCAGATGCTCATCCACGGCACCACCGTGTCGCAGGTTTGCTAAGAGCATTTCGGCAGCGTCAATGCCAACCTTATCGGCGTTTACACCTACGACAGGCACAGTGGAAAAAAACCAATTAAGAGCCAAAAACTCTGAACTAATATATCCCCGTTAGCACTGATCCAACGTTACTCAACTCACCCAATGCCACTTTTAGGATAAGAATTTTATGTATATTTAATCTTCTGAGCACGTAGCATATGCAAATATATCTACTTATGAAACAATCAAGCAAACCCAAATTGTGGGAAATCCTTTGAGAAAATGGCTTGGACTTTTCAAAATGTCAGTATCATTAAAAGAAAAACAAGGTGACCAGACGACTCTAGTCAAAAAAGAGGCTCAGGCAGACATGACAGCCAAATGCTGTGTGTGCTCAAAGAAAAAGGAAATCCCACATTGCTTTATCTAAGGAATATTTTGGAGGCAACTGGTTTTGTCTGAAGATGACAGACACAGTCTTCGGGTGTAAAAATGGCGCTGTGACCATGCAGCTGTTGTGCTCTGGGCACTCACGCTCCAGACACGCCGCGGACTTCAGCATTCCCGCAACTCACACTGAAGCACGTCAGAAACTGCCCCCCTGCCAACGCCCTGGAGCTCAGTGTCCATCGTTGGCAGACCCAGGAGGACAGTGTATGGGCATTCGCTAGTCATTCAACTTTTCTATGGGTTTGAAATCTTTCAAAGGGTGAGGTTGGGGGAAAGACCGAACATTTAATTGACTCCAAGACAGAAGCAGTTAACCGTGACCTCCTCAGCTTGTTGCCCATCGCCAGGGAGAGCGGACTGTCCCATCTGTCTGTACCTCGTTTACCGAGCGATGACCCGGCCAGCAAACAGCCCGTGGACGTCTCCGCGGTGATGCTGTGTGGGAAGAAGGAAGGATTACCACCTCTGCCATAAATGTCCCTGAATTATGTGCAAATACAACGCAGGAGAGTAGTGACTGCTAAAGGATTAGACCTGGCTAGGATGTTGCAAAAGTGAACTTCACACAGAGAGCGGCACAATGAGCATTCTCCATCTTCATCAAGGCCTTAGGGTCCCTCTGCCCTTCAGACAAGAAGTCACCCCAGATTCTAATCCACCGGCAGGTGAAGGAGGGGCCCTCCCCAAAGTGCTGCCCAGCACAACGGGGTACCATTTCACAACCATGCTGTACTCTAAGTTATTTTCTGATTCCCTCAGATTAAAAGGTCTTTCTACAGAGGGGTTTGGTTTTGTTTGATAGTTTTTAGATAGTATTACCCTACAGAGAACATACATTTACTTTAAGCCCTTTAATAGAAGCTCTACAGAAGAGACTTTAAAATTTAAAAAGCCACAAAGGATACTTTTAGACTTCAAAAGCATCAAGTAAAGCACTTTTAGCACACTTAAATCAGTAACTACTAATTAGATTAATATAATAGTTATATTTTTTTTCCAAAAGATCTTTGCTGCATCTAATGTTTGCTTGTAAACTGGAAACATTTCTCTGAGGATCAGCGTCAAAGGCTAACTTTTGATTAGCGTCAAGTTGAAGTTCCCTATGTAGATAAATAAAGGCAGACCATCCTCAGGAAAAAATTCGGAGTAAATAATTGTCTTAATTTACTGTACAGTTGATTTAGGTATAAATGCCCTTTGAAATACAGGGTTCAGCACAAATAATGCCCCTGTTTTATTACAAACTCTTTCATTACAAAATCATACGCAGGTAATTCTGTACCATAACAATATCACATTCAGGCACACCGTATGACATTTTCGGTGAAACGTTCAAATGAAGTTATAAATTATGACACCCATATTATTGCCCTACCAACCACACTCAAGCAGGACCCTGTATATCTTCTTTTTAAACACAGAAAAACTACACATCTTGCATTTAAACGAGACCACTCTTCCGGGGCCCTCAACCAACACGCGGGAGACAGCCCAGAACCGCACATGATGCCACTGCCGTTGCCGAAGGCCCGGTCCGCGGGCTCCTGGACGGGCTGGATGTTCACGTACAGGTCCCGGAACTCCTTCCTGAGGCACCGTACCGCCGCCGCTGCCATGTCCTTCGCCACCTGTTTTGGCAAAACAGAAAAACAGAAGAACAGAGTAAAGTAAGTTCATGGTTATTTTCACAGTTGTTCTCATGCCGTCAAAGACAAAACAACTTTTATGTGCATTATATAAAAACTTGATCTGCATGAATCAAGGGAAAACTTTTAAGAAAAAGATATACTTAAAAGTTAAGTTCTTCCAATCATTTCAAAATGCAGAGGATGTAATACTTACGGAGACTCGCAGAAACGTCGAAGAACATCTAGACAACTTACTTTAAACGGCAACACACCAGCCACAAATGCTCTCCCGTGTATCTTGGTCACGGAGCCACGGTCAGTTAAATTTATGGGGTTCAACTGCTTAACTGGTGACATTCGGACAATCACTTCACCACCCCCTTTTGGGTAGTAACCCCTATAAAAACATATGACACACGCTCACATACACTGATTGCATGACAAAAATAAAGCTCAGTATTAGCCACAAAATAACATGTGAATGACATCCGACCATAAAATTGAGGTTTGAAATTTCCAACTAACCTTTTTAGATCTGTGCCGCCGAATATGATAGCTTCCATCACCAAGTGACCGTTTAAATTAAAATTTGAGACTCAGCTCCCCAGTCGCACTAGCTGCATTTCAAGGGCTCGACAGCCAGATGAGGCGAGTGCCCACCACGCTGGACAGAGAGGGGAGCTGACAGGGGCCACTTCCTGCAATGCAGGAAGCTCTGCTTGGCAGGGTGGTTTCAGAATAAAAGCTCCTGGATGTAGGACCTTGTCTATTTTGTTCCTGGCACATTCCCGTGCCTAAAACAATGCGGGGCACGTAGAAGATGCTCAGTGAGTAATATGAGTATTTAAGTAGCTAAACACTAGTGAAATTGAACGCCAATCCTTAGCGTCACTGATTCTCCAACAGATGCTGTGAACACGCAGGGGAGGCCAGGAGGGGCCCCCCATCCGGGAGGCAGACGGCCCCACACACAACCCACCCGCACACAAGTCGGCGGTAAGGAAAGCTACGTCAGCGGCACAGGGATGGACTCACGGCCGAGCCACCCAAAGAACTACAGGTTCCATTTGGAAAAAAAATAGAGGATTTCCCATTTTGCGCACAGCAGGGGAGGAGTTCGAGGGCACCAGTACGTGTAAGGAGCAGCAGGCAATCACGTAATCCACATACGGGGGGCGCTGAGAGGAGGAGGGGACAGCGAGGCCATCACGGCTCATCGGGACAGCACCGCAAAGCATGCCCATGCCACCGCCAGAACGTGGCCTTCTCCTTCGAACAACAGCTCTGACTGCAACGTGGGAGAGAAAGCCTCGCACGACCCCGGTCCCGGTCGGGCTGTGGGCACACGGTGGGCCTTCGCCGGAACTGAGCGCGGGGAGCGTGAGACGCGAAGGGGCTTCAGGGCAGGGTTCCCCTGAAGCGATTTCTCCCCCCAACAAGCGACTGCCCCCGTAGCTGCTCTCACACCCCGGGCTCCCGCTGCTTTACTCTTTTCGAGCCACAAAGCGCAGTTCTTTCCTACAGGAAATGTAACGAGAGCGGCTTCCAGAGTGCCGGCTCTCTAAGGTCTCGCTTTGCCGCTATTTTCACCACAGATGTCTGAGAAACTAGTAACTTACCTCATTTTAATGTCACAATTAAATTTGATGCCAAATTTTTCAACAATGGGCTTGAAAACCTGAAAAATCAGATCACTGTTACCTTAACAACCCACAGGCACTGATTCAACAAGTATATTTATTACACACGAGTGCTCTGCACTGAGCTACTTATGAGGCACTATAAAAAGTGAAATAAAAATGCGGAGGCTGGTTCTGGCTTCCAGATAAAATAAGTGACACGCAGCTACAATTAGATGCTTAACGTGTTCCATTTATCAAGGTTGCGCAAGTCCGTCTAATGAAAATACGTCACGGATCAGGAGTCTGGACCCCGAGGGCACTATTTCCCAACCCCCCTCAATACAACACAGAGTAAGAAATTACGGGGGGGATTGGTGAACAGGGTTCTATTCCGCCTTCTCATTTTTTTAAAGTATCATTAACATCTTGGCTATTAAGATAGTACTACAATGAACACACGAAAGCTATTATCTCTTGGAGATCTTAATTTATCAACTCTTTTGGATTAACATCCAAAATTGGATCACTAGATCATATGGAATTTTTATGTTTAATTTTTTGAGGAACCTTCACACTATTCTCCACAGTGGCTACACCCTGTTGGATTCCCACCAACAGAGGACAAGGGCCCCAATTTCTCCACATCCTCACCAACATCTGTCAAACATGGTATTTAATCCTTGTTTGGAGGCTTTTCTTCCCAATCGTAACTCCTGTGTTTATAAAAGAACTGATTTGTGTAATAAGCAACAGGGCTCACGTAATAATGACACTTGCTGTTTTTAAAGACTTCGCTATGAACACATCTAAGATGCAACCGTGAACCGAGGGCGCACATCATCCCACCGTGAAGAACGACCAGCTACGCGCGCAAAACCGCTCGGGACACGGTGAAACAGAGAACGCGCGGCTCGTCTGGGCGTGCCAACCCCTCGCAGGCCCTCACCGTGGCCGTGTAGTCGATCTGCGGGGCCATCTCGGCGTTGGTCCCGCCTCTGAGCCGCAGCTCCGACGGGGAGGCAGCGAAGAGGACACAGGGCATGGACACCTGCAGCAAGAGGCACACGCTCCTGCGGGGGGGAAGGCACAACAGGCTTAGCTGTGCTGGCTTCCTGAGGTCCCACGACGGCGACACTTACACAGCACCACTGGCGGAAGCACAGACAGCCGGGAAGGCAGGCACAGGCCCCCAAGGTTAAGGTTAAAACACACATCCGCAACTGATGGCGTCCTCAGTCCGAAAGACAGTATTTCCCAGTGAATGGGACTGGCCTCACATTTAATTGTTATACGTCCACTTTCCAAAGAAAGAAAAGAACACCAAGATCATACCGGGACTAAAAGTAGTAGAATATGGTTCATACTTATAGCTGGAAGTCGAGAACAAAATATACTACAATGCAAAGACTACCATGACCACAGAGTATGAAAGCGGTTGTTTTCAGGTATTTAATTTATAATAATGAAAAGGAAACAAATATGCTATACTACGCACTTGAGAAAATTCCAGATAGAGTAATAGCTACAATTCATAAACAACGAAGTGCCCGCACTGTCTCAGACCCTAAGAGACGAGTGTTTTATCTGCATTTTAAAAGCAAGGAAACTAGAGCTCAAGGAGGTCGAGCCACGGGTCCAGGTGGTGGCAGGACCTGCATCTGGACCCAGGTCTGACCCCCAGGCCCGCCCGGGAGGGGAGGAAGTGCCACGCACCCTGCCGTCTTGGTGTCCGCCGTGTGGGTCCCGCCTCTGATCTTCCCCGGCGTGAACGATATCTCCGTGGAGCCGATCTCCGCCCCGTCCAGCTGCCCGGCACACAGATCCCGAACCATCTCCAGTCCAGACAAATGCTGAGGCCTTCGGGTCAAAAACGGCATCAAAATGCGCGCGCTCAGACTGCCTGTCCCCCCACGTTTGTGACTCAGTTACAGAGCTGCCGTGGCACGAAAACGGTAAGGTCGGCCACGGGAGCTGCCATGAAACCATCGGCGTCAGAGCTCCCTTGGGGTTTTCGGCACCTGGACTGGCCGCTGGGAGGCGTCCCGTGAAGGCATCCTTCCCGATCTTCAGCTATACACACGTCGCTGAGGTATTGTAAATTTGCAGCGTGCAAAGAGGGACAGTAACAAAGCTACCTAACTGCCAGCACTCTGGCTTGCACTTTCCGGAATAATCTGTGGTACGTGTTCCCCCAAGATTCACACATGGAAGCGCTGGCCCCCAGCGCCTCGGAATGTGACTGTATTTGGAGACAGGCCCTGATAGGAGGCGATTAAGTTAAAAGAGGCAGTTAAAGCAGTAATCCACTGTCCCTGGTGTCCTTATATGAGGAAGAGGAGGCTGGTACCCCCGGGGGGACACCAGGGATGTGCACGCACGGAAGGATGGCCATGTGAACAGCAGCGAGAGAGAGAGGCCTGGAACAGGATACCCCCTTCGGGCCCCCCGAGGACACGAACCCTGCCAGCACCTTGATCTTGGACTTCCAGCCTCCAGACCTGAGAGGACATGAATTGCTGTTGTTTAGGCCCCCCCGTCTGTGGCAGGCTGTTACAGCAGCCCCGGCAGAGTAACAAAGTCCCTAACACAGCCTTCATGAATTGGATTTCCCTGCAGGCCAAATGGGTCGCTGCGAACAACCGCGGCAAAGGTAACGAGGTCCATGCACATCACTAACTCCCTCTCAGTCAAAAATTTCACAATGGATTGTGGAGAAAGCAAAAGGGTAGGAGGTAGCGGATCTACCATAACGGACTATATACAAAATACATTCAAAGGAACCAGTTTGGTTTCAACCGGGGACCTCTTCTAACGGGTGCATATACCTGAACCTTATCTGAGGGCGTGCCTAGCTTCCCAGACAAAAGGAACAAGGTCAGGTGTCAACACTGTCCCCTTCTCCACAGCCCACCGTTCGGGCCCTATTCACATCTTCCTAGAGCGCAGAAGAAAGGCGGACTGACACGTCTCTGGGTCCTTTCCTGGTCTACGATTCGCAAACGGCCTAGCGAGCGGCAGCAGAGACGCAGTGGTTAGAAAGCAGGGTGCCTCTGGCTGCAGGGGCCCATCGGTCCTGATCGACCTTGCCCGCTGCTCCGAGCTCTCCAGGTGGCTGGAATGCCTGACGGGGGGCGGGGTGGAGGGAATATTTTAAAAGCTATGTCTTTAGGAATGAGACGACTCTAGCCAGGGGCTTACACTTGCCCCTGGAAGGTTTCAAGACCACACAATCCAGGCCACGCTAACAGCCCAGGCCGGAACACTGCACCCTGGGGACCCTGCAGCCTTATCTTCTCAGCATCACTCCGGGGGCTCCTGACTCCCCAGCCCCACGCCATCCCCAAGGACCCAGAGCCCGTTTCCACAAGCAGTCACCACAGCCCCCGAGTCCCCAGGCCCGCCCCCGCCCAGCACCCGATTACCGCAGGCCAGGCGTGCTGCGGCCGGCTCGGATCTTCTGCACCCGCAAGGGCACGCCCAGGAGACAGCTCAGGGCCGTGGACACCCTCAGGATCTGGCCGCCCTGCCCAGGGTGCGGGACGGAGAGAAGAGGGAACATGAGACGACAGAGCTCCCACCGCCCTCGCCCACCCCGCGACCTCGACCCGGCACTCACCCCTTCCAGGAGCCCGCCGTCCACCTCCACCCGCGGCCCCGCCATCGGAGGCGCCCTGGGGCCCGGTCCGCAAGCACACAGCCTCCGCCCGAGCGCGGCGGCGAGGACGCGCCGGCTCCCGCCCCGCAGCTCCGAAAACGGGTCCGCGCTCGGGCCCGCGGGGGCTGGGCGGATCCGGCGGAGAAGGAAGAAACGGCGGCAGGCCGACAACCCGATCCGCGGGAACCACGCCGGGCAACCGGCGCCGAGAACCGGGTCCGTACGCCCAGCGCGACCAGTGCGCATGCGCGCCGCGCAGAGCTCGCCGTGGCCGCTTGGACGAAATCCCAGCAAATCCCGGGCTCCGGCGGCGGCGGCGGCGGCGGCGGCGGCGGCGGCGGCGGCGGCGGCGGGGCGGTGTCCCCGAACGCCGCAGAGGGGTGTCTCGGAGACAGGTGTGCCGAACACAGCAATCCCCGCGGACTGCAGAAGCTTTAGTTTCCTGGGTCACCGGCTCCTCCGGTTGTCTGGCAGGCTTGTGCCAACATCTGTGCTTATCTCTGTTTTCTCCAAGAGGCGCGGTACCCAGAGCTGGAGACCCTTAGTGCTGAGATGCAAGAAAGGGCCGGACCCCGCAGTGCACCGACCTCCTCGGCTGGTCCGGGGTGCCTCCTCCGTGGCCTGTCTCTTGAAATGTGTGTGTGCCCTGGTGTAGAGTACTATTGTATCTTTTTCTCTCGAGGGACACGTGTAAAATGGTGCAGCCACTTTTGAAAATAGTCTGGCAGTTCCTTATTATCTTGGTTACAGTTAAAAATACAGATAAGCCCAGTCTCAACAATTCCACATTCAGGTATATATTCTTACCTTACTAACCAAAATGTAATCGACCAACCAATAGCACCGGTGGCACCTAGAGCTTGTTAGAAATGCAGAACCCCAGGCCCTACCCAGTTCGATGGAATCGGGATCGGCATGGTAATGAGGTCCCCAGGTGACAGGAATGCTCCTTACAGTCTAGGTAGCACTGCCCTAAAGACACTCTTGCGCAGGCACCCGGAGAAAGGACCGGGAGTGCTCACAGCAGCACTGGTGGTGGCAGCAAAGACCTGGAAACGAATGTTCACTGATGGAGAATTCAATTGTGCTGACACCACGAACGCGAGTTGCAGAAAGACACCATCTTTATGACCCAAACACGAGCCACAGTAAGCAATATATGGTTAACGATGCATAATTCTCAAGGAAATGGAGGAACTATAAATACACAATTCAGGATAATGGCTATCTCAGGGGGAGAAGGGGGTTCGGAGTAGAAGCAGACAATGACCTTCACCAGCACGGGGAAAGTTCTATTTCTTTCCCTTTTTTTTTTTTCTGCTCTCCATGATGTGTTTGTAAGGTTCAATAGTGGGTTGAAGTGTTTTGTCGTTTCATGACTTATCTATATGTTATTCTTTTATATGTATATACACTATAACACAATCTTAACATCTTTATGGCAGTACATACACCACACAGCTCATGGGCTTTAAGTGCACACATGAAGGAGTTTTAGAAAATTCACGCTTATGCAATCATGGCCATGCTCCGGTTAATAGGACATTCCGTCAGCTCAACAAACTTTCTCTTCTTCCTTTGCAGTCACTCCCCTGCCCCGCCCCCCCCCTCCCGCATTCCCACCTCAGCCCCAGGCAACCACTGATCTGCTTCCGTGTCTCGGTAGATTTACCTTCTTTGGACATTTCATATACATGGAATCATGCAATATGTGAACTTTCAGATCTGGCTTCTTTGACTTAGCATAAAATTTTGAGGTTCCTCCATATGAAAGCATGTATCAGTACTTCAGGTCATTGTTAAGGATGGATAATATTCCATTATATGGATGTACCATATTTTGTTTATCCATTCATCTGTGGAAGGACATTTGGGCGGCTTCTAGCTTTTGGCTGTTATGAACAATGCTGTTACAATTGTTCTTGGACTAGTCTTTGTGTAAACATATGGTTTCATTTCCCTTGGGCAGACACCCAGGAGTGGAATTAGTGGGTCATAATCAGTCATTTTTATTAATTAAAAAAGAGAACAAATGAGTTCATTGTTTCTTTTGAGTGAAAGGATTAACTAGCGAATAGGTGGCAGGTCTCCTGATTTTGGAAGAAATAAAAAAGGAAACAATACTAAATTTGGAAGCAGTAATCCATTGATGTAAAAAGAGGGTAAAAGAAAGGATAAGCTAGGTATTTTTTGGGGGGGGGGAAGGTAGAGTTAAAGGGAACATTTAGAGGAAGAAACTGGAATAGGGACCCTAGGAAGAAAAATAATTCACTCAGAGGCACAGCTACTTCATCTTTTTATATAAACACGTGCATGCAGTATTATCAAACATATTCATAGTGACTATAAAATGCTCTGTGGGTGGGAAAAGTTAAAAAATTAAAGTTTGACCATCCCAGATTTTCTTATAAAGGTAATGATTGAGATGTAATGCTTACAGTAGTGTGTGCGTGCATGAACTGCACTGAGAGGAAAATAAGGCAAAAAAGAAGGGTGAGTTTGGGTAATATTAGACAGTGAATTTGTGAAATAACCGAGATTCTGTTTCATGGCCACTCACCTTCAATTTTGGGGATTATAATCTTCTCTTTGCTCCAGTTTTTTTTTCTCCTGTAATTTTTTAGACATCGGTGCACATTTTCATTCCCCCATAACAGGCAAGAACAGACCAATGGCATCCTGGAAGACTGACTATGCAAGCTCTCATCTTTTCTGTACGGGTTCTAAATTTGACCTTCCTCCGAGAGGCACAAAAATCAAGTTTATACGTCTGCGGCCTCTAATGCATATGTTGGGCAGCTGCATCTGACAACAGTCTCGAGGAAGGAAAGATCATGTCGATAATACGTTTATTTTAGATATTAGGGTAACCTTGTTCATCTATGAAAAAAATTGAAAAGTCAGTTCCAATAATCAAGGACACTCGATGGGTGGAAGAAGTGCCAGTCGTCGGGAAATATTTCAGTATAGACTTGTAACTCATCAGCGGTTCAGAGCCTGGCTACTGCGTAATGAAGGCGGTTCCATACACAAGCTGAAAACACTGAGTACTTTCCTACTCACCCTGTGGTCTTGCGTCACAGAATTTTCTCCAGGTAAGTGCCTTTCCTTTGTGTTTTTTTTAAAAAAAGGTTTTATTTATTCATTTTTAGAGAGGGGAAGGGAGGGAAAAGAAAATGGAGAGAAACATCAATGTGTGCTTGCCTCTCCCGCGCCCCCAACTGGGATGGGCCGCCACACAGGCTGTGCCCGGACTGGGACTCGATTGGTCGACCCTTTGGTTCGCAGACGGGCACTCCGTCCAGTGAGCCACCCCAGCCAGGACCCTTTGTGTTCTCTTAACACTATTTCCCCCCATTGCACGGACTACAAAGGTGACCGTTGATGCACTTGTCCCACACTGTCCCCTACATGAAATCTGGGTTGCCCTCCTCCCCACTTCTTTCTCCTCCTTCGAGCTCCCAACTCTGGGCTGGCTCCCAAGCACCCCCTGCCAAGCGACTCTCCTGCCCCGCCCCACTCTCTGATTGGCTGTCCCGTGGGCAGCTCTTTCGCCCTCAATGGCCGCTCAAGGGGGCACGTTTTCCGGCTCCCAATGGGGGCTGGCAGAGGCCACGCCTCCAACCTCAGAGCCGCTGTCATTTCCGGAGTAAGATGGCCGCAGTGCGCGTGCTAAGGACCTGGAGCCAGAGTGCTGGGCGGAGGGTAAGCGGACCGGGGCCGAGCAGAGCTCGGGAAGGAGTGATTTGTTCGCAGTCATCCGGAAGCGGTGGGCGGTGTGTCAGTCTGTCCTCGGAGTGCCGCGCTTCCCGGGCACGCGTGACGGAGAGGGGCAGGGACGTACGCAAAACGAAGGACAGAGAAGGTGGCGAGCCGACCAGTCCCGGCACCCACTCCCTCCCCGTACCTGGGCGCGCACCTGGCGTGTCCTCGGTCGCCCTCCCGCTGCATCTGTACCCCGAAGCCCAGCTGGCCTTTCGTGGAGCAGCGTCTGGCAGTGGCTGCCAGGCAGTGGCAGGCACTGGGGACACGGGGGGATACTCTCAGCATTTACGGGGCACCCGCTGGGTGCTGGACGCGATACTAGGACGCCTGCCCTCAGGGAACCCACAGTCCAGAAGGGACCCTCGGAGCAAAGTGCAACTCCGCGGTCCTCGCCCGCAGGGGCAGAAACGCTTGCCCCAGCTTCGTTCTCTGAGCGTGCACTTGTCTCCGATGTCTGCGCCAATCTTTCCCAACTTTTTCTCACCAGAGCTTCGACCCACCACCATCTCCCTTGCGATTCCCCACTTTCGCAGTCTTTTAGCACTAAACAGGTAACATCCGGTAATCGCAGTGTTTCATCCGATTTGCCTAGCGTTTTTACCCTCTGGGTCCCCTCTCCCCTGGATCTTTCGACAGTGGTCGACCCCTAATCTTACAAAGCCTTTCCAGAGCCTGATAGGCACCAGCTATTGTGCTGGGCATTGAGGATGTAAATCTGAACAAGACAGCCACCATCCCGGCCTGCTCAGAGGTTAATGACCGCCTTGCGAGTGAGGACAGAGACAGAGGCAGGAGTAGTAGGCATTACTCCTTAGTAGGCATTAGACAAGCAAGTACAGCCCAGCATAGAAGCGCTATGCTGGGCCCTGGCGAGCGTGGCTCTGTTGGTCGGAGTGGCTCCCCGTAGCTGGAAGTTTGCAGAAAGGTTGCAGGTCCAAATGCTGTTTAGGACACATACCTAGGTTGCAGGTTTGATGCCCCAGTTGGGGCACAAGGAATCCCAGTCCAGGCACATGGGAGGCAACCGACTGATGCTTCTCTGTCCCATCGGTATTTCTCTCTCCCTTCCTCTCTAAAAGCTGTGGGGAAAAAAAGTCTTTGGGTGAGGATTTTTTTTTTTTTAAGTGCTATAATGGGACAGGGGGATACAGCTCCAGGAACACATAGGAGGGGGTTAGGGGGTCAGACTGGGGTTCCCAGAGAATACTGTGTAACTGGAGATTTGTGAAAGAGGCAGAAGAAAGCTGTCCTCATCTGCACCTTCCCAGGTGCTGGCCCCCCTTCTGTGAGAGCTGTTGTCCTTGGCTCTTCTGCCACCAGTTCCTGACATTTGTCTTCCTGTCACTGATGCCAGGTATTCTAATCTGGACCCTGATAACTTCATATGTTTTATATTGTGATAGTGACTGTTCTGCTTTTAGGCCAGAGTTGAAATTCAACATGTACTTACAGAGGTAAGCCGTTCCGGTCTTTTATCAAAGCTTTTACCTTTGTTTTTTTTTTCACCTCCAGGTTTGTGTTCGCTACTTTCAAACATGCACTAATGTTCATGCTTTGAAGCCAAAATACTTGCGTTTCGTTGGTTATCCTTCATTCAAGTATAGTCACCCGCATTGCTTGCTGAAAACAACCGCTGGTGAGTATGACCAGAGTAGCTAATACAAAATAATGTTTTGCATTTTACTCAGTACTTTAAGTGACTGTAGATTTATTAAAGTAAACAAAAAAAAAGTGCCATTTTATTTCTAGCCCGCCCTCCTTGCTCTCTCCACATCTACCCATTTCTTATTTTCTTTGCCCCTCACCATCCGCCCACTCCCGGCACACACTTGCGTTTGATACTTGTGTTGCCATCCTGTGGGGGAGGCTGTCTGGGGCCATCTGTTCGTTATCTGCCTCATCTAAGCACGGCAGTCAGCACGGATACGACTTTCCCGTCCGGGTAGGCTGTTGACATCACAGTTTGTGTCCTCATGCTCCCTGTGGCCTCGTTTGCCGGCGGAGGCCCTGTCCATCCTGCTGGATGCCGTGCTGAAACCAGCCCGAAATGCTCCTGCAGAGAACGTTCCCTGGCATTTACCACGGAGCCACCTCTCCCCAGTGTTTGCCGCCCTCTGTAAATAACTTGAGGCTGGAAGCATTCAGTGTGTGAGAACGCGAGCCCTTTTTTCCCCTGATGTTCTCTTTAGAGCCCTCACAAAGGACCTTGGACTTCTGTTGCATCAGTAACCTCTACATACTAGGTAACTTAGTCTGTACTAACAATGAAAAACAGGGATTCAAGAATTTTATTTTCAAAAGTCGACCTTTTCTTAGAGAAAATAGAGGTTATTCAAGCCCCAGTGTCTAAGCAGCTATCCTGAGCATTGGACCCTTGATCTACCAGGTGCCGGCTGCGTAACCTGACGTAAGGTGCGTAGTTTTCCTCTGCGTCATCATCTGGAAAATGGAAGCAGTGATAGTGTCTGACCCTTTGTGTTGTTGACAGAATCAGTTCGTTCGACACAGACAATTACTGATCACCTACCATGTGCCCAGGCACCACTCTTGGTGCCCGGGACATGTTCTCTTCTGTGGTCCCTAACATAGCCAACAGTTAGGTTGGAAATCTGGAGCCGCCGTGATTCCTGCTTCCCCTCCGAGTAGAGCACCAAGATCTATTGATTTTACATCTTCCGTGTTTCTCAAATCTGTCTTCTCCATTTCAGACAGCTTCGAAAATGTATTGTTTCATACTTCAGCTTCTTCACCTGCAGTGGCCTCCTAACAGCTTTCTCTGCCACCCCTTCCCCAACTTTATTTGCCACACTCCTGCCAGAGAGAATTTTTTTCTAAAATTATAGAAAATCGCAGTCTGGACTCTCTGCCAGTTAGGGAGCGCTGAGTAACAATCCTCCCCACGACTTAGTGGCCTAAAGCAGCTTGATTTATTGTTTGTCAGCGTTCTGGGTGCTGGCCTGGCTCACTGCTGTGACCGGAGTCAGCCAGAAGGTCACCTGGGCTAGAGGTCCAAGATGGCCTCACTCTTGCATCCAGCGACCGGTGTTCGTCTTTGGCTGGGGCACCCTGTCTTCCCACCGCGTGGCCTCTCCTGTCCCCCACCAGGGAGATCAGGTCCCTCCCAGGGGGCCTCAAGGCAGCATTCCAAGAGGGACAGGGAGAAGCTGGGAGGGCGTTTGAGGCCTAGGCTCCAGAATGTACACATTTTCCATTCTGCTCTAGTCCATTGCTCAAAGCAAGTCCCAGGCCAGCGTAGATGTACCTCTTATGGGAGCAGCTGCCAAGATTTTTATAACCATGTGTATTTACTCCAGGCTCCCGATTACCTTGAGGGTAAGTTCCAAACGCCTGACCTTGGCATGGCAAACAAAGGCTTTTTAAGTCTGGGCTTTCTTGCCACATAGAACTGTTTGTCATTCCCTGACTGCTGTGCGCTGTCACATTTCGCGTTCTTGTACATGCGGGGCCTTGCATAATATGGCTTTGTAGAGAGGGGTCATAATTTTTTACTTGTGATTTTTTAGTTACTTAGGTTGGTTTCCCGTTCTTCATTATAACTCTATGACAACCATTCTTGAGCACAGATCTCTATGTTCCTCTCTATGTCCTTAGGCAAAAAGGTCTTAAAAACTAGAATTACTTGCTGGCTCAAAGTTATGGACTTTGTTTTCAGGCTTTTGATACTTAATGCCAACTATTTTTTGGAAAGGTTCCAATGTACACTATAGCAGCAGGTGGTGAGAGAGCCCAACTTACTAGAAAGGAAACAAAGGCTCCCAAGACCTGCATATCAAAGATACATTTTGTGTTTCTTTACTACTAACTTAATCCTCTCCTATTTATTACCTTAGCTTGTTTGTATATTTTATAAGCAACTTAATTATTAACAGTCTAAAAATAGAAGCATGCTCTTGAATCCATTCAGAGCCATTTGTTAGCAAAAAAAAATACTTGACAAAAATACTTTCTTGGGAATAATTACGCTAAAGTATCACTGGCATCCCAGTGTTATAAAAAGGGAATAGACATTTAAAAAGGGTTAAGACGTGGAAGGAGGAAAGAAAATACTTGAATTTAATGAGAAGTTGGCAGAACAGAATTTTTCATTGAGTTTCCTACGTAGGCATCCGCCTGACTTGACCTGCTGCGAATGAAGTGTGAGTCAAAGCACGAGGTCGGAAGAGATCGAAAAGCAGGCCGTTAGTGGCTCTTCCAGTTTTATACCGTGAAGCAAGGGGGTCCAGCGGGGTCTCCCTTGGCACAAGTCATGTCTCGTAGTCTGTTCACTTTAACGGTTCCCAAATCCCCTTTGTCAGAGGTCTTCCACACCCTTGGGAAAGAGCATTCTTTTGAGAGCTGGAAAATGCAAGCGCCGCGGCAGTGTCCGTGGTTCTGTGTCACTGGTTTATGTAAATCTCTGGCAGTTGGGAGTGATGAGTATGCAGTTCAGAATTAGGAAAGGGCCCTGGCTGGGTTGCTCAGTGGGTCAGAGTGCCCTCCCGGTAAGGCAGGATTGCAGGTTCAGTCCTGGGTCAGGGCGCGCGCAAGAATCACGCAACGGATGCGTCAGTAAGTGGAACGACAAACCGATGTATGTCTTTTTCTCTCTCTCTGCTTGGGAATTTCTGCCTTCTGCTTGGGAATATTTTCTAATTTTAGATGTAAAAGCATCTCTTAGCAACACTCGACATATTTAATGAGATAATTTCTCTTTTTTTTTTGAAGCTCAACAGGGACAGATTGTTCAGTTCAAACTCTCAGACATCGGAGAAGGCATTAGAGAAGTAACTGTTAAGGAATGGTAAGTTATTAGTAAAACAAGAGGACTCAGTTTAAATCAAGAAACTCCTCTCTGGAACATGCACTGCTTTTGTTAAAGCACAAGACCAAACCGCTTGTGTTGTCTGCCTGCTGCCGACGCAGTTCCTCGCCATGTTACAGCTTTCCACTCAGTGTTGTTTATTAAGGGCCATTTTTTTTCCTCTTTTTGAAAACGACTCTCACTGCCCAGCCCTCATTTCAGCTAACAGAAGAGAAAGTAGCCTCTACGAGGTGACATTTGTCCGTGTGCTTGTGGCTTTTCCAGAGAAGCAGGGTTCCAGGGGCCCTTCTCTTACTCTGGAAATGGGAGTCCCCTGCATCCTTTCAAACCTCATTTGCATGTCACGGGTGAGGTTTTATTAGGGACTGAGAACTGGTTAAGACAGGAAGACAAGGCATAAGAGTGCCTGAACAGTAATTCTGGTAATGAAGAATGGATGGTAATAAGTCAGAAATATGCAAGGTGCGTCAAGAATGGCATTGGAATCGGCATTATAGGGAGTATTTCAGGTTGGGTCCTACCCCCCCGCCCCGTTCGGCTTGGCAAAGCGTTCTTCACCTGGGTATGGGATGAAGGGACCGGCACAGAAGGGCAGGCTGGGATAGTGCCAGAGAGACAGAGAGCACAGACCAAAGTTCATGGAATTACAAAGGATGCGTCTTGCGGGGATCGATTTTAAATCTAATTCTAGAAACAAAAGGCGCCCCTTAGAATTTGATTCAGGGTAATACAATACCATGAAAGGAAAAAAAACACACACATTTAAATTACTTTTTTAGAACTTCTTCCTAGGAGTGGGTAAAGCAGAAAACCTGAAAGTTTAGTTCAGTTTTTAGATTACGAATCTCTGAAGGGTTTTTATAATTTTGGTATTTCTTGGAGATACGCCAAAGAGATTCCGGAAGCCATTATAGTCTTTTCGGGAACATTCTTTGGTGCACCTTTGGGACTAAATCCTGGCCTGGAGGGATACTGATCTAGTTCAGCGTGGCGTTTGCATTGTAGGATCACCTGTACTTACAACTGGTCATGCAGCAGGGCCTTACATCTTTTTCTTTCAGGTATGTAAAAGTAGGAGACACAGTGTCCCAGTTTGATAGCATCTGTGAAGTTCAGAGCGATAAGGCTTCCGTCACTATCAGCAGTCGTTACGATGGAGTCATCAAAAAACTGTATTATAACCCAGACGACACTGCCTACGTGGGGAAGCCACTGGTAGACATAGAAACAGAAGCCCCGAAAGGTACTGTGCATGCGTTTACCTGTCTGCCAGGCTGGTTCCCTGCTGTCCTTGTGTCGTGGGCACCAATCCGAAGCGATGTGTACTGTTCATAACTTTCAGGAAATCAGGAAAATAGGAAAGGTCCTTTGGGATTTTGGCCCGTTACCATGTTAAGACCGTGGACGGTAACAGCTGTCCGGGGGGCCAGGCTTCTGGGAGACACGGAGTTCCAAGGAGCAGCGGGCCGTCCCTGGGAGGAAGGATTCGGGGCACTGGTCAGGGACAGCCGCAGTCGTAGCACGCGGAGACCGAAGCCCGCAGGACAGACCGGCTCCGTTTGCCGCCAATCCCCAAACCAGCAAGCGCCCTCCTTGGCGATGGTCGCAAAAACCAGGCTTCTTGGAGAGGAGCCATAGGAGAGGGAAGGAGGGAAGTGAGAGTGAAAAGTGGAGAGACAAGCGCTCAGAGGGAGCGGCGCATGTCCTGATGACAGGAAATTCGATATGAGAAACTTGCGGGGGCTGGGGGTGCAGACAGCGGGCCCTCTGCCCCCGAAGGGCTGAGCTGACGTCCTCTAGGCAGCGGCTTTGACCCCCGAGGCGGGGGGGGGGGGAGGCGGTGACAAGCCTCAGCCAGCAATCTCTAGGAAGCGCTGAGGTCAGGACGAGCCCGCAGTGCCCCTCAGGGCCTGGAAGCCGCCTGAATTCCACAGACGCCCTGCAGTCTGTCCAGGTGTGTGGCAGCTAGCGTCGCCATCACGCTGCACAACTTCCCGAATGTTTCACACTTACTGTTTTTTTAATCCTTACACGCGAGTGGTGCAGTCTGACAGATAAAGAATCTAAACCCCACCTAGAAAGGCCGGGCAGTGTGCCCCATGGTGGTGACCGAGCCAAATTTAGAACTCGATGTCCTTAGCCGCTTGTGCACAATGACAAGCTACCTCCGAAAGCTGAACGGTGGCCTTCTGAAGCCTTTCTATTACCTATATAATTTGTTATAAAAGCAAGATGTCGTATTATAGACATCTATAAACTACAGAAAACCAAAAATAAGAAAGCCTATTCTTCCTACTCAGAAGTCACCATATTTAATACGAGTGCATGTCATTCCAGACTCTTTTCTAACAAAATTACGCCTTGAACTGTAGGAGTTGCCCCCTGGCTGGTTTGACCAGAAAGAGAATGTACTGAGACCGGGAACTGATTTCCCTTCCGTCCTCTTCAGTTCTTAGCTGAGACCTCCTGCAATAAAAGGCAGATTAACAAGAAAGAAACAAGTTTATTGATCCGTATACCTTATGTACTTGGGGGACAGGCCGGAAAAAGTATCTCCAAGAGGTGGCTTAGAATTCGGGCTTAGTATCAGCTTACTAGGGATGGGGGGAGGGGCATGCAGGCCTCTTGGGGAGAGTATGTGATGTTTAGGAAAGACATCCGGCCGTTATTTGCTTAGAACTGAATGTCAAAGCAAACTCCGTTGCCGACTGAGTTTCAGAGGTTTGGTCTCCAGGTCATGAATCCCCACAGGTTCGGCCACACAGCATTGATTTCCTAGCGTCAGTCTTTAATATTTTAATCTTTCAAAAACTCTCTGCTTGCTTGCAAAAATACGTGCTGATAGCCCTAGATCTGTCTCTTCTACCAGCACGCTAAAGTAGAGGATGTTACAACCAGATTAGCATTGGCCATGGAAATGAAGTCTTCCACGCCGTGCCTTAACCCGTATTCAAAGCAGAGGAAAAATCTAAATGCCCTAGCTTTTTAGGAAAGCATTTAGATTTGGCACAGACTTTACGTGATTCTTTTATGTCCTTTACCTCACGTTTGATTCTTATTTCATGTTACTTATAAATGAGAAAGTGATTAGGAAAGTAGTTAAAATACAACATGTTTTAGACTTTATGGAAGAAGCTCTCCTTTTGGAACTGGTAGCTGGCTACATGATTTCAACAGAAATGAAATAAATACCAGGTAGTCACAGTCATCAGACAATACCAGATACCAGGACACACGCCCCCGCAAACACACACACACGCTGCCCATTTGTTTTCATCCTGAAGTAGCCCCGCTATTACGCTATTTGACTATAAAGCCTAAGTTGAATTTATCTATATATCATACACCACCAAGCTTGGTTTGTTTGGTTTTGTGTTTTTTTGAATCTCCACTAAAGAGCGAACATTTTCCTGCCCCCAGATTCCGAGGAAGACGTGGTCGAAACGCCCGCCGTGCACCATGACGAGCACACCCACCAGGAGATCAAAGGCCAGAAGACACTGGCCACCCCCGCCGTCCGCCGCCTGGCCATGGAAAACAACGTACGTCCTCTCGGCACTTAAGCGTGAGGTCACGTAGAAAGTGTATGTTCTTATCCGAAAAATTAGCCGACTGTCCCAGGGCGAGATGGCTCAAGTTGGCAATAAAGAAAACGGGAAAAGGTCTGTTACCAAAAAGTGACAGTGGCATCAAGGGACTTGGAAGAAATGAGAAAAACGTTGTGAACATATTCCTTCCGTTAGTGGAGGAGCGTGATTTTGTTTTTCCCTCTTAGAGCCTAATGACAAGGCCGCCACCGTGAGGCACTTGTAAATGCTACTGTCTTACGCCGGGTGCCCTGGGAGCACAGACTGGGACCAGGACTGGGTTCCTGGGGTTGAGGGCTGGGTTCGCTGGTTGGCTGAAAGGGTGAAGCCCTTTCCTGGAAATGAGCGGAGGGGAGGGGAGAGGCGGGAGATGGCCCAGGCCAGGGGTGGTCTCCAGGGTGCGCCCTGATCCCCAGTGGGGCGACCCCAGAGCTGCACTGACTTGAGTCGAGGAGGGTGGCCTCTCTCCCTCTCATCAGTCAGTCCTTGGTGCCTTCCCCCCAGGCTGAGGTGACTCCCAGGCGGGTGATACGTGTTTACCTGGTGCTCCGTTTACTCTCCACCACCCTGTGAGATAAGGGAGCCAGTCTAAGATACGAAGAGGCCAAGTAACTGGCCAAGGTCACAGGGCCGTGGCGGAGCCGGGACTCCGAGGGCAGCCTTGGGGGTCCCAACCTGTGTTCTTCGTCACCGTAAGCTGCCTCAGCAACCACGGTCGTCACACTTGGAGCGCTGCTGAGGCAGCTACTGGGCACGGTCCCACACCCTGGCGGCCGCCCACATGGGGGCTGGCTTGTCCCCGGTTCGCAGGAGTGGAGAGGCAGAGATGTTGATTCAGGTGCCCACAGTCAAGTAAGTAGCTGACTGGGGGTCTGCACACAGATCTGTCTTGGTCCAATGCCCGAGTCCTTTCTGGTATGGCCCACAAGGCAGCGGTTTTTTGTCTGTCTGTCTGTCTGTCTTTGAGAGAAGTGATTAAGTTACAGTGAGAAAAACAAATGTTTGCATTTTGGAAATTTGTTGTAAGGGTCCCTGAAGTGTTCGTGTCCCCTCAGCTGGTTATCCGACCATTGTTCCGGAAACAAACCCAGGGGAGCAGTCGAGGGCATGGCTTCCCACGTACCTTATAGCTCAAGCTTAGAAAGCACGTGTGTTCAAAACCAAGTAAATGCTTAGGTAAATTATGTGATACACCCTGCGTGACAATTCATGAGCCATTAAATATGCTCAAATATGAAGACCATTTAGCATAACAGAAAATAGAACTAATAGCGTAGAACACTAGATTGTGAGCATCAGATGACCCCGTATATTGCTTTGGAAGCTATAAAGCATTTTACCAGTGCTCTTTCTTAATTAAATAGAAAGACTCCCTGTGGAGATGCATGACCTGGCTTTCCTAGTCCACTGCCTAAAGGTATGTATAGTACCTAGAGCACTTGTATAATTACCCGAAATCAAATAGTAGATTTATTACCGTAAGTCACCTTTTTTCTTTATTTGTGGTTTGCATATTGAGTTTGATTAGAATGAGAAAGCCAACGGCTTTTAGAGTTGTTTGTAAATACATAAAAGTTATTTGTTTAAATTCTCGGTTCATTTGTTGAAAACAGAATGTTCGACATATAAAGTCCTTTGTGAATTCGAAGTCGTCCCGAGAGAAGCACTAATACAAGTGGGGCAGGACTTACTCCCGAGAAAGTAGCTACCGCGCAGCAGGCACGAGGGCGCCGTCCAAGCTTCAGACAGAACGCAGTGCAGTGAGGATATTTTATTTTCGTGACCAAACACAGAAAGTAGTTACATGAAGCAGGGCCATGTGTGTTTCCAGAGAGCATCATGCGTGTCCAGGGGAAAGCGGAATACATCAGCATTGTTTCCTCTGTAGAAAGCCATTCCCAAATATACCTCAATAAAAGTAGTTTCATTGTTTTGTAGGGATTTTTCTGAAATAACCAGCAGAAAAATACCAATTTAAGAGAGTTTTGTATGATGATTATTTTAACTATTACATGTCTAACTATTTCATGTTTTACATATTCCGTTTGCCGGTCTACTTTTGGGGTAGCATTTAACTCTTCTTTAAATTCTCAGTTCTTCTTATGTAGCTTCCAAAAATAGGGGCGAAAAAATCAAATAATTATGCCAGAAATTTAAGAGTAGTCGGCTGTTTAAAAAATGCCAGTTTTCATAAGCAGAGAGGGATTACCTGCGCTGCAGATGCTGCCTCGTCACCACACAGGCAGAGGCACCGTGCGCACGGGACACGGCTCCTCGGGGAGGCAGCTGTCGCTCACAGTGTTCCGTTATGATAATGAATGTGTTGTGTCCTCCTACCAGCTGCTTGGGCAGCGGTGCTTTTCCTTTTTCAACCCACAATTCATTAAATTCCGTTTAGAGACCTCGGTGGTGTATTGCTTTGCAGGTAGCTTTATTTTTCAGCATTAAAATGTGTCATTTTTTAGATTAAGCTGAGCGAAGTTGTTGGCTCAGGAAAAGATGGCAGAATACTCAAAGAAGACATTCTCAGCTATCTGGAAAAGCAGACAGGAGCAATACTACCTCCTTCGCCAAAAGCTGAAATCATGCCGCCCGCACCAAAGCCGAAAGACAGAACTGTTCCTGTGCCCCCGTCAAGAGCCCCGGTGTTCACAGGCAAAGACAGAACAGAGCCCATAGCAGGTGAAGCGGTGGCGCTGTGCAGAAATGGCATAATCTGTTTGGGGGGAGCCACCTCCGCAGACTCATACGTGTAATACGGTGTTTTTCAGTTAGCATGCAAATAGCTACCGTATTTTGCCCATGTATAATGCGCACCCACGTTTTTGGCCCAAACCTTCAGGGAAAAAATCTTGCATTTTAATTTTTTAATCAGTTTTTTATTTATTTGTATTTAGAAACAAAACCAATTATCGTATTCCAGGGTATTATTTTGTGTATGGATATTGCTATTGCTTTCTAGAGTTACGCTTTTAATGCATAAGCATAAATAAAAAAATTAAAAACATTTATATAGATACAGAATCAGTACTATCCATGACTTCGTCCTTATTTTTCCTGCAAAAGTTTGGGCAAAAGAAAAAAAAAATGTGCATTGTCCATGGCAAAATACGACGCTTCTGACTTGTTATTTATAAACTGCAGCATGGTCGCGCAGCATGGTCGCTTCCAGAAGGGCGATACTGCGAGAAAGCCGTCAGGTGATGGCATGGCTCGCGCCCTTGGGAATTTTCACACATGCAGCCTTGAAAGCAGGCGCCTGTTGCATTGCTGAGCTTGGCCCTGGGTGCTGTGCTTCAGCAGTGACACTGGTGGCTTTTGAGATACGTGATGACGTAGGCAGCTCCGGGAGGAAGGCTTTAGTTGAGGGTAAACAGCCCTAGAGGGCCTTCTATTTTAGGTTAAAAACACAGAGGATGAAGGGCTGGAGGATTTAACGTGGGCTGTTCTCCAGGCTTCCAGAAGGCAATGGTGAAGACCATGTCGGCAGCCTTGCGGATACCTCACTTCGGGTACTGCGACGAGGTCGACGTGACCGAGCTGGTGAAGCTGCGGGAGGAACTGAAGCCCGTTGCTTCTGCGCGCGGGATTAAGCTCTCCTTCATGCCCTTCTTCATAAAGGTGAGGCTCCCTCCATTCCCACCAGGGTCGAGAAGGACATTTAAACGTTGTTTTCCAAATAGTCAACATGTTAACTGTGCCTTCGAAGAAAAATACTACTTGTCACCGTATCACCTAGAAAAATGCCCAAGTCCACGGTTTCCTGGTTCCACAAGATTTATAAAACTGAGATATTTGTGTCCCATTTCTACCCACTCACCTCTGAGCCGGGTGAGCATCAGTTAGGTTAGGCCTTCGCTCCAGCCAAGTCCTGATTTGAACAGAACCGAGACTTGGCGTTGATTTTGTGTATCACTGACACATAGTTACTTTCATTTATTCAACAAACTTGGGTTGCGTCTTCTGGGATTCGTACCTGATACTAGGCCTTGGGACCAGCATAAAATGGAGTAAGACCCTCCACTGGCCCCAAGCAGCTCACTGCGTAGCTCACGTCAGCCACCACTTACGAAGCTGTTACGGGTGCCAGACGCCCAGCCCGTACCGAGCCTGCTGCCTGTGGGATCTGCTTTAACTCTCAGAATAGCCCTGACGTCCCCCACTTCCCATTGAAAGAAATTGGGGCCCAGAGAAGGGAGAAACTAAGTTTCCAGTTCCGGTGTGTTTTGCTCAGAATGCCTAACTGTTGTCTCTGACTCCGGGCTGGCCCCCACCGGGCCTTCCCCCACCCGCGCCAAGGCGGAGCTTCCACAAGGCAGCTGGCTGTCCCTGGTTCTCTTCGGGGACTGCCCTTCCTGGGCTTCAGACGGTGTCGACACTCCCGAGCGTGGCGTGCGACTATTGCCCCGGCACTCTGCCGCCTCGCTGCCCAGGCCCTGGTCTCTCTCGGCCACTCCTTCTTCTTTATCCAGACCGAGCTGAGCATAGTGCCCCGGCCACTTGGCTCCACCTGCCCGTGCCCTCCTGCCTTGGTCAAATCCTTGCACATCCTAAGTACCAAATTTTCTTCACGTATAATACCCTTTTGTTTCCCATTGGCAGTTATTACCATGTATTACGAGCGTTTACTCAGTTGTTTTTTTCATTAGACGCTGAGCCTCCTTAGCCAAAAACTGTTCTCCTTTATCTCCATCTTTTTAGCAACTCCCCTAACAAGCAAACGTGAGATGTGGTAGATGTCGATTAACGAGAGATCTGGACTATATTCCAGCCCTAGAGTCTCACCTGTAGAGATGGCAGTTGAAGCGCGTGGATGAGGTCCCCCAAACTGTGTGTGAATGAGAAGAGAAGAAGGCTCAGGGCTTTACCCCAGTGTTTGGGGGGAAGGGAGACGTTGAGTTGGCCGAGACGATGGAAGAGGGTAAGTGGGGTCAGCGGTCTGATGACAGGAAGACCAGGGGAGAGCCGCCTGGAAGCCACGGGTATCTGTTGCTATATACCAGACCTCCGCCAAATTCACCGGTTTGAAGCAGCAGCCACTGTTATTTCTCACACGTGCACAGGCGAGCAGGGCCAGTCTGCTGACCTTGGCAGAGCCCACTCCTGTCCGCAGAGGCTGGACCGGGGCTGCCAGAAGGGCGGGCCAGCCTTGGCGCGGGTGGCTCGCTTCTCTTCCACATGCCTCTCCTCTCCCCAGGAGAGTAGCCCACACGTGGTCTCCTAATACCATAGGGACGAGGAGAGGAAACCGAATATAAGCACTTTCTCCAGGCCTTGCTGCATGGAGTATGTTCTTAACTCATGGACCGAAGCAGGTCCATGACTGAGCTCAGAATCAGCTCGCAAGAGCGCTACTACCAGTGAGTGTGCAGAAGGAGGGGCAGGACAGCCTGGGGCCACTGGTTCGGGCTCTTGCACCAAGAGAGAGGAAAAACGTTGCCCTGGCTGGTGTGGCTCAGTGGCTTGAGTGCCGACCTACGAATCAGGGGGTCGCTGGTTTGATTCCCAGTCAGGGCACATGCCTGGGTTGCAGGCCAGGTCCCCAGTGGGGGGTGTGTGGGAGGCAACCACACTTCGATGTTTCTCTCCCTCTCTTTCTCCCTGCTTTCCCCCTCTCTCTGAATAAATAAAATCTTTAAAAAGAAATGTTTTAAGAGGGGACTAGACCACGGTCATCTGTATCACAGAGATCAAATAGAATCAGGCGTGGGGCAGGCTATTGGACTGGTGAGTAAGAGGCCTGGGTGGCCTCAGCCAGAGCTGGTTGAACAACGTATCACGGGGTAGAAGCTTGCTTGCAGCTGGCTGGGGAACAAATTGTGTGGGAGAGGAAAAAATAATTTTTCTCCTGCCCTTCCGAGTTCTTCTGGCTGGACTAATCAAATTAACACAAGATTAACAGACGAAAAGGACTGACTTTATTGCATGTGTACGTACAAGGACCCCATAAGGACAGGGCACCCGAGGATGGCGGTTGAGGCTTAGATACATCTTCGGCGAAGGGGAAAGGGCGGCTGGCGGGGCGGGGGCGGGGGTAGTGGTGTGGACGGTAGAGGGCAGGAAGGCAGTTCACACGGAGACGGGAAAGCTGGTGTTCCGTAAACGGTCGCCGGCCGGGCCCCCGTAACTCCTCCCTGCCCGTCGCTCTCCTTCACCCCAGGCCGCGGGGGGTCGCGCCCTTCCTGCGGCAGGCCCTCCACCCAAGCTCTCCTGGGCCGTGGCGCGGAGGCCAGAGCCTTACGAAAAATAACTGGCTTAAAATAATCAGTATCCCCAAAGGGCATGATCTGGGGTGGCAAACTCTGCTTCCCTCGGTGGCAAGTGAGTCAGAGGAAACTAAAACAACCCGGTAAAAGGTGGACGGGGTGTAGGGCTGGGGTAGGGGTGGGGGGCACGTTGTTCTGAGAGAGGGACACCGGCCCCCTGCTCTCTGGCACGTCCCTCAGGGCACGCTGAGGAGCTTGGTGGAGTGGGCTGAGGGCAGGAGCAGGAGGGCGGAGGGTTTAAAGTGTGGGGGGGGGGGCATATAAGAGCCAGAGGAGCGGGGGACCGCTGTGTCTCCGCCTGGGTCCCCCCGCCGCTCCCTGGCCGTGGGCCTGCTTCGGAGCAAGGGGGGACCAGCCCTGTAACAGGCTGAGTTGGTTTTATTACTGTTTTTCTTCATTGTTTCAGTCTGAATGAAGTGCCTGATCTCTATTTAGAAAGTAAAATGTAATATGCTTCACTTGTTTTACACTCACTTTTTTTTCTGCCTCTCTAAGTTTCAGAACACTTGGAAACTATCACTAAGTGTTGTACAGGCGCAGAAATGACCTCTAATCCATGGACATACACACCTTGTTTTTCGTTTTACAAAATTTGGATTATACTCAAAATTCTGTTTTTATGCATAACATTTTAACCTTAGTTATACATTTTATATAAAGATTAAAATTACAGCTATCACATCAAATGCCTGATAATACTCTGCTTAACTCTCTAGTTCCGACTATGTTCTGTTTTGTTTTTCTGTCAAGACCAAGACGGGTGCCCCACCGACGGAAACAACACAGCGCACGTAACAGAGTCGGATGGGACTAGACGAGGGCGGTGGCGGGGGGGAGCTCTTCACGACAATCCTGCGCGTTTTTATTTTCCTATTTTGTAAACGTAATGCAAGGCATGCACCTTGATTAGACCCCGAAGCGGCCCTGGCCGGGTCGCTCAGTGGGTTAGTGCGCGGTCCCAACACGCCAAGGCCGCAGGTTCAGTGCCCCGTCAGGGCACATCCAAGAGTCAGCCAATGAGTGCATGAATACGTGGACCAACAAATTAATCTCTCTCTCTCTCCCCCTCCCTCCCCCTGCCTTCCCCTTTCTCTCTAAATCAATAAATACAATTTTTTAAATTTTTCAGTTATTCGAATCTTTCTTGACGTTTACAAGCTGCTTGGCTACTTTATCTTTTATTCGCGAATGGTCAGGCTGACCTCTAGGTACGCGCAGGCTGGACGCAGGCTGGAGCTTAGACGCGTCCTGGAGCTTAGACGCGTCCTGGAGCTTAGACGCGTCCTGAGCAGGCGCCCCTCCCTCTCCTCCGCACCCCTTCCTGCTGCCTGGGGCCCGCCCTCCTCTCTGAGAGAGGGATGCTGACGGCGCCTCTCCTCCCGTCGAACAGGCTGCCTCCCTGGGGTTGCTGCAGTTTCCCGCCCTCAACGCCTCCGTGGACGAGCACTGCCAGAAGGTCACATACAAGGTGGGCTGTGTGTTGTGAAAATGTCCTTGTTCTAAACAGAAGATGGTGCAGTGGGGTTGTCAGTCAGGGAGGCGCCTATTGCCCCTCAAATCGCGGCCCCTTGTAGACTAGAATTAAAGGTGGGGGAGAGAGCAGTAAACTGAAGTATACTTTGTCGCTATTGCTGCTGGGTTTACTGGTTAATAACGACAGTATTCAGATACGCAGATTGCCAGTTTTTAAGCCCTTTTGGCTTTGGGCTTCAATAATGGAAATTGACGACTCTGAGGCAATGAATTATATTACCCATCCCTCACAACCTGCTCTCAAAAATAATGGCCTCTCTCAGAATGGATTTCCTGCAGTTCTTCAAACAAGAATAATGCCAATGAGAAAAGGAAGGAAAGTTTGAATTCCGTTTGAGGGAACTCTTCTGTTCGGAGTGCAAATTATTATTAAGATAGAACTCTTGGAAATGCTAATTATTTATATTTCTCACTAGAAATGTACATGCAGGAAGTGAGCTTGGATATTCTGAGGGGTTGGATCTAAAATCTTCCCATATGATTAATACAATCTCCTGATTCAGTAGATACTGGTTGCAAAAAATTCAGGCAAGAAAATAATAGTGTTTCTCTTTGGTCCCATGACTCTAAGATTATTCACTGTATATGCTGAGATGTGCATCCTTCTAGGATGATATTGTTACATACTTTATATGGAATTATACATACTGTTTGTTTACCTTTGAACTTTATAAAAATTTTCTTCTTCGTTTAATATATTCAGGACATTATTATATGTCAATAAATGCAGCCCTATGATCACTCACCCAGCCAGTGAACTGTCGCAGACGTTGGGGTTGTTTTCAGTTTCTCACATTGACGAACCGTCTGACTCAACATCCCGGTGTATCTCCACGTACTTCTGCATTTATTTCCAAAACACAGATCTTTATAAATGTTGCCACGTACCCTTAAATGTTCTCCAGAAAGCCTATGCCAGCATACATTTCCACTAACAATGTATATTCTACCTACAGAAAAAAAATTATCTTTTTGGAAAAAAAACCTTTTTGAAACCCTATGAAAATCTTTTAAGTCATACCACTCTGGTGAAATTATTTTTGGAATTTGTTTGCTATAACAAATAGAAAGGCAGTTTCTAAAATAGAGGGTCGATCCTTTCCTGTCTGCAAAGGCCTCCTGTGAAATTTTTATTTTCATATTTGTCTAGGCCTCACACAACATTGGGATCGCCATGGACACCGAGCAGGGCTTGATCGTCCCCAACGTGAAGAGCGTCCAGGTCCGCTCGGTGCTGGAGGTCGCCGCGGAGCTGAACCGCCTGCAGAAGCTGGGCTTGGCCGGGCAGCTCAGCACCTCCGACCTCACCGGGGGCACCTTCACCCTGTCCAACATTGGCTCGGTGAGGGGCGCGCGCGCGCGCGGGCCGGCGGGCCGGGACCTGCGGCCTCGAGCAGACCCTCCGTCAGAAAGAGAAAACCTCACTAGCCACCTGCCCTCCCAGCATTAACGCTCTGCTCCACCTTTCCCGGTTGTGTTTCAGATCGGGGGTACCTACGCCAAAGCAGTGATACTGCCACCCGAAGTGGCGATTGGGGCTCTCGGATCAATTAAGGTATGTGTGTGAAATCGCTGAAAGAAGAGTTTATGCAGCAGGGGGAGGAAACAAGAGCAGCCGTTTCTGCGGTTCCTGCTTGCTCGTAGGTTGTGCTCACTCCTAGGCTGGAGGCGAGGCGTGGCTGGTGGGCAGGCAGTTCTGGGCCACGGTCCGGGCATCCGCCCTGCTCACCGCATACTCATGGGGGTCCATAGCCAAACCGGGTTACCCTGTACAACCACGCGAGACGCTGTTGGGGGCACGTCTTCTCACACTTTGTCTTCTCCAGAACGATTGGGAATGCTGGTTGAAAATGGAGATTTCTTGGCCATGGGCGCAGAGCCCCCAGAACTTGGATTTTTAAACAAAAGCCCAGTGGTTTCAACATAGGTGGTGGTGACCTGTTGTCCCGTTTTTACGAGAAACTGACTTAGAACAAGGGTTGCCAGGATTAACCTGGCTACACACCAGGATCATCTGGGTTTCTTGAAAAAGTGCCCTGACTCACACGGTATCGACTGACCCAGAGTTTGGGGGGCGGAGGCGGGGCACCCCCCCCCCCCGGGGTAAGGCAGCGCGGGCCTGGGCACTGCCGCGACTGTTGTTGTCCTGCGTTAACCTCGGTGGCCTTCCTGATTTCTAAAGAGCCTTTTTTCTTCTTATATTTCATTTTTTTAGTAATTCACTTTTACTATATTTGTAGAACCCCTGCCCTGCAGCGCCCTGGCCTTCCAGCCCTGCCCCTGACGCCTGTGGTCTCCGCCCCCGCCCGCCCAGGTCCCTGCGCACGCTTCCTCGCTGAGCCGTCCCTGCCCGCCCTCCGCTTCTCCGCTCTCCACCCCCTTCCAGCGGCTATGGTTTTCCTTTTTCACGTTTCATGGCCTGATACACTATATATTTTACTTACTTCTCTCAACTCTGTCTCTCCCTATTAAAACATTACCTCCAAGAGGGAGCGATCATTTGTTCTGTTCGCTGCTTCATCCCCAGAGTCTAGAAGAGTGCCTGGTACACAGCAGGTGCTCAATAAACATTGATGAAAGAGTTGAAGTCTGAGGTGCAATGTACCGTGCGCATGGAAATTGCGCAGGGACCAGACGCACCTTGGGGAGATGGAGGGCTGAGGCCCGCCCTCCGAGGCGGCGCCTGCGGGAGCCGGCGGTTTCGGCAGTCGTTTGGCATGGCCTTCCCCCCCCCAACCCCCCGCACTGTAGGCGACCGCCGCGTCTGTCCTGCCAACCCCCGCTCTCCTCTGCACCTCCAGGCCCTTCCCCGGTTTAACCAGAGAGGAGAGGTGTACAAGGCCCAGATCATGAATGTGAGCTGGTCAGCCGATCACCGGGTCATCGACGGGGCCACCGTGGCGCGCTTCTCGAACCTGTGGAAGTCCTACTTAGAAAACCCGGCGGTGATGCTGCTAGATCTGAAGTGAAGCCTGGCGGCTCCGTGCACTCTCGGAGCTTCCGGAGGCGACGCCAACCCAGCTGCGGCCGCGCCTGTCCCTCACGACAGCCGGCGGCACAGACGGTTTGTGTGGGGTGTCTGGCGTTCAAGGCACAACACTTCTCCCTGTTCCGACCCACGTTCTCCTGAGAGCGAACAATGGGTACTAGTTCTTTGGGGCCGTCCCGTTTCGTAGGTCACATGTGACTTCTCAGCGCAGTGCTGCGGCCTTCGTGGCAATGAACTGAAGCTGACAAGAACAACAAAACGTCACTAAAAGATGGTAGCCATAGACAGTATTTGTTCTATTTCCTTTTCTTACCTTAAACTGACTCAGTGGCTTTTTTTGATTTGCACTTAGTTGGGAAAGGGAATGTACGTACAAAACTGTTTTCCCTTCCCCCACAAGAATGCCAGTTGCTGTATGAACTAAGTGCCATTACACGTAGCGCTTAAGATATCCAGGGCTACGTCACTCTGAAGACGTCGTCATCTGCAAATGCCTTATTTATGTAAAGTAATACCTTTTAAAAGGGAAAACTAAGTGGATCTTAATGCCCAGATAGAGTTCTATTACCAGTAAAAAAGAAAGGGAGAGGAGTGGAGTAGGAAATTGTGGACATTAAAGTAAAATAGCAAATTTTATATAGAAATGAGTTGGGTAGAGGCCCACTGTAATCAGAAAGAGCATCAAGGTGAATACCAGCCAACACTTGGATTTGCATTCAGGAAACCGAACGCAAATTCAGTTGTTTCAAATATAGTCTAAAAAACTTCACGTGCAGTGTTATGATAAGAAAACAAGTTGTTTTAATATGGAAGTGACGTGAAGCGCCCTTGGTTGCAGCGTCACCTGACGCTACACCAAGGCTGTGGGTTCAGTCCCTGGTCAGGGCGCATGCAGGAGGCAGCCAAGGAATTGACCAGTGAGTGCGCAAACAAGCGGGACGCAAACTGATGTTTCTCTCTGTCTCCCCCTCCCTCTCTGTCTCTAAAAAATCAATAAATAATTTGTAGAAAGAAAAGAATGGATCGACTGAATGTTATTATTTTTAAAATTCAGATATTATGAAGAAAATAAATCACCCATAATCCTACCGCTATTACCATGTCGATCAATGCATCTATATTCATAGCTATTCTTTTTATAAAAACGAGATCATACTGTATCTACTATTTTATAACTTGCTTTTCTAAAAAATTTAACATTATGGGTAATTTTAGATGTCAATAAACAAGTCTACATTATGACACATTGAAATGCCTGCAAAGTATTCTATTGTGTGTATTTATTATACATTTAAATATTAAACATCTACTGTATACCAGGCATGTTGCCCAGCACTGGGCGCACAATGCCCACCCTCCCTCATGGTCCCTGCTGCCATTGGGGTTACGTTCTAGTGGTGGAGGCAGGCGTTAAATTACCATAAAAATAAAAAGAGAATTACACCTGAGCAGGAAGAAGCAGGGTGCCATGAGGGCATCTGCGAGAGGCGACAGCCTGTCAGTGAGCAGGTCGGGATGGATGCGCCCTAATTAAACCAATGCCCCACGGAGAGCACTTCACAGAACCTGAAATGAAGAAGGACATGATGGGAAACGCCTCCTCACCGGGGGAACGTGCGGGCTCGGGGAGTGGGGGCCCTGGAAGGAGCACGCACTGTACCCGCCTGCAGGTCCAGCATCACTGGTTCAGGGTGTTCTTGGCCGTCCCAAGGAACCGTGGAGCTGTGTGTTCCATCCCCACCCCCTGCCTTCACCCTCTTGCCTTCAGCCTCAGCCGCTGAGACCTCAGGGAAAGGTCAGCTGCCCACTGCGCGAGGCCTTCGGGGCCAGGAGGAGCCCGGGGCCCGAGGGGCTGGGGCACAGTCCTTGCAGCGGAGCAGACGCCTGGGCTCCACACGTCCGAGGCGAGAAGCCAGAAGAACTCAGCTCTTCCCTAGCACATGGAGGCTGGGGAGCACTGCTGCCTGTGCGTGAAGGAGGAGCCAGGAGCTTTGCGGGAAGTGGCCACCGAAGAGGCGAGGCTCCAGCCACCGGGCCGGGTGCTCCCCTGACTTGGAACAGGAAAGCGAACAGGGGAGGAAGCAGGAAGGACAGAAGCCAGGGCTGCTGCTAACTCCCACCTAGGAGATCCAAATGCCCTGTGTTGGACACGCCACGTTTGTGCCGGATTGTGCACGGTCCTGGCCGCATCACGCGGCCGTGTCAGGGGCCCTCGTAGGTCCCAGGTGTGAGTTCACAGAAGTAAAGACGCAAATGCCTGGATTGCTCGTGACTCGATGCGGTTTGAGGAGTAGCTGTCCTTAGGCTACGAGGAGGAGAGTCCTTACCTGCCCGCCCTGTGGAAGGCTCCCTGAGGCCTGCAGTTTGCAGCCCCCGATAGAAAGGGTTTGGGTATTGTGACTTCTCTGCAGGAGCTCATCAAGCCACGGACAGGGAGTTATTGACCTTCGAACAGGCTGCCCCCGACACCCGCCTGCCCGTTGCTTTCTGCCCAGTCGAGGTGTACTGGACAGCGCATTGCACCCTCTTGCCCAGCCTGCTTTACGCACAGGACGCAGACTGTCCGAGAGCCGGCCACTGGATGTCCTCAGAGTGGGAGACGCTTCCTCAAGGACAGAGGGTGGGGACGCGAGGCTGCACTGCCTACCTCCTACGGTGGCTGTCCCGGATGTTGCCAGGGCCTGCGGCAAAGCCCAGGGCGGCGTGAGGAGCACACGGTCTCCATTCTCGCGGCCTAGGCCTTGCCTTCCCAGGTGCCGGGCACTCCCAGGCAAGGAAGGGGCACGCACAGGAGCAGGCTCACAAGACACCCTGACACTCTTCCTGGTCCTCAGGCTCCGGCCCAAGGAACGACTGACTCCCGTTCCCTGAGAGCAGCGCACGGCCCATCTCCCGTTCCTGTGCCTTTGCTGGGAGAAAAGCCCCAGCAAAAGTTCCCTCCGGCTGTCGACCTCTGGCCTCCCCACATCCGGGTCAGCACGTTCCTCTCCCCCGTGGCTCTGCTCTGCCTCCACCAGGACTTGGCAGCGATGTGGACAGGTAGGCCCGCCTTCGCTGCTGCTGCTGGGCGGTGAGCCTCTCGGGAGCCCGGCTCAGGGGCCCTGAGCTCGGGATGTGCTGGCTGACTCAGGATCTACGCCCTCGTGTTTTTTAATGACACTCTGAGAGAGCAGGAGGTACAGCCAAGGACCCAGCCGAGAGGGACACGGGGCCAGCGGGGCCGTGAGGCGGCCCCCGTGCCTGGGAAAGCCTCAGGGGGCTGTGCTGGCCGCCAGGAAAAGTATCTAGAGGAGGGAAGGACCCTTCAAACCTCCTGTAATTGGGGAGACATTTATTCTACGTTTTTGGCGAAGATGAGTTCCACTTCCAGTGTGGAGTCGTGTCCGTTTTAGAGCGCATTAGAATCCCTTTGTTGACCCGCCTCTGTAGTGCTTTCAAGTTCATTGGCGATTTAACAGAGCGTGGGTCACCGTTTTTCTTTTTCAAGTGTTCATTGCAAATGGCTCACTCATACCACTGTAACACACGATTAAACAAAGCAATGATTCTTCTAATGCCAAGCAGGAAAGAACACAGCCAAACTCAACCGCGTTGTTTCTATGCAAAGGCATCACCGACAGCACAGGCGCATTCACGACCCCAGAAATAGAAACGGCCTAATGTATTGACTTACCGAATCCCTGATCCATGCCCAGCTGCTTTCAGAAAGAATTTAAGAAAGCAACTGCATCCATATTTTTAAGCACCATACTTGAACACTGTAATTATTACTGTTCTCGTATTGCCATGTATAGCTAACTTTACCTAACATTTCAAATTAAGCACCTTAGTTGATTATTTACTACTCACACTAACCTTATGTACTGTTACTCTTTTATTTCAATGAGGAGAGAGCAGCCCTGGCGGGTGTGGCTCAGTTGGTTGGAGCATCGCCGCAGGGACCGAAGGGTCACGGGTTCAGTTCCCGGTCAGGGCACATACCTAGGTTGCCGGTTCCGTCCCCGGTTGGGGCGCGACAGGGGGCAATGGATCGGCGTTGCTCCCTCACATCAATGGTTCTCTCTCACTAAAAAAAATTTTAAAGAAAAGCAATGAAAAAATGTCCTTGGGTGAGGATAAAAATAAATAAATAAAATAAATAAGCCCTCATTTCCTCAAAGAGGAGCCAAGTCTGACAGCTGGCCCCAGGTCCCACAGCCAGCGGCAGACCAGGCCTGTCTTCACACCCTACCTGCCCAACCCAGCAGCAGCAATGTCCCGTAGCACGGTCGCTCCCGGAGTTTCCACCCTCCCCAGCTCCCTAGATTCGTATTTAGGATAAGTTGTTCCCTGAAGTTGGTTGTTTTCTGGGCGAAGGGCAGGGGAAAACAGAAGCGTGGGCTGCCGGGCCGTGTGCAGGCACCAGAAGGCACGGAGGAAACCGCATTGCCACGCAGCAGCGCCACGCCCAGCACGCCTCTGTGTCTCCCTCAACCCTCACAACAACGCCTCTCGGTAAGTGTATCAGTTAGGACCAGGTTCTGGTGACACCTAAGAGGGACCCAAACCAACAGTGGCTTAAACAACGAACTCTCACGTGAGTGTCCTTAGCTGGTAGGGTGGCTGCCCCACTGAGTCCTTACGGACCCAGGCTCCTTCCCGCCTTGTGTTCTGCCGACCCTGTGGCGTCGCACCTGTCCTCACTGTCCACATCCACATTCCACACGGCGGCGGGGCAGAGGGAAAGAGGGAGGCTGTCTCTTAGGGAAGATTCCCAGAAGCTGCTCTGGTCCTTCCTGCAGTCGGGCTCCCTCCCCTCTGCTCGCCTGCAAGCACAGCGTGCGCGGCACAGGTCCCGCCTTGCCAGGGTCTCCTGGGCAGCTCCCCTCTGGACCTGCCGCTCCCCTGTGCTCTAGGGGCTCCTTTTCACTCTTAGCATCTCGAGCTGACCGCGCGTGTCCATGACATCAGACAGACCAGGTCAGCTCTGAATTATTTACGCCACACCTGAGATGTTCATCGTTTGCCCATCAAAATAATCACCGGCTCCTTCCTGCGACAGTGCGCATCCCCGCCCAAGTGAACGCGAAGGCAGCACAGCCCCTTGGGGTTTGCAAGCTCAGAGGTGAATGGAAACGAACTTGTGGCGCGGCAGACCCAGGACCGAGCCGAGGGCTGGAACCGCAAGCGGCCGCCCGTGCTGGGCAGACGCTGGTTGGAGGAGCCCAGGCCAGCGTGCTGAAACCGAGCAGGAGAATTCGGAGACTGTCCAGAGGAGAGCCACGAAAGCAATGGCAGCACGGCGAGAATAGTTGCAGTTCTGCTCTAAGGGAACCTTCTCTACCGGGCTTCCACCGAGTGCCATGTAGCGTGTTACCGGGCAGAGCGTGGGTGGAGCAGTCTTGACAGCCAGGGCGGAAGTCGTGCAAAAGGCGGCAGGATGTAGGGTGGATATCGGGGGAGAGTCGGGACAGTTCCAAGCAGGGGTCACACTCATCTCAGGCCAAGGAGGACACGGCACCGTGTCCCCAGAGGGGCCGGCACACCGCGGGGGACGAGCCGTGCCCTGTTTAACTTGGGGTCTGCAGCAAGAAACTTCTAAATATGTTCTACGGGTGTCGTAAATAGCACTACAAACTGTGGTGAAAGAGGGAAGTTTTAAATGGGATAGTAGTTTTGAAAATGTGGTAAAAGTGAAAGTTGTAAAAAAAAAAAAAGAGAGAGAGACAAGGTTAGAAAGTCTGTACAGAGGTCACAAGAGTGTAGTCATCCGGAAAAACTTAGAGACTTAATTTCCTGGAAAAATGCAGTCGGAGTGCCAGCTCTGGGAACAAAGGCAAGGCACTCGGCAGCAGGGGCGGCCGAGTTCATGCGGGGTGCAGGGACGGCTGTAAATTGGCCCTTGACCAACAGCGGGGGCGTTAGTCACATGGGACCGAGGGGAGGCCGCAGGCTAGGCCAGCGCACTAACAAGGCTGCAAACCGAGGGCGCCCCAGGCTGCGCTTGAGCCTGGCCTTGGCCCGCTGTGTGGCTGGCATAAGATAAGGGCCGCGTTGGTGCCCGTGTTGCTTGGACAGAGCAGGAAAAACTGTCAGAGTGGTGGCTTAATTTTTTAAAAAAATCACCACTGTTACTTACAGCACTCGATTTCCTCTTTAAGTTTGTGAATGTTGGAAATATTGATTTGCAAATGCAAGGCGTTTCAATTTTAATAGAATGGTATTATTTCCATCCGATGTCTCACTTTGGTTTGTAATCCCCCCCCCCTCCCCCCGCGCAAAAAGCTTTATTGTTTCCACTTGGGCCAAGGCAAGGGCCAGGCTCCAGGGTGGGGAAAAGGCTGCCTAGTGGTTGCAGGGAGAGGCTCAAGCAGAAGCCAGACACCAGAGGGAGGCAGAGGGGCCCCTCAAAGGCCTCTGGCGGGGGGGGGGGGGGGGGCGCCTCTTGAAAAGATGCTGCCCAGCCCAGCCCAACCTGGGTCCGACCAGCCCGCTGAGGGGAGCCCCGCGGTTGCCCATCTCCTCAATGGGTTTCCCCGGCTCGTCCAGGAAGTGGCTCTCCAGGAAGTCTCGGAGCTGAGGGTGTGGGCAGGCAGAACCCAGGGCCTGAAGGTCCGAAAGGACCTGGGTCAGCTTCTTCTGCAGGACTGGGCGGTTTCCACGTGTCCTGAGCATCGCCGCACTCCCCGTGGGCCGTGGGGCGCCCCGTGCTTCCTGGGAGAGGGCGTGGCTGCCTTGCAGGTTTTGCAGCCTCAGGAGATGCTTGCCCCCCGGGGCTTCCCCTGGACCAGCTCTCAGAAGTGCCCCCCACAGGCCACAGCCTGGAGGGGGCACCAGAGGCTCAGAGAGGGGCGGGCGCGGGAGGCCCGCAGGACAGGCTAACCAGACGGTGGGCGGCGCCTCCCGGGGGAGCAGTTCCAATGAATCTGGGAGCAAGCCACGGGGCTTGGCAGCGAGGAGCTTCCAATCTCTGGCCAACTCCCAGTCAGCTATAGAATGAATGGTTTTCATGTAATACTTGCATCTCCACTGTTGACTGTTGAGGGAAGTGGGTGTGTGTGTTGTGTAAGTGACAGCTCAGTATGGCTTTAACTGTATAAATTCACGGACGGTCTTTGGAAGAACACACCAGTATCAGGCGGTGGTGATCGCCTTCAGGGAAGAGAATTAAGTGGCGGAGGTGAATGGCGCAAGCTTCCCTGTCTCTTGAATTTTGTTCCATGTGCATATATGACCGATTCAAAAAAATACATATAATGTTATTCAAAGAACCAGGAATTAACTCCTCCCGTGGCGAGGCTGAAGAGATAAAGGTTGAGAGATCCTTAAATCTGAAGTGTGGATGTAAGAAGAGCTGGGGCTCCCGTTACCCCTCCTTACCCACCCCTTCATTTTTCTTTTGCCGGGAAGCATCTGTTCCCTAGTTCAATAGTTAAAGACCTGCGGCTTACCCAGTAGAGGTATTGTTCCGCCATACACGCTCTCATTTCCCAGGTCCTCTCTTGGAACGGGGCCATTCAATCCCCTGAAATACTAGAAATGGGGCGGCCAGGAGGCGCAGCGGGGCTCGGAGCAGGGCTTCTGACTCCCCGGGAGGCTGGGGAGAGGCAGGCTGCCCGCCTCCGGACGCTGTCGTCGGTTGTGTGCAGGCAGCCTCAGCTGATCCTGGGCACTGCCGCCCCACGTGACCCTTGCTATTCTCAGCTCGGTCCCTGGACTAAATTTAGAACGAGGCTGGCGTCACCTTTCACTTGGTTACCGTCTGGCGGAGGGCTTCCCTCGCCGGGGACGCTGCTGCCGACGGCCGCTGCCTTCGGGCATGTCAGGGGCCGCACCTGCGGGCGACGGACGGTAAGCCTTTTCCCCAAAAAAATGTGTTTCGTTTCTTTTCTTCACGTATAAATCGATGGCTGGCGGTCCCGTGTCTGTGTTTGCTACAATGTGCAGCTAGCCTTGGGATTGGACTTAAAAGTCTCGTTGGGGTCCCTGGTCACTCACGGAGTTGTCTTTGTCAGGAAGAGAGATGTCCCTAAAAGTTAAGGAGCAGCTGTGTTCAGATCGTATTTCTTTCTTTTGACTTTGAGAAGCGGACTTTCCGGTCAGGCCGTTGTTGTTCTGGCTTCACTGCCAAGCCATGTGCTTGTCTGTCAAGGTAATAATGAAGGTAGAGAGCACAGTCCTATTGTGCCAGGGACAAAAAGTGCCTAACGTCGTTATTGACCTGTTTTCCTCTTGGTCGCTGCCACGGGAAAGTTTGCCAACACGTTGTGGCAAACAAGGAAATGAAGCAGCACGTATATGTCTCACAAAATATAGACAGTTGGAATTTTAGAAAATACTTTTTTGTTTGGTGAACAAATAATTCGAACAAATTGTAGCTTGACTGTGGTATATCCGGGTAGTCGGATCATCAGCATCCGTATCCCACGGTTTCCAAATGGCAAAAGATCTCGCCACCTGTTCCCGTGCAGATTCCGCACGCCTCGCTGAGACGGGGGGGCCCTCTCCTCACGGTTTCCTGCCCGTTGGCGGTTGTATGTCAATCCTGAAATTTTAAACGTCATTCCTCTGAACGACGTCTCTTCTCCCTCGCCGCCTGTCTCTGTCCTGGTCTCTCGCCACACACGCTGCGTAATTTTACTCTAAAGAAACCAATACTTGAGAGGCGATTAGTGACGAAAAGCAATATTCTCTACCCCCTTTCTCCCTATAGAAACAACATTGCCAGCATCCCAGGGGTTATCTCTGGATCTCTCCTTTTTCCGAAGGCAGTTACATCCTATTCTTATCCACGTCAGACGTTACCCAGGGAAGTTCATGAGGAAACGCGGCGCCCACGTTCTCCTACACCCCCTAGAGTTCTCGCCCTGTTTTCAGCGGCGCTCGGTCACATTTATAACTTCAAGCAGACACTTATGTCTCTACGCCTTGTTTCAGAAAGTATCCACGGTATCCATTGACTCCCCACTTGGCTTCTAAGGGAAAAACCAGGATTTTAGAAACAGCACTGTCTATAGCAGCACAACTCTGAAACCCAAATACCCGCGTTCCCGAGGGGGATAAAGCAACTGCAGCACAGGCGTACGTTTTAGAGGTCACGGCGCATCAGTACGTAAAATGCTGTTCCTTCCTATGGACCTGTGCCATTTTCCGTGAGGTGGCCACGCTATCACTTACAGATGGAAGTTAGGTTGTTTCCAATCTTTTGCTGTTATGAACAGCGCTGCAGTGACTCATTTTGTCGTATGTCACTTTACAATGGGAAACAGTGGCACTATGCATTCCTGCAAGCGTGAGCGTGCATTTGTAAGTTTGGCAACTGTCACCCGATTTCTCTCCCTGGCGATGAGGACAATGCGTGCTGCCCCCTCTCCTGCATGGGCGCACTCACCTGTTCCCTACACAGCTGCAAGTGTCACCTCTCTGTCCCCAAACCCTCTCTTTACTCTGTCCCTCTCCCTATGTTACAGCGTTCCATGGTGACGCTGAATAGACGGAGTGACGTGGGCACCGCTGGCTCCCTCAGTGTGGCAGAAAAATAATTCAGTTAATTGGGAATCAAATTCTTCCCCTATTGTTCCTATAATTTGGTGAAAAGCCACTACCATTCTTTGGCAGGGGAAGAGCATTCCCTCAGCTGGATCTGTCGTTACTTACATAACCGTTTCTCTGTTGCTGTTTTCTTCTCACCCCTGAGATCCCCAGTGTTACCTCTGTTCATCTGCAACTTATTTTGCACAAGAGCAAACAATCCCCATACCGCATTGCCACTTCTCTGGATCCTAGCTGGAAGGAGTAGCTATCCCTGGATGCCTGTCTTATTTTATGTGTCCTTTTGTAACCATTTTCCTATAATTGCACATGTAAACAAGGTGCAGGTTTTCATTGTTGTGAGTTAGGTAGTAACCGGGGAAGTACACTCGGCATCAACTCCTTGAACAAACTGCCCATCTTCTTTGAGGCTCAGTCTTCCCATCTGTATTTTAGAAACAATGCAGGGACCCACGTCCCAGTGTTTTTATGAGGAGCGCCAGGCGAGCTACGGCGTGGAAGCGTATGGGTAGTTTGGGGAACCTGGAACGTGTTCAATAAAAGTATGTGATTGGCATCATGGCGGTACCGAGTGACCGTTCTGAAACACGCTGTTCTTTTCCTCCAGTGCAGGTAGGTCCTTTCTCAGGTGACATCTAGGAGTCGACTGTTTAGAGTTTAATGAAGTCGGTGACTCTGTGACAATGTGGAGAAATCATGTCAGAAAACGCGGCTTGTTCGGGGGCTGTCCATGCTGTCAAGGAAATTTGGGAAAAAAGAATAAAGGTGCTCAATGAAGACCTGAAGCGAGAGAAGGAGTTACAACAGAGGTATGTCGCCACTTGTTTATTGCTCTGAGTTCGTGAAAATTCATAACCTCGTTACAGAAACGAGCAATGATGAAATGCCTTGTGATTGAATCTGACGGAAACCTTTTTATTTATTGAAAACTCAATATGCGCCCAAAGGAGAGGCGGCCTCAGTGACACGTGGCCGTGTAACAGGCGCTCAGAAAATGCACGCGTCTGTGCGGGAAAACCGTACTTACCCCGGGCCCTGTTAGGGCTCTGTCCAACGTTCGCTGACGTTCGAAGAGCACCGTGTAGTCTACTTTTCAGTGATTGTTCGTGCAGCCTCCTATCTCCTAGGACCTCCAGCCACACCCGGCGGAAGGTTCCGCAGATCCTCACACATTTGAATGGCTGTGAGGTCCAGCCAGGGCCCTGTAAACCCGAGTCCTTGGTTTGGGCTGTATTTCAATGGCTCGGCTATTGTTCCCTCCCCCTTCTTGGGTTCTCCTTACCTTCCTGCCTGCGTGGCTCCGGAGTGCTGCTCAGCTTGCGAGAACAGCCCCTTCCTTACCGATCCCCCGGAGCTCCATGCGTCGGGTCCCTGTCTAAGCGTTCAAGGCCTAAGGCGTATAACAGACCATTCAGCCAACAGCGGCCTGGGCGATGGCGAGGCCCTGAGGTGAGGCCCTCCCGAAACTTCAACAGCTTTGTCGGCTCTTTGTCACCTTCCCCCTGCTGCTCTCAGGACGTCACAGGACGACTGGGGCACTTCCAGGCCGCGTCGTGTTAGCAATAGCGTGGAAACTGTTGCTTTCTATTTCCTCTTTTGAGGCCCGACTTGGGCCAGTGGTCCTCCCCTCATCCAGTTACCTTCTAGGGGATGAGGCTGTATGATCGATTTAGACAAACTAAGACTGATACCTGGGTTACTTGGGGGAAAGCGTAACCCTTCGAAAATAACCGGTATCCTCCCAGCAAAGAAGGGGGAGGTTATTGATAAGCAACTACACGCGTCTGACCTGGCTGGGGAGGGGCCATCCTTCCCCACCAAGGGCAACGCGGACGCTGACCACGAGAGGGGCGGCAGCCGTTTGTCGCGCACTTACTGTCCCCAGGCCTCTGCCAGGTGCTTCCTTTGCGCTGTCTCCCTTAATCCCCTCCACGCGCTGGACCACGGTTTCATGACGTGGGTGAGACAGCATTACGAGAGGAAGTTAAAATAATAGGGCCTTAAACAAGAACGCTGGCTTTTCTGGGTGCAGTGGCCCAGGACGGGAATAGCACGCCACTGAGTCAGATCCCCGGACTTCTGCCTGGTTGCTCAGCTGTGCGTGGCTTCCATTCCCGAAGTCACCTCACGGCCCCAAATAGATACGCCCACGGCAGCCGCCCAGCCTGACTCTGGCCTGCGGGAAAATGCAGGCCCTGCACTGCCAGCGTCCACGGCCACGCTTCCCGCGCCCCACATCCAGCGGCGGGGGCGGGGGTGCCCGCACGGCCTCTCGCGCCCAGAGACATTGAAAGGGTGTATTATGGAGGAAGGAGAGGCGTAACAGACACCCGGGGACAATAAGCAGTCTCTGCCACATGTGGGTGCTGTGATTTTCTCCGTTTTCAAGATGGGAAACCCAAGAGACAGGCGTCAGGAACCGGTCAAAGATCATATTGCTAATAAACATGGGGAGGTATTCACACTCAAGCCACCTGACTCCCTGAGCATCACGGGGGCCTCAGGGCGTCCGCTTCCCTGGACGGGCCTGTCTATGGAGAGCCAGCCTTTTGACAGCGATCGTGTTTACAGCGCCCCGTCATGACAAAGGTGACTTGACAGCCCTCTTAATAGATCCTGCTCACTTTTAAAATGGCAGTCAGCAGTCATGGCTTGGTTCTAAACTCTCGAATTTCGCCTCTCACACATGTCTGGTTAAGAATCATCTCATTGCAGCAGCTCTGAGTGCTCTCTGCACAAGGCGAAGCAGTGTGCATTATTTTCCCTGTTGCGTCTTATTTAATTTATGTATTTATATTTATTTGAGAGAGAGAGAGACTGGTTTGTTGTTCCACCTACCTATGCATTCGTTGGTTGCTTCTTGCCTGTGCCCGGACCGGGGATCGAACCCCAACCTCCGTGTGTCAGGATGACACCATAACCAACTGAGCTACCCAGCCAGGGCACGTCTTCATTTTGGCTTCCTGACTAGACTGTGATTGGGAGGGAGGACTCTGTTCGTGAAATGTATATTCCAAAAAGTAAGTCGCACAAGCGTCAATGAACGTTGAGATGAGGTCCAGGCCCTGCCTACTTAGCTCTGGGCCTCGGGCCAGCCCCTTGGGGCCCGCATGCATGCATGCATTCATTCGTGCACCAAACTGACATTCCCCTGCGCACGCCTTGGGGCCCTGAGGGCAAACCATCCCCGACTTCTGCCCCTGGGGGCTGCAGAGAAGACCTATGCTGACAGCCGTGATGAGCACTTGTCACATTAGAGTCTTCTGACAATCTTTGTCGGGGGGGGGGGGGCGGGGAATCAGAGATTGTTTAAGAAATTTAGGGGGAAAAATTTTCTTTTTTTTTTAACACCTAGACCAAAAGCAGTTTCTAGCTCTAGTATCTTTACTTGGAATTTGCAAAATGCTGTCTTTCAAGACACCCTTCCCTTAATCTTAAAACAATTTCATTGTAAGGTCACTTCGTAGTGTTCGAAAACTTGATTTATGATGGAATTCAGTCCAGGCCATTTCAAAAGGAAACTATATAGACTTAAAACTTGTGGCGTTATTAAAGAAATGATACAGACGCAACCACAGCTGATGCAAAATGGTGAGACTCTGACGCACCGTTTAGAGCCAGGCAAGGAAGCAGAGTGTGGGGGGGAGAAAAATAAAACCTGAATTGTATACCGGATGGTATGCTGTGAAAGGGTTAGTTTTACGGCATGAAAATTACATCTCTCGAGAGCTGTTACGAAAAAATTTATTTATGGAGAGTTATGATACTTTTCAAAGATGTAAAAACAGGGCATTTGTGATGCTTAATCATATTTAAAATTCTTATAAAATAAAATCTTGTTTCATTTCCAGATGCTATTGAACAAGGGGTGGTTTTGGATGGGCCTTTCTTTATATGAAAGTGAATGTTATGGCTTCTGGCCTTTGGCTGAGGCCAAGGGCAGTGCCTGCTCCTGTCCGTTTGACATAAAAGTGCGCTCGCGGCCGAGGCCACACCCGGGAGCTGACAGGGCTTCCTGGTCCCCAGGCTCGTGCGGATCTGGGAGGAACGAGTGACCTTGACCCGGCTGAAGGAGAGGGTCACCAGGGAGAATGGGAGACTTATTCTGAAGATAGAGAAAGAGGAATGGAAGGTAAGCATTGCAAGGAATGTTTGCTTTTCTACCCTTCGCCTTTGCAGGTGAGTTGAGAGAATGATTCTGAGACTGTGTAATCGAGACCGGAGTAGTTAGAAAGTCAAATCTTAGTAATATACCGAAATGACTTTGGGCAACATGAGCGACGGGAAAGAAATATGTCACTGTTTGTTTTTGGCAAAAATTCAATTCACTTCTACTTTGCCTAAACTTAAGTCATTTGTAATATTCCTTCTACTAATCCTTTTAAGACTTTCTCATCATAAAAAGATGACCATCTGACTAATGAACATCATGTAGCTTTTCCAAAGCAAATACTCAGTTAAAACTCCACCAAATGGCAATGGAGATGAATTCTTTCGTTAGGTCCACCACCTGCTTTGTATCCCCTCTCTTCCCCCTCGCCCACCTCTCTCTCTCTCTCTCTCTCTCTCTCTCTCTCTCACACACACACACACACACACACACACACACACACACCCTGCGCGACCACATTGGGCGAACTCTAATTTTCACGAGGGCCCCCCTCCCGGTCCGTGTTGTTACGCACGCGGGCGCCCCTAGCGGGGGGCGGCGCCTCTGTTCTCCGTCTCGGCTGTTGCAGGCTGGAAGGGAGAAGGCGGGGGCTTAGAAAGGTCGGAGCGCTTCAGATCCTTCCACATCAAGAAATCCCCTTTTAAACTTTTAGAAAACATTTCGAAACAGAAGGGAAAGAGAAGTTTGAAGCATTTTTTTTAAAGAATTATTCTTTTATACAAGTAACTTTTAAACTTTCAGCTACAGCTGAGGTACATGACTTAAATAAATTACTTAATCAAATCATTATTAAAATATTGGGGCTGAGCAGAAAGGAAAAAGCAGTCCTGGACACAGACAACAGTGTGGTGATGGCTGGGGGTGGAGGGTGTAAGGGAATACGTGGTAGGGGAAAAAATACGATAAAGAGTAAATCTGAAACAAGGTCCTGCTTCTCTGTGACGCCCACTCCCCGCCACGTTCCCGTTTTCACGGGCGCGTGTGCTCCAGGGAACCCGGACACAACAGAGTCATCAGGACATCGTTTTCTGCGTGAGGGTGCTGTTGACCGCGATGCGCTATTTCTGTTTATTCTATTATTATTGGGGTTTAGCAAAACAAAAAGTAAATAACACAAAGCACTTGGAAATACAACCCGCTGAGAAAAAAGGATTCCGAGGTCTTTTCCAAATCAAGGAACGGCTCGGCAGTCCCACGTCAGTGCAGTGTGGCACCGAGGCCGTCCAAGTGGGGTGGCTGTCACTCCCTTCTCTCGAGTTCAGGCCCTTCCCGCTTCTCTGCTGAAACTGAGCCAGCTCCAGGAGTGGCAGCTGCACAGAACAGGTTTGCTGAAAATCCCTGAATTCATCGGACGATTCCAGAACCTCATTGTGCTGGATTTATCTCGCAACACGATTTCGGAGATACCCCGCGGAATAGGTAAGGTGGGCGGTGCTGCTTTAACCGCCCCCCCCCCCCCCCCCCGTTTCATCCACCTGCAGGTGCTCCTCATCGAGACTTTGTCTGGTACTTGGAACACGGGTCTCATCCCTCCGGAGCCCTGAGCCCCGGGAAAATTGCAGACGTCCACCCTGCGTGGATGCTCTGGGGGCATCCGAGCTTCAGGATGCACGGGGGTGATTCAGGAGGAGATTTCAATGCAAGAAAAGTCTCTTTGGAAATATAATTCTATAGATTCTAAAACCAGTATTGCTGGTGCAGTTATTTCCCCTCGAAGGGGGCGGGTTGAAGGCAAGGAAGAAAATTAGGAAAACGTCTTAAAGGAGAAAACAATCCCCAAATGGAGAATTGGTCAGAAGGCAGTACAGATAAAACAGAATAAAAAACATGTTCTTTTGCCTAACGCACTGATAAACCTGCCCCTTACCTGGCAAGAGCTAACAACCTGGCAAGGGTGAATTTATCCACACGGAACCGGCCAGTTCTTACAGCGGTAATTCTTTGTAACTGGAAACATTATTTTCTATCCACCTGCTCTCAACTGTGCATTGTGTTTTGCAGGACTGCTCACTAGACTTCAGGAGCTGATTCTCAGTTACAACAAAATCAAGACTGTCCCCAAGGAACTAAGTAACTGCGCCAGTTTGGAGAAACTAGAACTTGCTGTCAACAGAGACATAAGCGATCTTCCACCCGAGGTGAGGGATGGACGCGGGCCCGCGGTTCCCTTTCCCGCCTGCTGGAGGCTTGCTTCTCTCGGTCGCGCGATCCTTCCTCTAGTGAAGAAATGCTGTAGATTTTAATTCAGGAACTACTTAGTGAAAGCCATTTCTGGTTATGTTAAGTAAAATGCATTGTTTCAATGAGAGCGACCCACAGCTCTGAGGTCTGGGAGGCCAGAGCGAGTCTGACTCATTTTGCTCCCAGAGCTGAAGGTGCAGCCTGGGCCGGAATGGCCACTTAGTGAATGTGTATTGAATGGATAAACAATCACCATGAAGCTCAGACAATGTGCCTACAGAGAAACCTCTCTGGTAGCCTAGCTGGTTGTTACCAGGGCGCCCAGTTTTTGAGGGAGGCTAAGTGACAGGGTGTGAATTCTTCGGGTTCAGACAAAGTGCTTCCGTTTTAGGAGAAGGAGCTTCCTGGGCTCCACCAAGGAAAAGCAAAGCAGCGGGCTTGGGGAGCCTTCAGACTTGGATTTGGTTGAAATTCTGAGGATGCTTTGTTATTGGCAAAAACCGAACTAGTTTGGTCATAGAGCTATAGACACTTGTATTACTTCTCAAATATATTTGATGCTCCTAGAATTCGCAAAGGGAACTTCCACGGTGCTTTGCCTTGAAAACAATGACTTTGCAAGATAACAGGAAAAATAATAAAACTCAAAATGAAATAGATTATTACCTTCTCCCATTATATCTTGGGGGAAATATCACTTTCCTTTTTTCAAAACCAGTAAACACGTCACCAGTAATTGTTGCTCTTGCAAGTAAGACGTAGTTTTTATACGGATCTCTATCTCCTCTTACAATAGTTCAGTTTAATGAAAAGTATGCATTTATTTATGATGAAAATGATGATCACAGGGACAATTTCTTTATACCTACGAGAGGGCCAATAAGTACTTTATTTCTAATTGTTAATTCTTATGACTTTCTTCTTAGGGTTGCTTCTGGTGCCAAAAGGCCACGTGAGTTAGGCTGTGACCGTTAACCTGTGTGTCCCTTAATTTCTTTGCTTCGAGAATTAGGTTTTACTGGAACAATATTGGGCTGAGGTCTGGAGCCAAGGATTATTTCTAAGGGTGGCCTTGAACATGCAAAACCAAGACTGTTTGAGTGTAATCGTTTTAGAATGTTTTGAATCTTCTACAGTCAGAGCGTTCTGGCCCCCCTGAGAAGTCAGCAGCGCGAGGCCGTACCTCTGAGCCGTGACGTTGCGCACACCAGACACACAGACATACCTATGTGACGTAGGAACAATCTCTTGATACTCTGTTCTGAGCCATTTAAAAGTTTTGAAAGTCTGATAACAGAACTCGAAAAAGCCTTTTATTTGTGGCCTGAATTCTAAAGCTGGAGAAACATCAGTTACAAGATGGAACCTTTCTGCTTTTTTTGCCCACAAAACACTGTACTTGTGCATTTTTCTGTGGTGTTCAAGTGGTAGACTCATAGTTAGATGGAGAGTTTCTAAATAAAAGTTAATGAAATTCTCTCATCTTGAAACTTTCACTCCTGTTCTATGGAAAGAGGGAAGAAATTTTGTGGCTTTAGGTCCATGAAAATTTGAGTGCAAATCACTACAGAGCTTCGCCTTTTCTAGTCACATGGCCCACGGAAGCCATTTTGTCCATAAAACGGAAACAGGGTACTCAGCTGGTAAAGCCGATGTCAGACGTTTTCCGTAATTTAAGGGCTGATGGCCGGCGATCGTGCTCCCAGCCTTCTCAGGCGGGGGGCAGGCCACACGGGTAACTAGGGGCTCCTCTAAAGTGAATAAACTATAAGCGTCGATGCGAGTACATTTAAAAACTGATATAGTGAGAAAAACTCACTTAAAGAGAGACAAGTACTGCGTCATAATCTCTGAGTAAAATTAAAAAAACATAAAAATACAAAATTATAGACGTTCACAAAGACAGATGATAGTAACTGTCTGTAGAGCAATACATAGGAAACGTATATTCCTGTACAGCAACTAAAGCATGAAAAAAGGCGTGGGCACGAGAGACGCCAAGTTCAGGAGAGGCCCGGCCGCTGGACAGGACGAAGGGACAGAGGACGCAGGGGGCAGCGGTGCCAGCACGTCCTCTTTCCGAAGCCGAGCACACGGGTGCTATAGTGTTCTTAATGCATTTTTATTGACGTTTTCACTTAAAATAGTGTTTTCACCTAAACTAAACTCGGTCACTGAGATCCCATAAGGGGTTCAATGAAAGGATTATCTGGAATGTGAGTTTTCCCACACACATCTCCATGCAAGCATGGAAGGAAAAGACAATACATATTTTATTATATATTATTATAAGAAAGTTGGGGGCGGGGGGAAGCCTTTGCCAGGCAGGTTCTGTGAACGCCGGAACCTGGTCGTTTTGGAAGACAACCGTCTTTGAGCAGACGGACTTTCTGGGAGGGAGCCCTTCGTGTACGCGGAGGGGCCCCCCCGCGAGCGCGCCCGCTCGCCCCGCGCCCCCGCTGACGCCCCGACGCCCGCCCCGCAGCTCGGCAGCCTGCCCAGGCTCGCCCACCTCGACCTGAGCATGAACAGCTTCTCGGCCTTCCCGCCCGCTCTGCTGAGCCTGCCGGCCCTGGAGTGGCTGGACCTGGGCGGCAACCAGCTCCGACAGCTTCCCGAGGCGATCGACAGGTAACACGGGCCGCCTCTAAGGCCCCCGGCACGGGTGATGAGGAATAAACAGCACCAAGGGGCCCCCGCGCCTGACCGCTCACAGTAGATACATCTAGAGCTAACGGGGCTGCCCTTCAATAGGATATTTTAATGTACAAAAAAAGTAAACGAGGAAAACTGGCTCTCTGACACCTGCAAATGGGCAGGAATAGGCTACACCAGGGACAATGTTGCTGAGTGCATAGCAGGCGTCGGTGCACTTACAGATAGGAAACAGAGATGCCAGCTCTTAGGTTGCTCAAGGTGATAGATAGCAAATGTGCAGGCAGAGGCATGAGCCATTTCTGATTTTTCTTGTAAGACTAATTCGAACTGGATCACATTTACAGCAGTTCTTCTTTGAGCAATCGAAGAGAATAGTGGAGAATTCTGGAGCACGTTGGCTGCCTTTCCGCCACCGCATGTGAGAGGTGTACGGGAGGGCTGAACCCCAACGCAGCTTCCCTGATAAGCAGGGGGTGCGAAGTCAGTTACCTGAATGGGTACGCTGGTTAATGGAGGTGTCACAAAAGGGGGCATCTCTTGGATTTTTAAGTTCATGGGATCCTGGGCTCTCCTTTGACGTGTGATTGATTAACCGCAGAAACCCCTGTTAATTTCTTCAGAATGCAAAATCTCCACACATTGTGGCTGCAACGGAATGAAATAACATGCTTGCCGGAGACCATCAGCAACATGAAAAACCTGGGCACTCTGGTTCTCTGCAACAATAAGTTGCAGGATATTCCGGCGTTCATGGAGGAGATGACCGGCCTGAGGTACAGGCTCTCCGCACAAAACCGACACATTCCTCTCAGCTGCAGCGCAAAGTAACACAGGGAAATTACTATGACTACACCTGCATCCTCATTCATGAGAATACAGGCATTTCCAAATTTTGTCCAGTTCTGAAACTCTGTAATTTATAGATCGGGTTCAGGTAATACTGGTCTAAACTATTCAAGAGTGGATCCATAATACTGGAGCAGGGCTGGGTGGGATTTATCAGCTTCAAGGAATGCCATCTCTTTGTTACACTTTCATGAAAATCATTTTTATAACTGCCCACAAAGCCCACCTGTGACATAAAAACCAAACCATAAACATAGTGATAACTTTCCTTCTAAATAACGACAAATGGACACAGACAATTATCTTAAAGATAGAGCAAGCATAGCTTTTTACTGAGTAAATTACTGTTAAAACTCCTTTGGCGTCCTCCTTCTGAAATTTAACCTCCTGATAGTGAACTTAAGGCATGACAATTAACGCCAAGTCCCACCACATCTGTAACAAAATCATTCATTCATTCACTCGCTTACTTAGCAACTCCTAGGCTCTGTCTCAGATGGTGGAGATTCAATGATAAAAAGACACAAGCCTATAAAATATGCAAACTTTTAAGTCCATTGTGTTGAATTCACAGATGGTCCCTGGACTTTATGATGGCGCAGAAGTAATACATGTAATAAATTACACAAGAGAGTCAACAGCTTATTATAAAGTAGGCTTTGTGTTAGATGACTTTGCCCAACTGTTGGCAAATATAAGTGTTCTGAGCATGTTTAAGGTAGGCTAGGCTAAGCTGTCATCTTCAAGTTAGGTGTATTACATGCATTTTTTACTTATTTTCAAGTTACAGTGGGTTTATTGGGGCATCACCCCACTGTGAGGTTGAGGACTGTTGGTGCATTGGAGATGTGTTAGAATTGCCCTTGGAAGTTGAAGTGCATTGTGTTCAGTCGGTGCTATGGCGGCTTTTTCAAGCTTTGCAAAGAAGATGTCTAAAGCTAGTATTTTTTTCTTCTAGGGGAAAAAAACTTCAAAATTCTTGGGATATATCACATCTCACCCACCTGTTCAGTTCTTGAAACCAGTTAAAAAAAGAATAGCTTAGAATATTACTATTTGCTCTGTCTCCTATACATAGCAAAATGTACATTTCTACGGCACCTATAAAAATCCCATTTTTTGGTCAACTGCTAGGTTTGTCAACTTCAGAGACAACCCTCTGAGGCTGGAGCTCACACTCCCTCCCAAAGAGGGTGCAGAGGAAGAGGAGGAGCAGGAACTGTTCGGCCTTCAGTTCATGCACACCTACATCCAGGAGTCGCGGAGAGGAACAGGTAGGAGCCTCCTTCTAGCTGACGAGTGTTCAGCCGGAACTCTATTGACTCCTTTACAGATTTCTCCATCTTCCCTGTTCTGTCACGTTCTGGTCTTTTGCTCAATATTGTGGGAGGAAAAAAATGAACTTCAGCTCGGTTCCCAATTTTGACAAAAGCTTTACAGTCTTTCCAATGGAGGGAGGAAATAAATGTCTTTGGATAGGCACTTGGAGCACAGCCAGGCGCAGGCATGCTTCTTAGAGATTCCCTGTCTCATCCTATCAGTGTGTCCTGTGTCAACGTACTCTCATGAACCCCACCTTTGCTGCCTGTTCCCCCTTTTCTATAATCCACAAAGAGCAAAACAGGTTTTGCCTGGGGATGAAATATACTGAGATGATACAGATTTTTAACCGATGGTTAAAATACGAGGTTTTGATATACAGAATTCAGTCTCTGATAATTTAGAATTAAGTCACTTTTTTTTTTTTCACTAACAAAGGAAAGCCTTTAACTTAGGCCAAGATAAAGGCAAGGACAAGGAACACAGTTCTGTTAATGAAAACAGTGGCACAACAGTACAGTGATAGAAATCATGGTTTTGTAATCCGCAAAAATGTCAACGATTTTTCTGTCACGAGAGTGTTGCAGTCAAGAGGCAGATTTTGGTGCATCTTCAAGTAGTTGCTTCGAAGAACGAGTATGATCTGGGCAAACAATTATAGAGCTTTTCAGCTAGAAGACGGAGGTTTTACCCTCCCCCCGAGGGTGTTGAGGGAGTGATTAGGTCTGTGGCAGCAAGGTCGCGGGGGCCGTGCCGTGGCCAGGACGGTTGGGAGGGAGCCAGGTAAGAGCCGCCATAGCGTGTGGCCTCGTTTTGGAAAGCGCAGAATGACTACGTAAAGGACGAGTGGGTGATGGGACTGGGGAATGATGATGAGAAAGGAGGGCCTGGGGCGAATCCGCTTTAGGTGAGAGCAACTGCACAGGCAGGGACGCTGGGGGAACGAAGCACCGCAGCAGGCAGGCGGGCGCGGCACAGGGCGTCTGCCGTGCCCCTGGGACCCGCGGGAAGAGGCCGCGTGGAGCGGAGTCTGCAGACCAAGGAGGGGCTGGAGGAACCTGCCGGCTCTGCGGGACCTGGAGCAGCTCGTGCGTTTCACACATGGCGCTTCGCCATGGCGACGCTAAGGGGAATGGGCGAGGTTGGGAAACCGGTAACCTGCGGCTGGCACACGCAAGGGCGCCCCTGTCGGAAACATGTCATTTACGCGGAACGGGCCACGGACCCGTGCATGTGATTCTCGTGTGTGTTATACAAAACACAGCTGAACATGCCTGTTGTAGAATATCATTTATTTCTGGGCATACCTTGTTGAATGATACAAAACAGGTTGTATGATGCAAATTAGCATTGCCTGACCCAGCAAATCAAGTTAATTATTGAATGATGTAGTTCTTTATGTTTCCTTGACTGGGGGGCAAGTAACTAACTTAAAATATAATCAGACTACTTTAGTTTAATAATATTGGACATAAAACTTCTAACAAGAGAAAAAGGTTACAACTTATAGAGATAATAAAACCAAGTCTGCTTATTATTTATTAAAAATAGATTCATGAATCAGTGCTAATTATTACAGTTAATATTTGTGGAGTACTTCCTCCATGCTTCAAACTGTTGTAAGCATTTTACATTTCTAATCTCCCCTGACATTCACAATGACCTTGTGAGGTAGGTCTTATTATTGTCACCATCCCCATTTTAAGAGGAGGAAACTGAGGCACAAAGAGATTAAGTAGCTTGCCCGAGGTCACACAGCAGAGAGGTCAGAGGGTCGGGATTTGAACCTAGGCAGTTTCACAAAACATATGTGATTAAGCTGAAACAGAAAGGTCAGGAATTAAAAACAGGCTAGGTGTTTAATTTTCAATGCATATAGTCATAGACCTACAAGATAAAAAGTGACCCAAGAATACCATTATACCTAAAATTAGTAATTCTGAATCTGTCTTGGCAAACGTACCAATAATTAACACTTTTTTCTTTTACAAATAAAGGCAGAATAACTCAAGGATAAAATGTGGAAGAGTAACAGTCTGATCGTATGTTTGGTTTAATACTTGCTTATGCATAGAAACTGTTTATCTGAGTTAAATGAGGTCTAAATGTGAGGTTTTTGGTTTCACCATCTAATTTCTACTTTACTCCAAATTATTTTTCCAGACAAGAAAGAATATACTTATATTTATATATGTAACAATGGCCTGCTAAAAGACATAATTAATTTCAGAAGATATTTGCAAAATTTCAACTTAATTTGTGAAGTGGGCTTTTAAGTGTCTTTTTGGAAGTTCTAACTAGATCATCATCCAAGAAAATGAAATTGTTCCCCACCCCCTTTGAAAACATCTCTTCAGTTTTGGTGTTTTCATGAACAAATTGTGGTAACATATAAATACGCCTGTGACCCTGGAAATCGGAAGGTGAATTTATGGATTGTAAACATCTCTGACTTTGCATTAAAAAAAAAAAAATCACAATTGCTTATTCTTTCCAGGTCTGAATGGAAAGAAAAATCCATACAGAAGCCAAATTCTCAGATTGGCTCTTGTTAGAAACTGACAATTGATCATTACGTCTTGAACGTGAGAAATAAAAAGACTTAAACAAAACCAAAGGGAAATGAATTTCCAAAATCAATGCACACAGAAAGCGAATGTGCCCGGCACACGGTGACATGTTGTGTGTGTTTCAGATAACCCAGCCGACTGCTTGACAACTTCCCCGGACGCTGGAAGTCCTGATGGATAGCACACATCAAGGTGCCCTGCCGAAGATTACGCTGGGAGTGCGATGAACTCTCTAAAGTCTGGACTTCTTAAGTAAAAAACAAAGCTATTACCAAAGTTGAGTGAGGCCACAGCGTTTTTTTAAAGTTCATATTCCCTGCTATTTAGAGTACATTACACGAATATAAAAATACGATTTAAAATGCTCTTTTTTTTTTTGTGGTGGAAGACAGACGCGGTTCGGAAGGTCCCTTCTGCTAGGCGGTCGCTCCTGCCGGGCAAGGCTCGCCCGGCAGGGCGGTCAGCAGCACGTTCTCCGGCGACACCGCGGGCTCCGTGTAGCGCTGCAGCGCGGGGCGGAAGCCCTTCCGCCGCAGGTACTCCACGCGGCCGCGGTCAATCAGCAGTTTACACAGCTGCCCTATTTTCTTCTTCTCTTCAGCAGTGAGAAACCTAAATCAAATAAACACGCATGAGACAAGGTTAGACTGTTGTCAAAGTTTATAACAAGTTATTTTAGTCGCTTCTACATATTGATAAGCCGCTAGATCACCCACCATATACCGCGTACTGTGTGCCACGCTTCCAGAGTACATTTTATTTGTGACCACGATAAAAATGCACTTTAATTTCCTCTAAAAGTAGATGGTAAAATATAGTTCCATGAACACATTTGGCTGGTGCTCCTCTCTCAACAGCGGGGGCAGCGGTCAGGCGCCGCGTCGGCCCGGGCTGCCCTCTCCTCCCAGCCACCTACCCAGGCAGGCTCTCGGCGGGGTCGGCGGTGACCCTGTGTCCCCCGCTGTCATGCTCCTCGCTGTCCTCGCCCAGGTCGCCTCTCCTTGGGGTGGCCCTCGAGGCCTCCGCGGGCACGTCCCGCAGGCCGCATGTCGCCCAGCTACTCATCCGCTGGAAATAGTGGAACTCAACGGCCCCAAGGCCGAGGGCCCGGAAATACTCTCGGCCCACATAGTGTCTCCAGTCACACCTGTGGTGACAACAGAGCGCAATGACAATGCCGGCCACAGGGCTCCACTTCTCTGGGACTGTTTTTTCACCTCCTTCCTCGGCCAAAGTGTTAATTTCTTGGTCTGTTTTATCATTCTTTATGCGTTTGGCTAAAGGCTCTTCATTCCTTTCCTCACAACGGGCACCATAGGTTTCAACCAAACATCGTAACGCAAGATCTGCAAACATAATCACGCGCCCCCGCGACATCGTCTTTAAAATGGGTGTATCTCACATTGATTAAGCACCATAGTTTTAAAACCCCCAAACCAAAAACCACCAACCTATGTAGCTTTTTGCCTGTAACAATTCTTTTCTGAATTATCGACTTTGTTCCCATTTGCTCTTTTCTCATTACCATCTCGCTTTCTCTAAGGAAGGATTTATTCTGCATCGAGTCTACTTTGTAATAAAAGTCTGCCGTTTGTAAAAACTTTCAGCCCAAACCTTGGATGGACTCTCATTTTTCCTCCCCTGGCGAAGGAAATGACTGGGACAAAAGAAATTTATCTACCCACACGTAGAATCCAGGGAAGTTTTGATCTCAAGAAAACCAAAGAAGGGAAGAAAGCGCCAGGGCCTCTGCTTGGCTGACGCTCGGGGTCAGCAGACAGTGCAGGGCAGGCGGGCAACTAAGAGGAGGGGGCAGACCCGAGGTCCTGCGTTCCCGTGGCAACCGGACACCGAATTCCGTCCGCATGCAAGTCACTGAGCATGTCCCGATGACTCATACACATCAACTCAGAGGTGGATGTGCTCCACGTTAAGACGAAAAATGCACAGTGCATTAAAAAGGCAGCAAACACATGTCTGACGACTGTCACTAGTTCCCATGGAGCTCGGCTACATTCAGGGTTGACAACACTGGAAAGACCAACACGTGCTGTAAACCCTCCATTTTTCTAGGGGCTTTTGGCACACTGTGCCTGTTCAGTAAAAACAATCAGATATTTTTAAATTTTATGACCTTAAGATGTTACAAGTCACAATTAAATGACCTTATACTGGTAAATTTAATTCAATATACGAGATTAAGTCAACAGACATGATTGGGAGCCTATTATTTGGAGAACGTGATAGCTAATCGATTATTTTATAAACTATGACTTTCTGACCAATATATTCAGTCACTGTTTCATTTACACTGGACTTAAGGAAATGATTTTCAGAAATATAAACCACCAGGAAATTAAGAGAATTGAGTTCTTTTAGAATTGGGAGCTTTAGCAACCTATCTCAGCGTCTCTGTGACGGAGACCTCAAGGGACAAGAAAACAGAACCAGCTGGTGGCCAGGCTCATGGACCCAGACGCTTGCTGAGCGCCGGTTACCGTCAACCACTGTGTCAGCCCAGGCCCTGCCCTCTAAGAATTCCTGCCAGGAGGGGAGAGTCAGGCGCTCACACAGCGGCTTAAACGCAGCAAGGCAAGGGCAGGCAGGCGGAGCGCGCCAGCCAAAGAGGAAGCCGCAGCGCCCCACTAGGGAAGCCCCCCGAGGGGCGGCCACTGGGCGGAAGGACAGGGACACAGGGACGGTTTTTGCCGGGCGGGCGGGCGGGCTGGGGTGGAACTGCAGGCGGGGCGGGCACGGTGCCGGCCGGGGGAGCGCAGGGGGCGCCCCTCGCCGCCCTGCGGAGCCGGGGGCAGGGCGTGGCAGGGGGAGGCCGGCAGAGGCCCGGAGGGGATGAGGATGGCGCGTTACGGGGCTTGGACGCGCTGCCGGTGGGGACGGGAGCCGCGGAAGCGTTTGCTGAGGACGATGGTCCGTGTGGAGCGAGGGTGCGGGCCCCCGCCCGGAAAGGCCAGGTCGTGGAAGAGCCGTGGGACAGAGAACGCACGGCCGGTGGAGCAGCCAAGCGAGGAGCACAGCGGGCCAGACGGGAGGGAACGGGTGAATGTGGGGGCGGGGGGGGGGGTGGCAGACATGCAGCAGACATGGCGACTCAAGGGGGGAGCGCGGCCCCGCTCGGACTGGCCCGCAGGGCCCTGCTTCTGGGAAGCCTGGGCTCGGAGGGCCTGAGGAAAGGAGGGCGTTCGTGCGGGTCAAGTGGGGTGAGTACCTGACAGCCACCCACCAACTGCGATACCCGGGGCCTTTCCTGGCCCATCTACATTTGGAGGCTCGGAGTCCTCCGTGGGGGCGGACGCTGAAACCAGAAGGAGCAGGGGGCTGGAAGGACAGCTACCCGTGCTGAACGCTCACGTGGGCCCTGCACAGGCAGCGCGGCCCATGCGCACCATCCGTTTTAGGGGCCGAGCCCAGAGAGGCCGCCGAGCCTGCGCCGCAGAGTGAGCTGACCCCTGGGCCGCCCGGTGTCGAAGCCCCTGCTGTCTCCACAGCCCCTGCGAGAGCTGCTGGGTCCAAGTGCCGAGACAGACACGGAGCTTTTCTTTTGTCTAACATGTTTTCTTCCCCCCAGAATCCTGATATACCATCATCTTCTCGTGGGGGAGGCTTGAGTCCTTCCCGAGCAACTCTTCAAAACAATCACTCGCTTTTGGGGTGCAATCATACCCTGATTCACCCTGCAGAGAGGCCAGACGGGCAGGTGAGGAGGAGAGACCCGACAGAAGCCAGGGCCGGCGCCACTGCCATCAGCGCGCTGTGAACGCCAGTGACACAGACTGCGCAGGAGACCCTGAAGCGGCTGGGACACGGTGAGCTCAGACTGTGCGCTCACCCAGCTGTCGGGAGTCGCTGACTCACCTGTCGCCACGCCACACAGGTGCTTTCCAATTCCCACCACGGGCAGCTTTTCTCTGCGGAGCACGGGAACCTTGTCTGGAAGAGCAGGAAAGGAGATACGGCCTCAGTGTGCCCCCCACAACAGAGAACTGATCAGAGTCTCTGAATTTTAGGGCTGAAACAGACACAAAGAGAACATTCTCTCTTTGTAGTTCAGGAACAAGAGGCGCAGAGCGGCGGTGACTCGATCAGTGACACAGATGGCTACTGAGCGAGTGGGAGTTCACGTTTCCTGACTCCCAGGCCAACGAGATCTCTTCGGTGCCGACGCCGGACCCCGGCGCGCCCGAGCGCTGCTCGGTGCCACCGGACTTCCAGGCAACCGTCGGAGCGCGGGACGTGCGTGGTTTATGGTAGACAATGCAAATGACGCAACTTACTCAAACACAGGTGTTGAATATCAATCTGAAGGCGCTCAAACACTGAATTTTTCTTTCTGTGTTTGCCATCGACCTGCACGAACAGAACATTATTATAACAATGGCTTTTTCTGTTTAAAAGAAAAAGTTTCATGAAAATCAAAAAATTCTATTTGTTTCAAAACTCAGAGCAAATAAATTTCCATCTTACGTTTTAGTCTTTACAAAAGAGGATCATTAATATTAATACAAAAAATTTGAGATTGTGCGTCCTTTGATGAAAACTCCAAAGTAATAATATCATACATTTTTATAAGGCTTGGAGAGTTTATAACTTATCATGTCTACCTTATTTCCTTTAACTCTAAAAATGCCCAATTCACTGAGGAAGGAACCTAAGTTCACTCGATCGCTTGTCCACGCCTTTGACTCCGTTGGCCTCCAGCGGCCCTGCTTTGGCTCCCTCTTCTCCTCCCTCTCCTGGAAGACCACACCCACTCCCATCTACACCCGCGCGCCTACGGCTTGCAAATCTGCACCGGGGCAACACCTCCGACAGGCCCGCGCCTCACTGTGTCTGTGGCGCCCAACACCCGGACGCTCCTTGGCTCTCCCCTCCGTCCCCGGGCACAGCCTTAGCGCTGGTCCATTTCTCACTGGGAGTTTTGGAGAATAATGATCTTACAATTAACTCCCCTTCTTCAAGTTTCAGGCTCTTGGATCGGCTTTAATGGTACTGTTTTAAAACCCCTTTTTTATTTCCTTCTCCAACTCTTATATATTTTTGAGTGTCCTCTCAGCCGTCACTTCCTCTAGGAAACCTGTGACCCAGTCAGACTGAGGAGGTTTATCTTCCTCCTCCGATAGCCCCTGGCCCTCGTCACTGTTATAAGACACTCATCACAACATACTCGGAAGGCTGCCCTGCCAGACGGAAGCGTCTTGAAGGCAGGAACCGCGTCTCGTCCTGCAGCAGGACACGGCCGGCTCCTGTCCCAGACAGAGGAGACCCCTGTCGCCCGGACGCCCCGCCCGCTGCCCCCAGGACTCGCTGGGCCCCTGCTTCTCTGCCACGTCAGGCGCCCAGATGGCACCGTCCCTGCTGCCTGTGCTGCTTCTCAGACCCGCTGTCCAGCAAACGCTGGTTCACCTTCAAGACACACATCGAGCGTCACCTTCCCCGTAATCTGTTGCCACCCCTGCCCTTCAGAAAACCTTGTCATTCCCTCTTTCGAACCCACGCAGACCTCCGTGCAGACTGTTTTTTATCATATTTTAATACTTTCCTACAATCGTGTATTGATTTGTCCGTCTCTCCCTTCTACAGATCAGTAACAGAGGCGAGGACCTTGTCTTACTGGCCTTTTCCCACCCAACGTCTAGCGCGGTGCCTGTGGCACATCCATAAATGCCTCCTGAGTGGAGAGCTGGTCAGTGGCAGAGCCCCGACTCTCAGCTCCGAGCGGGAGCTTGGCTCTTTCCACACATTGTCTTGTCTCTGCAAATAATCTGAAGGACTCCGAGTGACGGACTATCAAAATTTGGATTAAAACACTTATTTTCAGTTTCAATCACTGATATAATGAGAAGGAAAAGCTATAATCAAACACACAAAATTCATTTTTCTTAAGAGATGTGTTTCTTTTTTTGGTAAGAAAGTGCAAACAGAGTAAACAGAGATTACTGCTGTATAGCAATGGTTTCCCTTACCTTGAATCTTGTGGTCACCTTTTCTACCAGGATGAAGTGAACTTTCTCAGCATCTTTTAAGGCAATATCAACCCAATGAGACAATTTCCCCTTTCCTGCTCCAAACTCAACAAAGCATCTTCTTGGACCAAGTAACTTTAATTTTTCAATGTTACCTAAAATAGAAGCCTGCAAACTTCACGAGATTATTTTATAAACTAGAGCAAACACATTTGGCTCAAATAGGAAAAGCAGCAAGGTAATTTCTACACAAGGCAGCCTGCTCGCATCGAAAATTTTTGTTTGGCTTTAATTTTTTTTCTCTTTGTTTTTAAATATTTAACATGCAGTACTTAGAACCATATCCATGCCCAATTTTTTTAATGTAAGTCTATATATATTTTTTGAAGTGGAAAGATTCTGTAGCCTGAAAGATAATCTAAATGAAATCTCATTAGTAACTATATTTAGCAAGAACAGAATGTTAGCTTTTGACAAACGAACAAAGGCCATTTTGAGGGTAGTTAATGTGGCCCACACATACCTGCTGTTTCAGGTGTTTGGTTGCAGAATCGCCATTTTTAGGGTCGGTGACGGCATCATGCAATGCTGGATGGGACATAATCTGCTCTTTAAGGGTAGAGTTCAGACCTGCGCCGGACATAACCACGAGAGCTTAGGCAACCCAACAGGAGACCGCAGGGCCCTGCACAGCGGCGGCGGCATCTTTCAAACCAAACCGGTGGCAGTTCGCCGGCCGCCCAGCTGTTCCTAAAGATCGCGGCCTGACAGCTTTCGGCAGACTTACCTTCACTTGCTTTTTTCAATTTCATAATTAAATTTTCCAACTGCTCTTCAGGGAGAGAAGAAATTGGAACCTATATACAAAAATGAGCTGATCACTAGGGATATCGATTCTGTAGGAAAAGGCATTTGAAATTTAAAAAAAAATTTATTCCAAACGAAAACTAGAACTCAGCTTGTTCACAATGTGGAGATAGCTTATAAATACCGTTTAAAAGTAAATGTTAAGTCAGGTACTTACTAATTGTTCAGGTATTTCTGTTTCATCCTTTAAGCCTGCGTTAATATCTTGAACAAAGAAGTCCTTAACAAAAACAGAACAAAATGTAAAAATACTGTTATTAATGGGAAGAGCTCACAAAAATTAAGCTGCAAAACTGATCCTTCCCCTCCTGCCATCATTCATTAACTAGTGAGCGCCTCCTGTGGTCCTTAATTCACTTCTGGCGCTGAGGATTCCCCACCGTAGAGAACAGAACAAACAAAAGTCTCCATGTCCCTGGATCTCGAGCTCCAGTGAGGTGGTTATGTGACATCTGTAGTCTAAAGAAACTCATTGGTAACCTTTATTAAAATTCCTGCCGCTCTACAGCATGGGCTGAGGACTGTGCCAGTCTGTTCATGGTGTTAAAGCAAAAACAAAGTATCAGCTATGCTCCTGGCTGCTGCTCAGACAGGCAGCATAACCAAAAACAGAGATAAGATACAGATGCTACTACAGCCTAGGTCTGCCTTCTCCTGCTTACAAATGCTAATTAAAATAGGTAATTATTCTCTCTGGGAAGCCTCTTTTGACCCGTTGGATTTAATTTTCATTTTCCTATAACTATGTGCTCTTTCACACGTGTATCTCTTCACGGAACTTATTGAACAATAGCCATTATTTATAAGTTTACTTACCAGTTTCAATTAAGCTCCTTGAAGGCTGGGATCATATTTTATTGAAATAAATTAGGAGGCACTAAGTAAATACTTTCAAATAAATAAATTGTGAAATTATCCTCCTGGTTGCATAAAATCTACTACCTAAACAAGGGCTATAAGTGGATTCTCAGTCTGATACAGTGTTGGTCTTCACATACTCAAATGCACTGCCCATATTCAAACTTTCAGAAACAAGAGTCTTGTTAAATATTCACATCAGTAGTCTACTTTGTATATACAAACGTTACACACCACACATTTCACCATTCCGTTTTGTTGATCAAATACTTACCGGTTTTGGCTTCTCTCTTGAATTACATTTTTTCAAATGCTTTGCTAGCTGATCTTCATACACTGTGCTACATTTAAAGAGAAAATTATTTAAAATAAGACTGATGACAATGACAGCTTCCGGCACAGAAAGTCCCTTATCTGATCCCCTACTTACTGTTTCGGATCTAAAGGGCATAGGATTCTCTTCCGACCATTTTCTTCCTAGTAGAGAAAAAGGACATAGTTGAATAAAATATCAGATTCATTGTTCACAGGTACTGTGTTTGATTTCAGTGTGACATAAATTTATGCATTCCCACAACAAGGCAAGGATAACTTAAAAGGCTGTTAATAAAATGCTGGCACAATTAGGTCCTAGGGTTCAACAACAAAAGTGTCCAGTGTAGCTGGATTACGCACATACAAGCAAACACCGCTTTGGACAAGGGTCTGTAGCTTCAAATAGGTTATAAAGAAGACCTACATGTTGAAATGCTGAACCTAGGAAAGCATTGACTAAAATACGCACAATTATTTTAGGTACCCCTACGAAAGAAAAAAAACACTGCCAATTTCAATTATGGAATGCCATTGATTTCAAGATACATTAGAAACAATGAAATAGGGCATTTGATCCATTTGATAGGTGGCCAAATTCTACTGGCTTTGCCACTTGCCGGGAGAGCAGTTACATCCTGTTTGTTTCTAAGTTGCATGGATTTAACTACTCACTAGGAAAAATGAAAGGAAGTTAATAACAGTGGCAATTCTACCCCACATTCACAGGACTCTGCACGTGACAGGTCACCAGACTTCAGAGGTCTGATTCTCAGCTCCGTCAGCCCCTAACTCTATGACCGTAGGTAGACTTACTGCCTCAACCATAATGTGACTATATGTCTTGCTTCCAAAGGTTTAGGAAGACTAAGTGAGCTCATCGTTTTAAAAAACCTGCTTGGCATGGGGCTGGCCACGTTCCTCTCCAAGTATCGACCAACTGGTAAGAATCTATTCACATTCTACTATTACCACCATCCGCCGTCACCTTCCAGCTGCACAGCTAAGGTAAAGTCTACGGGCTCATGATGGAGTAAGAACAAAATCCTTATCGTATATCTCATTCTCCAATCAGGGGATGTTTGCTGGTCCCCTCAAAACAGGCCAATACAACTGTGCCTGGACTTCCCAGAGTAGCCGGTGAAGGGGCGCTGGGGCGGAGCTGTGCTGGGCATTGCGGGGAAGGGTAAACCTCAGGAGTAACGAACAAAAACAGCACACCCAGTCCTGGACGCGTAGAAGGCATGAAACAGGTCCCTGTCTATTCGGTTTAATCCTGCTAAAACCTATCCAACAGGGTCTTTTCCCACAAGCATTCCCCTCCTCTTGTTCTCATTTCTATTTTCCTATCCTCTATATATCTCTATACAGAAATATACATATATGAAAATAGAGACAGTACAAGAAATAGGTGTAACAGTACTAGCAAACAAAATTGTATGCTATGTTTTCATTTTTAAAGGGAGAGTCGATTCTTACGTTTTAAAACCTTTCCTCCCAGTTAAGAAAGTACAGATTGGCCATTACAGAATAGTGACCGGGATCCGAAGTACAGAACAGAGAATATAGTCAATAACATTGTCAAAATATGTGTGGGGCCGGATGGATGCTAGAGTTATTGGGGGAATCGCCTTCTGTTATATAAGTGTCTAATAACTATCTTGTATATCGGAAACTAAGAAAACATTGTATGCCAACTGTAACTGAAACATAAGATATAAATAAATAAATTTGTCCCTTAAGGAGCTCTGGTGGGGAGATCCCATCCTTGGGGTAAGCTCAGGTATCCGCGTACATTTACTTTCGGGTAGTGGAAATTTCAGGGGTGGGGTATTACTTTGAAAAGTATATGATCGTCTTAAACACTACGCTGTACACCTGAGACTAATACAAAATAATGCTGAATGTCAACTGTAATCGAAAAAGAAATCAAATCTTTCCTTCTCTTTTCCAGCAAACTAAGTATAACGTGCTTTCAAGTTCTACTTTTTAAAAGTTTCCCTCTACCGCGCTGACAAGAGCGATAATTCACGAAACCGTGAGAACACAAATGGGATCGGGGATCCCTGTGCGCTGTGAACGACAGCTTCCCATCGGGAAGGCGGCGAAGGTAAGAGCGGGAGTTTGGAGAACTGAAATCGGGAGTCACTGTCCACATCGCCGGTCCCTGCCGGCTCATCCTCGCTCCCTGGGGCCACAGATCCGCGCTGATGAACACAAAGGGTGCAAAACCCAGGGGGCCGAAGCAGCCATCGGTCCGGGAGGGGAGGTGCGGGGCCGGGAAACTTATTTCTGACTCTCGGGAGGGCGGGGCGGTACCAGACCTCCGCGGCACCTGCGTGTTCGCCACAGAACCTTTTCCCGACTGCCACCACCATCCTGCAGAACCTCTTCTTCTTTGCCACATAGTAACTGCACCGGCCCTCGGCTGGGAAGCCAGTCCCGTGCGGCGTCGGCGCAGAATCCGCCATAATGCAAAGCAAGCGTCAGGTGAAGAGAGAGAAAGTTGTCAGCATCCCGTGGGTCCCCTTCCCTTATCAAAGATGGCTGCCTCGGGCCTGCCACGCAGGTGGACGCCCGGAACTACCGCTCTTCTCGCCCCGCCTCCTGCAAAACCGGAAGAAGCCGATGGTGGCTGGCGAGGTCCAAACCTCCTTGCTTTCTGTCTATTTATTGTCCCCGCCCCCTCAGCGGAAGTTGAGCGCCAAACTCAAACTTGAACAGGGTTCGGACGCTGCTCAGACGAGTACCGCGGTCAGGGCCCGTTGGGCGCTGTGCACAGCGGCGGGGTAGCGGTCCAGCATGAGCCAGGTTCTGTTCCAGCAGCTCGTCCCGCTGCAGGTCAAGTGCAGAGACTGCGAGGAGAGGTGAGGCCCGCGTTCTCCGGTTGCTGGCGGGTGGCGGTTGGGGTCGGGCCGAGTGGGAAGATGGCGGCTCCGGCCAGTGGGGTCTGGCCGTCGGCGGAGTGTCGGGCCGGCCTCCCCGGGACGCGGAGGGAGACTCGGCCCGGAGGCAGGGCGCCCTGTCTCACCGCGAGTGGCCGTTGCCGAGGACGCGGAGGGAAGGGAGTGAGGAAATGGGGAGCTGACCCGCCCCGAGTTCAGGTGGGAACCGTGGAGGGTGGAGTCCCACTCGCCGCTTTGACAGATAGGAGCGAGGGCCGGCGCTGGCGCTCAGGCCTTGGCTCCCCGCCTTGGATTCTGTTGGAAGTACATTGAAATTTCACCTGCAGACAAGTCAGATTTATGGTGTATTGCTCCTTCCCATTTCCTAGAAATTAAGTGACGTTTAACCGGCTAAAAACAATAGGGGACAACTAGAAATTTCGGTGATTTATTTATCCATCCAGCAAATACCGCATGCAAAACGCCTGGCTGGGCACTGGGGCCACAATATCAGGAAATCGGGCGCTGTCTTCGTGGGGTTGTCAGCCCCGTGGGCAAGGAAAGACGCGCCCGTCTCACAGACAAAAGCAATGACAACTTTCACCAGGGAGGCGGCGCCTAAGGAGGGCGATTGGACCAGAAGTCAGGAGACTGCAGTTTTGTTTCGGCCCCGGCCCCCAATAGTTGTCCTGTAGCTTCGTGTTTGTAAAGCAAGTGAAACGTGCCTGCCCACGGGATTGTTAGGAGGCTCCAGTGTGAAAGTGTGGCATGGAAAATGAGGATGTTGATGCACTGAGTAACGTGAAACGGGTATAGGTTAATTAGGTCCGAAGCCCATCAGCAAGCCAGGCAAGGGGATAGCACCAGAACCCAGCTGCGCCCCGAAGTCTGTGGGCCATTTCCCTTGGTCACGTGTCCTGCCCGCCACGTGTGGTTACTGGGCATTCGAGTTGGCGCTCATCCGAATTGATTGCCATAGAGTAATGCACGTTAGATGTTGAAGACTTAGCATGAAAAAAAGAATATAAAATGTCTCGATTTTTATACTGATTATGTATGTTAAGACAATATCTGGGGTATGTGGGGTTAAATAAAACATTGCTGAAGTTATTTATCAGATGGTTTCTTTACATTTTTTAAAATGTCGCTTCTGGAAAATTTAAAATTACGTGCGCGGCTCATGTCTGTGGCCTCCACTCTCTCGGTTGGACACAGCACCATTCTGGAAGGACCGTAGAGAGATGAGAGGTGGGGCACAATTTCTGATGCCAACATCGAAACTTCTAGCTCTTCTCCATCTCACTACATTGTTAAAAAGTTTAACTTCCGCAGCTGAAAGTCTTTTTAAAATAAAGCGTTTATTGGGCCACTGCTGGGGGAGGAAAGACGACCAGGTGATCCTGGGGTCTGAAGCCTAACTTCCCCGCAGTGGCGAGTGCCGGTTGGAAAGGCTGTCCTGGAGTCGGGAGTGTTTTTTATATATCAAGTTGGGGGAGACAGATGCAGGTTGTGTTAATAGGATCTGTACTGGCTCTAGGTAACGGGGGTGGGAGAAGGTGAGGCGGTTGGTTCCGGGCTGGGGCAGAGTCCCCGAGGATGTGTCTTCCGTGGGTTAGCTGGGGCGGCAGACGCGCGAGTTCACGGGTGGAGCAGGAGCGGAGGCACCTGGGGCTGGACGGTACCCCAGCCCCCGCAGTGCGGAGTGCAGAGTGCGGCCACAGCTCCCGCAGGCCGCAGGAATGCCAGCCGCCGTCTTCAGCTGCTCACAGCCATCAGCTCGTTGATTACTCCTGTCTGTTTCTCTCTGGGTGTTGTAATTTAGTTTAGATCATCTCAGAGCTTTTTGGGGTTTTTTGCCAACACTTTTCATCGCATTTGTCTTTTAAGACCCACTTTCACCCTTTGCTCTCCTCCTGTGAGGAAGCCTTGCCCGTCACCTCTAGCAGGGGTCGCACGCGGGAGCGCGTGGGCCGTGTGGCCCACTGCCTGTTCCTGTGCATGAAGTTCTCTTGGGGCACAGCCACTCTCATTTGTGAAGGAATTGTCTGGCTGCTTTTGTGCTCCAAGGGCAGAGATGAGTAATTGTCACAGAGACGTCTGGCCTGCAAAGCCTAAAATCTTTACGCACTGGCACTTGGCAGAAAAAGCTTGCTGATCCCTGACCTATGGGGAAAACTGCAGACTCTTTGGTTAAGTAGTCAAGGCCGCATCAGCTCAAGAGATAAGATTGTGAAGGCCTACTGTGTACTAGGAGCTGTCCTTGGTGCCAAGAGTAGAAAGCTTCTTGCTCCCTCGCCCCACTGTTCCCCCCAGCAACAACCAAACAGTTTTCATTCTGGTCCTCAAGGAGCTCACACCTGAATGTGGCAAATGAAAAGTTTGCCTTGGAGAGGCAGCCTAGCACGGTGAAGAGACCAGGCTCTTGGTCAGATGGGGTTTAAACCCCAGCTCTGCCACGTGCTGACTGTTTGATTTTGTGCTTTGTAAAAAATTAACTTTCAGGTCTTTGTACCCATCTTTAACTTGATGATAAAAGTGCCTGCCTCGTGGGGGTTCTCATGAACACAAAGTGAGTTCACACGCACGACGGCTTAGGGCCGGGCCTGGGGCAGGCGGTGTGATTGGTGCAGGACACAGGCAGCGGGGCCGGGGCGGGGAGAAGAGGGCAGGTCAGCTGGAGGCGGCAGCTGTGCTCTGCAGGGAGGTTGTGGAAGGTGCTGAGCGCCCCCCCCCCCCCCGCCATAGACGAGGCACACAAGCCTGCTCGCTACCCCCGAACGCCGGCCCTCGCAGTCCCTGCCCCCCTGCCCCCCTGCCTGCTCCCGCTCTGCCCCTGGTGCTTCCCTCCCCTCAGCGTCCGCGTTCAACCCCGTCAGCGTGAGTCTTTTCAGAGCGGCCTCGGTTGAAGTTAACGGGCCTACCCGTTCACTAGGTAGCACAGTGTAGGTGAAAAATCTGAGTTCGAATGTGGGCTCTGCAATGTGACCTTAACCAGACTTGAAACTGCACTTGAAGTTCTTCCTTCGTAGGACAGAAATAAATATTTACTTAAGATTGTTATTGTTAAGTAAGGAGATTGATTTATTTAAAGGGTCTGGGAGGCACTCGGTAGCACAGGGACTCAGTGAATGTCGGTGACCTGCCCCTCCCCTCTCTTGGAGCGAATCTGGGGTGAAGGCATTTAATCTGATCTGTTTGAGGACGCAGCCCATGTTTGCTTCTGTTTGTATCCCTGGCACCCAGCACAGCTCCTGGCTTCCTGTAGCTTTCATGTGTTTGCCTTGAGAGTTGAAGGTCACAGCTTGTGGGAGGCAGAGGTGGGCCAGCACCCAGGTCTGCTGAAATCAAATTTAACTGACAGGGAAGATGTTATGTAGATTATGCATTGTTTACAACATGACATTTATTTTGAGAAATAGCATTTTTATTGAGTTTTTGTTGATCTGTTTTATGTTGTTTCTATGACATTAACCATTACAATGGAGAAAATAAGATTTCTGATTTCAGGCCCTGGCCAGAGAGCTCAGTTAATTAGAGTGTCATCCTGATACACCAAAGCTGCAGGTTCGATCCCCGGTCCGGGCACATGCAAGAATCAAGCACTGAATGCATGAATGAGTGGAGTAACAAAGGGATATTTCTCTTTCTCTCCCTCTTATTTCCTCTCTAAAAATCAGTAAAAATAAAAATAAAAAGATTTCAGATATCCGCTAATATATCCTCTGAAAGCACAGATTTTCCTACAAGTTATTGGGGGGGGGGGTTGAAGTAAATATGGGAAATAGTTTAGTCTGTGGGCCTTTCCTCCTTTTTTCTCCCAACATCTAATGCACATACGCTTTTGGAATATATGCAACAAAATCATTAATATAATTGGGAAACTGTCATAGTAATAGAATTCTTCTACAATTGTGTAAAATCTACTAAATAGGTAGATGCTTCTTGAGTGTTTTTTACAAATTTATCAAGTATAACAGGACTTTTAAAACAAGTTATTAACCACAGTGTCATGCCACTATGGCAGTATGCACTTGAACAAAACCCCAAAAGATGAAAACCAGCTGTACCGATGCTGTGGAGCTGAAGAGGCCTTCGCAAACCTTGCTCAACCCGCTTACCTTACAGAGGCAGGAATCAAAAGGTTGTTCCCCCAGGAATGCTTAACTTAAGTGGATTTGGAGTAGAAGTCTGATCTGTTGCACATGTATTGCTTTAGGTACTAGAAAAACAGAAACAGAACATCTGTTCTGTTTTAAAGCTAGTTCTCCCTATTTTGGTGGCGTTCACCAGCACAGCTTGTTCCTTGTCAGGTAGCAGACACCAGCTGCGGGAACCTTTGTCTTGGCAGCGGGGCGGGTCTGTGTTTCCCTGCGCCGTGGCTGGGACGTTCTTCCTGAGCTTAGACCTCCTAGCCTTTAATCAACTTTGTGGGCCCCGTGTGGCTCTCAGGAAGCAGAGTTAGCGCCTCCGTTTCAGACTCTGAGCCTGCGAGACTCGAGAAAAGCCAGCAGCACCAGGGAGCAAAGCCATCGGAATTGTAATGCTGACTCATGGATGCTGTAGGGTGGTTTCTCTTACTACTCTAAGTGGAACTAAGACTTAGCATCCAGTTATACGTCCAATAAGAAACGTAACTAAGATGACACATTTTAAACCGATGTAAAGTTGAAAGTCAGGGCATGAGAAATCGAACTCTCCAATGTGGCCGCTGCTACCCGCCGTTGCCCGTCGGCGCTCAGTCGCTCTGTCTGTGCTTCTGTCCCTGTAGCCGCTCCACGGCGGCCGAAGGTGCGAGAGGGTTGAACAGGGCGTTCTGAGGAATAACTTTCAGAAGAATAACTTAGGACTGGGCAAATTCTGTTTGTTTTCTTTCCCCTTCCATTGCTATTTAGTTCTTTCATTTGGCAGAATAGTTTGAGAACCAGTGATGTAGAGATTTTTTTCCACCAGGTTTTTCCTTATTTCCTAATTATTTAAACATCTTTGTTTAATTTGATTAATGTTCATGAGCGCCTTTATTCACGTGCCTCTGCTTGCTACTGGGTGGGTTCTCCAGGGTGCAGCGTAGAATGTGGAACCTACGGTTCCTTCCTTTTCAGGCCTAGCGCTGTTCTAGGATAGGTAGAGATGCCACTAACTTGCTGACCGTACTTCTGTGGCTATGCTGCCGAGAGCACGTGGAGCAGATGTACTTGGGGACCGGAAAAAAGACATTTGTGTGCGTGATGGGAGGGAATATGTTACCTTATTCTTTGAGTCAACATTTTAGCGTTTTAATACTGCCTCACATTTTGAGTTTTTCAAATGGAATCTCTCCTGAGTCATTTGACGAATTGGTAACCTGTGTGAACGTGAGAGGCTACTTAATTGACGGCTTGCCCGCCAGGAGGCGCTCTTTGAGAATCAGGGCGGAAGGCTGGGCGCCCGGCTGGTGTTGGGCGGCCCGCGTCGTTTCTCTCACAGCCCCCGCAGCAGCAGCCCCGTTTGCCGGGAGAGAAGACTGTGGCCTCAGGGGAGAGGCCTGAGCGCTGCTGCTGCTTCGTGGTGGGGGGACGAGACCTTCACCTTCGAAGCCAGTGGCTCTGCCGGCCTCTCCTGGCCGGGGCGCCCGTGGGAGCGCGCGGAGCTGATGCGCGCACAGCGGCAGCCCAGTCCACGCGCCCGTTTCTGACGGCCGGGCTTGTCTTCCGTGCAGGAGAGGAAGCGTCAGAGTGAGCATCGAGCTGCAATCAGTTTCCCATCCAGTTCACAGGAAGGTTGGTGCTCACTTCTTTTTTGAAACTTGACAGCTACTGTTATAGATGATTATTTGTTCTTTAACAATGTGAGATCTTTTGTTAAACCCAGGTTGCTCTTCCTTTGGGGCTACTTTGTAACTTGCAGATCTGGGGTGGTAAAATCTGCTAAGCAACAAACGTGAGATGATGGCACCACGCGTCCCTGAAGCAGCCAAGAGTGGGGATGGGGACCAGTGCGCCCATGGTGCTAGACCGCCTGTCGCTGCCCTGCAGAGCTGGCACCAGGGCGGGCCTACGAGAGCGGGAGGGAGCGAACCCCTGCAGGGAGATTCAAGGGGATCTTCCGCTCTGCCTCTTGGAGAGAGGCATTAGAGCCTGCGGTCTCACTGGGTCTTCAGACGCACGCGTCCCTCGCAGAGGCTGAGCGGCAGAGTGTGCGCAGTGTTCTCTGTCCCGGCTTGCCCCGGTAGCTTTCAGGGACCTGGTGGTGGCGGCAGCAGATCCAGTGTAATTAGCACCTTGGGGTGGGTCGGCAGCAGCTGCGTTGAGAACAGGGCGTTCGGAGGCAGAGCCGGTGCCTGGGTGGCCACTTTTGCGGAAGAGGTATGTTATATGCCAGTCCTGTCTCCTGTGTGCCTCCTCCCTTTCTAACTCTACTCATCAGTGGATTAGATTTTTCCAGGACCCCTAGTAGTTCCTCAGTGGCCACAAGTAGATTTTATTTCAAGTGGAAACTTATTCTTAACCCAAGTGCCCATTCCCCTGTTGTCCTTCACCGCCTTGTTACTCCGCCTGTTTCCTCCCACCGGTGTCTCTGAAGTGCATGACTTGTGCGCACCTCTCGGCCAGCTTCCGCGGCTGAGCGGGGCTGCCGTGCTGCGAACTGTGTCCGCACAGAGGGCTCTCCGAGTGGCACGGGCGTCCTCTGGACCGAGGGCAGAGGGGTGCCCCGTCCGTGGCCTTCTGGGGGAGGCGGGAGCAGCGAGGCCCCGGGGGGCAGGCCCTGGCGGCGGGCCCTGGCGGCGTCACCCGATCCCCCACCCTCCGCCCCAGAGGCAGGTGCCCCTTTTTCCCCTCGGGTGGACGTTTGCCGTCTCTGCTGGTGCACTTGCCATTTGTGAAACACCAGACGGCTGACTTGAAGGAAACGGAAAAGATAATGGCACGCACTGTTTCTGTCCTGGCGCCCCTGCCCAGCGCGGGCGGTCTGTGTTTCCCTGCGCCACGGCTGGGACGTCATTCCTGAGCTTAGAGCTCCTAGCGTTTAATCAGCTTTGTGGGCCCCATGTGGCTCTCAGGGAGCAGAGTGAGCGCCTCCGTTTCAGACCCTCAGCCTGCGAGACTCGGGAAGAGCCAGCAGCCCCAGGGAGCGAAGCCGTGGGAATTACAACGCTGACTCGCGGATGCCGTGGGGTGGTCTCGGTTACTGCGCTAAAGCTGCGTCTACCAAAACCATTGCAAAAAATACATTAAAGAATAATCTTTCTTTTAGGATTTAGTTATCCGTCTGACTGATGATACTGATCCATTTTTCCTGTATAACCTTGTTATATCTGAGGAAGATTTTCAGAGGTAACTAAATTTATTTTTCTGATCATGGAACCTAGGAAAAAGTAAGTTTTCAAATTTTATGAATGTATTGGTACTATTCTTTTCGGAACATACCCATTAGGAACATTTTGGTGTTTTGGGAACACTGGACTATTTATACTATAAGTGGTCAGAACACTTTTGAAATTAACTATCTCATAGATTATCCAAGTTTTGCTTTAAGTAGCTCAGAAATTTGGGTCTTTAGCTAAATTTATTGACTTTTTTCCCTTCCATTGAATAAATTATATAAAAATCAAAGTTTTCTAATACATTTCTTGATTATGGGTGTTCAGTAAGTAAAAAATCATTTTTCAGGGTGTTAATTATAATTAAAGATAGTAATTACATTTAAAAAAATATCTTCTCTTGTTTTCTGTGTAGTTTAAAATTCCAGCAAGGTCTTTTGGTAGACTTCCTAGCTTTTCCACAAAAATTTATAGACCTCCTTCAGCAGTGCACCCAAGAACAGGCCAAAGAGGTTCCGAGGTAAGTCTCGCGTGAGCACCGCGTCACCGCCGACTCTTGAGACAGGCTCTTCTCTGTGACACACTGATGGCGCCGCATTTTCTGTGTGTCACAGGTACCCCTGTCTGCTTTAAAAAACTGGGGTTAGAGCGCTACTAAGTCTTAAGTTTAATTAATCTCACCATTAAGACCGGAAATATTGACTCTTAATTTTCATGTGTTGACAAAGCCATTAAAATTATTTGAAATATGTAATAGCATTAAGTATGTGTTTTTATAATGAACTTGGGAAGAGGAGAGAATAAGCTTACGTGTGTGTAGTGACGTTCAGGAGGTGCTGATGCCGGACAAGCTTTGATCTGGTGGCTCTTCAGCCGACGGCTGTTGATTGAATGAATTGTGTCAGGAGAGACTAAGAAATTTGCTTTCCTAATTCTATTCTTTCTATATTTATTAGGTATAAGAAAAAGAACTTGCCCTCATCATTTAGGGTGATTTGATTACTCTGAAAATTCATACAGGAAAGAATAAAAGCTCAATTCTTTTAAATTGTTGATTTTCAGAGTAAGCAGTTGTTACTCTCGTTATGTTCGTGGTTTCAGTGGGTTTTTGGTTTGTTTTAAATTTTAGTTTTTTGCTTTCTCTCCTCATCCGTCATTGTGAACTCATGGACATTTATGTATATACATTATGTTTCAATCAGTTTTTTTCCTTCTCCAATTTATGTTTTACTTTTTATACCAATTTGTTCAGTTTTATTATTGGGAGGCCTTTCATATTGGCCACTAGGATTTCAACATGCCCTTTTCTTGATATCCGATCATTGGTGATCCATTGGCTCATAGCTCAAGAGGTCATGGAGCTCAGGATTCAGTGGGAGAGTTTTCCTGGCTCATGAATGTGTTATAATGTGACACTCTCTTTCCCAAGGTTTTTGTTACAGTTGGTTTCTCCAGCTGCTGTTCTGGATAACTCTCCTGCCCTTTTAAATGTGGTAGAGACAAACCCTTTTAAGCATCTTACACACCTCTCACTAAAACTTTTACCTGGAAATGATGTGGAAATAAAGAAGTTTCTAGCGGGCTGTTTGAAATGTAGCAAGGTAAGGTTTACGTTTAAGTTATTCTTTTAAAATAACTACCGAAGGGCTCAGATAAATCATTGAAGAGCTATATTGGTTTAGTTTTGCTTTTCTGAATAAAGATGTCCAGTACATTTTTGTAACACGAAATGAGTGTATTCTGTTTCCCATTTCCTCAAGGCACACGGCTAGAGCTGGACCAGGGACTGGGAACCTTGGGTCTCAGGATTCTGCTAATTCTCTGCCGTCTTGGGCAGGTCACCTGAACTCTTGGTGTCGGTTCATCAGCTTACGGAAAGGCGTGGCGATAGGTAGCCTGTCTTAAATGAAATAAAATATATGAAGGTGTCTCGACAGTTACACAGTGCTCTGAAACTAACTCTCTGAGGCAGACGGTGTACAGAAACAGTGCGATGCCTCCACGTGAGAGTTTTCAGGGAGCCCCTCAGTCAAATGCTGCGGATCCGGGCATCCCAAAGTTTCAGGCACGCGCGTCTTCTAGGGGCTGGCTCCTGCGGAGTCGGGCTCAGAGGGCGGAGGGGAGCCGAGAGGCTGCGTCTCTACCAAACTCCAGCGATGCCAATGCTGTTCTCTGCTCTCGTTTGGACAGTGCAGTGACAGATGGTTAAATTAAATTATAAGTGCATACTCTTATTTTTATAAACAGGAAGAAAAATTATCATTGGCACAATCACTAGAGGATGTTACTAGGCAACTGAATTTCACACAAAAGGTAATTCAGGCTTCATTTTTCTCTGTAAATCATCCAAACAGTAGCTCTGAGTTGCCTCTGGAGTCCCACCCAGGCTGTTGTGTATTTGTTTCAAAGCACGGAGCCGCAGAATTCCCTTTCCTTTTTGCCACCGTTCCCCACCAGTTAATACCGTAATCTGGTGCTTGCCCTCTTTGATGTTTTATTCCATCCATTGTTGTTGTGGCCTTCATCGAGTCAGATAATGTGCAGTGTCTGTCACGCTTGTTCTCTGCTCCTCTTACTTCTTTACTCCGCTTGTCTGAGTGGCCTGTCTTGTAAACCTTGCCCTTCTGTTATGTCTAGAGTTAATTCCTCAGACAGGTTTATTTTTTCAGTCACAGCTACTTCCTTTTTGCTTCCCCTGGTCCTCGGGCTTGAGGCTGAAGCAGCCAACAGTCCGACACCCTGCGCAGCACACCCTGCGCAGCGTGGCCCAGCCGGGCCCAGCCGGGGCGCCGGTCCCGGGTGCTGGTGCGAAGGGGCGGCGCCTCCCGACTGGCCGCCTGCTTTACTCCTTCCTGTCCGAGGGGCGGGCTGGGTGGCCATGAGCCAGGGTTGGCTGAAGGGTTAAGGACAGGTGAGCCCGACCCCAAATCGCCACTCTACGTCCCAAATTGCTTTTATTCTAATCTTGATTGCCTCAAATTCAAAAAACCCTGCGACTGTGTCTTGAGAAGCTGTGGTGTCATCATCTTCGATACCCTTGTGAATGTCGCTGTGCCCTCACCTGAGAGCCCCTCAGGAGACTCACTGTTTTGTGCTGACTCTAACGCAGACGCTGTCCGAGAAGGGCCAGGAGCTAGACAGGCTGCGGAACGAATGGGTGTCCCACACGGCCGCCTTGACCAGCAGGCACTCGCAGGAGCTGGCCGACGAGAAGGAGAAGGCCTTGCAGGTACGGGCGGCAGAGGTGGCGGGAAGCGCGCGCCCTGCTGCCCTCTGTCCTTTCGTTAGCTGAGAGAACGGTCCGAGCTCTAGCATTTCCCGGCGTCGCAGATGCCCATAAAAACCACGTCTCTCCTTCGGAGTCTCACTGCCCAGAGATGGCCTGTAAGTGTCTGATGTGGTTTCCTTCAGACTCTTCTCCATATCTGTGAATAATGTTTATAAATATGTTTATATATAATTTATATGTTTCAAATTGTATGGACGTCATTATTGCCGTATGCGTGCCCACCTAGGGTTTGGGCTCTGTCTCACGCTGACGAGCTTCTGCGGCTGCATCGACGGTTCCTTTCGTCCGGCGTGGCCACACAGGTCTCCTCTGCCAGTTCAGGTCTCCCTTTTCAGTGGCTGCGTGGGATGTGGGTGTAACATTATTTAACTGCTTACCCAGCCAGCAGACATATAAATGCTTCAAAATTTCAGTTATTGCATATAATACTGTAGTGAACGTTGTTTCCAGAAGTGGGATTGCAATATAGCCGTATAAAATGTTCATGGATATGGCATATCGTCCCCTAAGAAGGACTGAAGGATTTGATTGCGTTCTTTAGTGCGCTGTCCAGTGGGATGGTGGCTCAGTCCGTTGAGAGTGGAAAGCCAAGCCGACCTGCTCTCCTCTGGCTGAGAGCTCCCCTGTGGGGCGGTGATTCCACAGCTTCAGTGCGCCTCACAATCACCTGAACTTAAGTAGAAAGTATAAGTCTTGTAATTCTGTCCCTCACTTTTTGTTTTTTACAAAAAGACTCTAAAACTTGAGTGATCCCTGGGGTAAAATCACTTCGCTGCTTTTACTGCCTTTGGCCCCTGCTGTCCCGAAAGTGTCTGATGGCCTCTGAGGCCTCCCGGCCCCGGCGCGCGCCCCGGCAGCTTGCTCTTTCCTGGGTGGCTCCTCAGCGCTTTCCTCCAGGGTTGCACTTCCAGTTTTACAGGGGCTCTTTCCTGTTCCATCTCTTTTGCTCCTTTTTCCTCTCCTTTTCAGTTTTCCAAAAGTTATCTTGATAATGTAAAATTCCCAAAGTATGTTATGAACAAGATACTTCAGCACTTGGGATGGGAATTTTTGAATAGGTACAACTTTTCAGGAATGAAGTTTTACTTTTTATATATTTATTTTTTTAGAAGTAAAAGTTTATTTGGAAAGTCTCAGAGGTAGAGGAACGGAGCCAGCTGGGCTGCGTGGGCTCAGGAAAGGAGTTATGAGGCGCTGAAGCTTGGGGCAGGGGGAGCGGGGAGCAAAGGGGAGGGGGAGGCAGAGAGAGAGAGCCTGGAATGCAGTTTTAGAACTTGTATCAAGCTTTCTATTTGTTTGCATTCTTTGACCTATGATTGATCATAAAGAAATAATCTCCATTTTGGACGCGTGTGTGTACAGTGATAGGAACGGCTTTGCAGGCGGGCGTGCCCAGCTGGAGACTCAGTGTCCCCCTAGGGCAGGAACTGAGTGAACAGAGGCGCAGCAGTAAGGGCGGGATGTCGTGCAGCCGCCAAAGTGGTGACAGGGCTTTTTAATGGTGTGAGGAGGTGCAGGTGGCAAGGGAATAAATAACACGGAGAAATTGTATGAATAGCTTGGTCCTAATTTGTTAAATATATAATCGTGTACGTATGTATGGGTGATGTTGTTTTTAATATATGAATGACTGGAAAGGGATATTTCTAGATCTGTAGGGCGACTCCCTGGATGAGATTATCGGTTATTTGTGATTTCCTTCTTTGTGCCTTTAAGAGTATGTATAACATGCATAATCAGAAAAGTATATTTTTAAAACATGTTTAGGATTTGATGTTTTAAATGACCAGGCTACAGTGGTAAATTTGCCTTTGTCGACCCTGGTTTCCCCTTCATGGAACCCATAACGGAAAGCAGACCCTCTTTGCCCTGGCCGGGCGGCCCAGGTGGCTAAGGCGCCGTCCACGCACCCAAGGGCTGCGGCTCCATTCCCAGCCGTGCGCTCGCCGGCGGCCAGCCCATCCGAGTCTCTCTCTTCCTCTTTCTCCTTCCCTCCCTCCCTCCGCGCCCTTTCCTTTCTCTCTAAAATCAGTATCTCTCTCTCTCCCCCCTTGTGTGAGGATTTAAAACAAACAAATAAATAAAATAGATCCTCTACAAAACAGGAAAATCCTGTATAGAAGAATAATTAAGACTTCTGCTTCAGAGCTTCCTGTGCTTGTATTTCTGGGCTTTTCATTTGAATCGGGCGCTGTATTTCATCGCGTAACAGGCACAGGCTCAGCACCAACAGCAGCACGAGCAGCAGAAGAGAGACCTGGAGGCGCTGCACCAGCGGAGCGTCCAGCAGCTGCAGGGCCGGCTGTGCGAGCTGGAGGCCGCCAACAAGGAGCTCACGGAGAGGAAGTACAAGGGCGACTCGGCCGTGCGCGAGCTGAAGGCGAAGCTGTCGGGGGCCGAGGAGGTATTGATGGGGCGGGGGCTTGGAGCCCTGCTCCCACTGTAAAGAACTTTCTGGTTTGACTGCGTTATTACCCTGTGGGCTACCGTGTGGGCGGCGGTCCTCTGGATCACCAAGGCTCTTGTGTGGGAGTCAGTTCAGACGATGCGAGAAACGTCTGCAGTCGGGGTGGAGGTGAACTTGGATATCTTTATGTAGGGCCTTCAAGAGCAGTTTTTGTGTGGATGTTTGCCGTGTGGGCACAGTGTCGGTAGCTCAGGGTGCTCCGTGGGGCAGGGCTGCTGCCTGCCCAGTGCGCTCAGCGTCCCAAATAACGCGAGGTTTAGGGTCTGGTGATAACAGTGAGAGTGAAGGTAACGACGGGAGTGGGTGCTTAACAGACACTTGCTGCGCGCTGGGTGCTGCTTTAGGTGCTCCACGCGTGTCACCTCGTTTCATTCTGGTGCCAGGTCTTTTAACGTAGGCGCCCCTACTGGAGCGCATTTTACAGAGGATGAAACCGAGGCGCAGAGGTTCAGTGCCCGGCCCAAGGTTGCGTAGCCAGTGAGTGGAAGAGCGGGGATCGGAACCCTCTGTCACTTGCCAGTATTCGCTGGTACCTTTTTTTCAGGCAACAGAGAATCGTAACAACTCTTGCTTTGGTGGCCCATTTGTTGACGTGTTGACACTGGTGATGGACTTCTTCCTAGTGTGATTGTGTATTAGTATCATAGGAAATTATCAGAAAACGTGCGGATTTTGTTTGTTGTATCTGAATGAGCAGATCACCTTGTCACGCTAGCTCACAAGACTTCCAGCCCCAGGCCACCAGGTTGTTAGGCTTAGAAACTCTGCAGCCTGACCGGCTGTACGCTCCGGTCCTTACAGCGTCCTGCCCATGACAGGCGTCTTCAGTCCGTCCGTCCTGTCCCGTCCCCCCGCCCCCGCCCTACCGGTCCCCCCTGCCAGCGGACGTCTCGGTCCTCACGGCACATCGGAGGGTCTCGGCACCTCATCGTTGTGCCGGGTAGCAGAGGCTGTCTTAGCCCTGAACTGGGCAGGGCACCGACTGAGTGCTTCATTAGGTCGGTTTCTATCAAAACATTTCTTCCAAGATTTGCATAAGACTTGGAAATGAGTTCTGCAAACTTTTTTTTAAACCTCCGAGCACTGTTACCAAATTATGTAAAAATTATACCTTTTGGGCGTTAGTGCCTTAAAATTAATAATTGCTACCATTTATTGAGAATTTACTATGTGCCAGGCAAAATGCTAAGCAATTTACATAGGGGCTTCAGGGAGATTAAATGAAATAATTTGTGAAGTGCTTATCACTTCCGTTTACAGATGAGGGCACTGAGCTGTCGGGAGGCGGAGGAATTCCCGCGATCACGCAGGAGAGCCAGGGCTTGTGCTCAAGCTTGGCTGACGCCAGAGCCTAGGCTTCTAAAACCGCCGTGGTGTGGTACCGTGCAGCTTGTGTAAGGTTTTCGTGGAACACGAATTCTGGCTAGGAATACTGTGTGTTGGGTGTTCTTTTACCAGCAGCATTTGGGTTGGTATTGCCTGATGGGAAGGTGATTTGTTCCAGGATTTTTAAAGTCTGTTTTTAATTAGCAATTATTATTTGCTTGTTTTTGCTTTTAAGAGTGAACCAAAGAAATGTTAACATTTTTTAACATGGAAAAGTATTTGTAAGAAGGTAGATCATAAAGCTGCACAGTGAGCCCTTAAAGTACATCTGTATGGATAAGCCACAGAGGTCAGCGTTGGCTCTAGATGGCGGTTCTTGCCCGCGGTGGCCTGTAGAGCCGGCTGGAGGGGTCTCGGCTGTCCTGGCTCGCAGGTCACGCCTCGCACTAAGTTGCACTCTCTCGGGGAGGGCTCCGGGCTCCGGGCTCCGGGCTCCGGGCTCCAGGCGGCGGGTGCAGGCCCCCTCCAAGGGGTTCTGGGTTGGGCTCCAAAGTGCCGTAGCAGGGTGAGCCAGCGGCTTGTGAAACTTCCCAGGCGATTGAATATGCAGAGTAGTTTGAGAGCCACAGCTTAGATGGAAAAATGGAAGGGTTTTTCATTTACGAATTTTTTGTATTTTAAAACTCTGTTATAATCAGTATTTATTACCTAAGTGATTTTTTAAAACTGTAAATTTCAAGGCTTCAGAAAACTCGTTAGTTTTTTCAAGTTGTAATTTATTCATAAATCAGGGTCGTTTTATGTTCTTTTGTTGTGATTGAATAAACTTTTAATGTATTTTACAACTGTATCCCAAATTTCCAAGTTACATATACACTTAGACTTTTATGTCCTTTAAAAAAAAATCACTACTAGAATTTTAAAACTATTAAAGATTTTTTATATTTTAAACATCTTAATTATAGATACCTAGATCAGCGAACTTTGCTTTTTTGTAGCGCATCATTTTTTATACCTCCTCTTAGGAGCTCCAGCGGGCTAAGCAAGAAGTCCTGTCTTTGCGAAGAGAGAATTCTACACTAGATGCCGAATGCCACGAAAAAGAAAAGCATATTAATCAGCTTCAGACAAAAGTAGCTGTTTTAGAACAGGAAATCAAGGATAAGGACCAGCTTGTTTTAAGAACAAAAGAAGCATTTGATACAATCCAGGAACAAAAGGTCTTTCTTAATATTTTGTAAACAAATTGATGATCACATTTATAGAGTTATGCTTTTCCTAAATAAGCACCCTAATTATTCATGTTTTTAAAAATATTATCAGGTGGTTTTAGAAGAAAATGGTGAGAAAAATCAGGTACAACTAGGAAAACTTGAAGCTACCATAAAATCACTGTCAGCAGAACTTCTTAAGGTTTGTTTTTAAAAATCTAATAGAGCATCGATATTTTATTGGATTATGGAGAAATATACAAATGAAGCTCTTTTATAGGCAAATGAAATTATCAAGAAGTTACAAGGGGATCTGAAAACTTTAATGGGTAAACTGAAGCTGAAGAACACAGTTACCATTCAGCAGGAGAAACTCTTGGCTGAAAAGGAAGAAAAATTACAAAAGGAACAAAAGGAGTTACAAGATGTTGGACAGTCTCTTCGAAATAAAGAGCAAGAGGTGGTCAATATTTTCTGCTTTTGCGTGTATGATTATTTGTAAATTATAACAAATTTCCCAGACGTATTTTTTAAATTTCTACTTTTTTATATCAGAATGGCTCTTGTTTTGTTTTTTCGAAGAGCATGGCTAGAGTCAACAGAAGTTACTAACTCATTTGTGTTTGAAAAGTTAGTTATGACTCAAACACCTTGTGTGTGCATATATATGTATGCGTGTGTGTGCATACAAATATTTTACTACATAGGTGAGCTAATTCCTTTAATAATAATAGAGAGTAATCAACTATGCGATTAATAGCAATACATTTTTTCAGTTTTTAGTCTTTATTATACTTATTATGAAGATTGACATATTTCAGGTATGCAAATTACAAGAACAATTAGAAGCTACAGTTCAGAAACTTGAAGAAAGCAAACAGCTTCTAAAAAATAATGAAAAGCGTAAGTATGTTATCTTTTTATTAGATGAAATTTGTAGTTTTATTCCTATTTGAATTCACAGAAGTCTAGGAAACTCCATCATTATTAAAAAAAACTGTGTCACATGGATCATTAACCCAAAATTGAAAGTATTGAAAATATTAATAATTTACTTTAAAAATTCTTCACCGTTCTTTAATTTTTGTATTTACCTAATAGTAATAATATTATTTGAAAATAAAATATAATATTAAGCCTTCAACTAACATTTTTATGAGTTCCAAATACTAGTTGTCAGATACGAGTGTGAACTTTGCGTAAACTGTGAGATACTCTAGAAATGAAAGCCTTCACAGTGACCCTTGGCGCTTCAGGCAGTAGCGGGGTAAGGAGTCCTGGGTGGCAGATGCTGAACTAAGACTCTTTAATGATGAAAACCTTAAGGGAACCTCCAGTGTTCTCCTGTGACATGAGTAGTTTCAAACACTTAAAATTTTAGAAAGCTCAAGATAATTTGTAAAGGTTTAAAATTATTAGGAAAATAAAAATAATGCAATAAAATTCTTCACTGTGTTTCTTCTCTCTTTTTCTGTAAGTAATAGCGTGGTTAAATAAAGAGCTAAATGAAAACCAGCTGGCGAGAAGGCAGGATGCGCCGGGCCCTTCTGGCACGCCGCCCGTGCGCGCCAGCGCCGCCTCAGGCAGAAGGGGACTCTCTCCTGACCCCAGTGTGGTAAGATCCAAGTGAAGGTGAGAGGGCCGCGGTCACTTCCTAGAGCACAGAGTGCTCCCAGGGTGCGAGGGAGCCTCTGGCTTTTGGTGCTGGCGCCATGGACTGGCGTCCGGCAGGTAGTAGCGCCGAGCAGAGTTTGGTCGTGCAGAGGTGGAGCGTGCGGGGGCCTCGCCCTTAACGGGGAGGCTGTATTTCAAGGGCACACTTCTTGTAAGATTTCTTAATCCACATAGAAAGCATTCAGTGTGAGCTAAAGCAATGTCAAATGTGCTGAAAATGTACACACACGCACACAATTTCAGAGGCCTCAAGAAGGAAGAACAAAGTTTGGGCTCGAGTTTGGAATTACAGTGGAAGGAACCTACCCAGAGTTCTATCAGCAAGAGGAAAGTCCTGTTCCCAGGCTTGTCAGCTCTAGGTTCCAGAAGAAACTGGCTGTGAGGTAGCAGCTTTCCAGCTCCCAGGACCAGATCCCGTGCTTTTTCTTTGCAGGAAATGAGCCCTCGGTGTCCCTGGACTAGCTCGCAGGCAGGCCTCGAGGCGCCCCTGTGGAACCTACACAAAATCACACAGTGTCAGCGTCAGACAAGCCCACTCTGACTGTGCTGGGTCAAGACAAGACCGCAGCGTAAACACGTCCGAACACAGACCAAAATACAGACGTTGCCCGGCCCAGGGAAGGGCGAACATCCTGTGCTGGGTCACATGAGCGCTTTGTTCCCAGTTACAGCTGTGGTTTGAATACACTTCTCCTGCCATGTTGGATGAGATTTACTCGGGTACTCCTACAGTTATCTGTTTCCTGGTAACATCCAACCCCTAGCAAAGCCCCGCTTTCTTAAAATACCCCTTAAATCATCTGACACATGGCTGTTGTAAGTCCAATAAAGAAGCCCCCTGACAGGCTCTGACTGAGACACCACACGGTTCCTCATTGTGTGTGGTCTCCCTTGATGTAAGGACCAATAATCAAACGAGCGTATATGATGAGGCCTTTTTGGGAAAACTCCAGCCTTTATTATAATGGGAACGTTTTGCAAGACATCGATATAATCTGTCAGCCAAGGAGAGTGGACTGGAATGCACACGTGTGAACAGTGATGACTCCACTGTACTAGTCAGTGGGGGCGGTAGACGGTGTTGCGTGAGCATGTGTACTGTGTGGACGCCGCATTCAGAATGATTGAGGGAGTAGAGCAAGGAATGAGCATCAATTTGTGCATTAAACTTGAATATTTCTCCACGGAAACCATCCAGATGACTCAGAAGGCCGCAGCTCTGGGCAGCTGGTGACGGGCAGCTTCATCATGACAATGCACCTGCTCATGCGTCATGTCTCATGCTGAGTTTTTCTGGCAAAACACCAAATCAGCCAGGTGCCTCAGCCCCCCTATAGCCCACATTTAGTGCCCTGTGATTCTGGCTTTTCCCAAAACTAAAACCAGCTTCGAAAGGGAAGAGATTTCAGAACATCGATGGGATTCAGGAAAATAAGACAGGACAGCTGATGGCAATTGGGAGAACTATGTGAAGCCCCAAGGTGCCTCCTTTGAAGGGGACTGAGGCATCACAGTCCTATGTACAATGTCTGTTGTGCCGTCTTCAGTAAATGACTTTTTTTCACATTACACGGCCACACACCTGGGCAGAGCTGCGTGTCCGTAGCTGTGTCTCTGTAGTTGCTGGCTGGGGTGCCCTGGCAGAGCGTTCAAAATTCAGATGCCCAGGGCATCAGGCAGCACTTGGTGTCTAAAGAAGGGGAAGGATTCCTGCTGAGTTGAAAAAGGTGGAGGAAGACGTGCCTGGTGCTGAGTTATAACGTTGAAAAGACTGATGACAAACAGCCGTGTGAAGGTCCTGCAGCCGCTGGTGTCCGCAGTCTCTTAGGATTTGTGTTTCAGGTGGCCTCTTAGTATTGCCATTTGTTAACGGTGGTGTTACTGTTGGCAAAGCGTATAATTTTCTCTGTAAGTCATTTTAAGAACACTGATCTTATTTCTACTCAGTCTGGCAGGAAAAAAAATTTTTTTTTTTTAATCATCACCCCAGGACTTGTTTCCATTGAGTTTTTAGGGTGGGGAGTGAGAAACAAAGAAAAGAAAGAAACATTGAACCCACAGCCTGGGCCCGTGCCCTGGTGGGAAATCGAACCGGCAGCCTTTAGGTGTACAAAATGATGCTCCAACCCCACTGACCCCGCTGCCAGGGCGAGAGTAACTTTTATTTCATCGCTGCCTGGTCTGTTGATCTTTGCTTCCACCCCCGAGCCCTCTGTGTAGGACCGAGGGTGCGAGGGCGAACCAAGGCACTTCAAGGTCTGTGTGGGAACCGAGCGGGGCCGCCCCAGCTGGGGCCCGATAATAAGGCGGGTTTGCGGCGTCCTGATAAAGAACCTGGGCCTCTGAGATCGTGCTTTTAACTGTTAGTTATCAGATTGCTGATGCCTCTTGGATCAGCAAACACTATTTAGAGCTAATTTCTCACCCTTAACACTTCTGCGTTTTTCCTTTTTAGGTCGAGGGCAGAATGCCATACCCGTCCCGTGGGATCGGTTACCCGGGCTTCGCTGCGCTTGCGTTCCAGGACACCTTCTCTCACCCCGGGTCTGCCAGAAATGCCGTCCACCCAGCCTCGGGACCAAAGGTGCCCACATTAACTAGATTTTTTTTGTGTGTGAAAAACATAACAAGTTATTAACTTGCAATTTTTTTATCTCTATAAAATTTATTCTTTGATCGGTCGCTAAACAGTAGGTGATGTATGTGACTGAGTGGCTAGTCTGTGTTTACAGAGATGCTGTGCGCGCTCTGTGATGCGTCTTGAGTCACTGGGATTTGTGACAGTCAGGACATCAGTCTGTGTGAGCTGTTCTTACTCCTGTTCAGCCTCTCTAGTCATTCTTCTAGTTCTGTCGCCTGCAGCTCTCAGACCCAGCAGGGGCTCCTGGCTTCCTGCAGCGTGGCTGTTCGCTGTTTGGGGTCCCACCACCGGCACTTAGAGGCCGGGGGAAGGGGGGCGGGGGGCGGGGCGGGCTTTGCCTGGACTCTGCACCGCAGCTGTGCGGGCGGTCGCCTGGGGGTGGGGGGGCGTGCTCGGTGGTGCCTCCAGGCCCCGGTTCACTCGTGAAGGCTCTTTCCTGCCCATGTGTCCTTCCTCATTGTTGTTATTACTGGCATCCTAGATTTCTGTATCATGCTCACATGTGATTTTCACAATGATCTAATCCACCCAAACCAACCGCGGATTTTATTTTCATTCCTAAATTCAGGTCCAAATGAATTTTTTCCCCCTGCATCATGGAGACGGGGATTTTCTAACAGATGAGGGTGGGGGCTGTGCACACGCTGCCGTGGGCGCGTCGGCGCGCATGTCGGGACCGCGCTGCGGACAGCGTGCCACCGCTTGGGCCAGGGCTGCGCCTCGGCGCCCGTCCCGTCGGGGCGCGGGGCGCTCCCGGGGAGGAGGCGGCGGCCCCGTGGTTACGCTGAGAACGTGAGGGGAAGAGCATTCAGATGCACTTCTTTGACTTTTCTTGCACTGCTGACTAAGGAGAGTAGGTACATGTATTCAGAGGAATACGTTGCTTTTAATAAATATCCGTATACTCAGTGTGATTGTATCATAGAATCACTCTCTTCTTGAAAATTATGATTGAATTTAAAATTGCTTTTCATTTTAAACAGCCTTCCAGAAATTACGTAATGTCTGAAACGCGCGCAAACAGGTCGGCCGGGCTGCACGCGACGTGGGCAGCAGGAGGTTCCTCTTGCTGCAGCCCCACAGGGGCCGTGGTGGCACGCACTCGCGTGTCCCGTGTTACGGATCCCCGCGTCCGTCTGTACACGCAGCCCCTTCCGTGAAACCCTCCCCTTGTTCAGCTTCGCGTTGGAGGCCGTGAGTCGCCCTGTGGGTTGTGAAGCCGGCGCGGCAGGCTTGGGTGTGGAGAATTTGCGTTTCCCGAAACAGCGCCCCAGGGCTGCCGGCTGGCGACCCACCGCCCGCCCGCCCCCCGCCCCGGCGGGCCCTCCCAGCAGCTGCGCTCCCTGTCCCTGCCGGGGCTTCGCCTCGCGCTGCTCGGTGCTCCCCGCGTCTGGAGGGGCCGCCCATGTGCCTCCGTGGGCCGTTTGGTGGCCGTCAGAGTCCTTTGCAGTTTGGGGCTGTCACAGGTCCAGCGGCTGCGCGCCCAGCCCCTGCGCCTCCCCGGGGGCAAGTGCCTGCGGGTAGAGCGACTGGCGGCAGGTGTTCCGTTTTTAAGAAACTGCCCCGCTCCTCTGAGGCAGCTGCCCCGTTTAGGGTCCTGCACCGCTTGTTGTCCAGTCTTCAAGAACATTCTTTTTGTTCATTTTGTGGTTGGTGGGCAGAAACTGTTACGTATTAATATCTGGTGCTCTTTCTTAAGTGCCCTCACTCTTTCTGCATGTAAGGAATATTAAAATCACCTTGTCTTGCCTAAAAAAAATCCTGTTAGTGTTTAACATGATCATGTTCAATGTGTGGCTCGATGTAGGATGTAGGAAAGCTGATTGTCTTTGGAATGTTGAACTTGACAACCAAGCACAGCACTGTTTACCTTTCTTATTTATAATTTTATCCTGTTACACGGGCATCTCTGCTTATTTTATCAGGAGTCTTTACCAAAAGTAGATGCTGTTTTCGTGTGCCTTTTCTTCTGTGTGCCCGTGGTCACCATTTTCCTCCTCTGACCTGTTGGAGTCGCTGACGTTCTGGGCAGGGAGACGCAGGATTCTCCGTACGGAACCTGCTCCATGAAGTGTGTCTGTGTGCCAAACGAGAGGTTGAACAAGGACCTCTCGTCTGCCACCAGGAAAAAATGGGGCCTCCAGTCTCCATGGGGCCCCGTCTCTGTTCTCACGAATGTGGTCACAGGTGATGTTCTCTCGCCTCACAGGTTCAGTTTAACTTGCAGTTCACCAAACCAAATGCGCCCTTGGGGGACACTCAGCCCGCGGCCACTGGCAGTGCGCCCTGCGCAGCTGATAAGGAGAAGTAAGTGCTTGCTGACCGCAGCTTGACACTTGCCGTTTGAAAGTCACCTTAAGTGTTTACCGGTGCCTGAGAAGCTTGGGCGCCTACTGATTTGTCTGTTGCATTTTAATAGTGTTTCTTATTGTGCTCCGTTATTTACTTAACATTAATGGCTGGAAGGGCCACCTGCTGGCACTTGTCCTGAGCTGGCACCTTCCCACTGCCTCCCAGGCTGAGTCCCTCGTGTGGCACAGAGGCTTCTCATCCCTGCCGTCTGGCCTGTATTCATTGGCTCTTCCCAAGTTGCCACCGAGAAAAGTATTAAAAGAGTTAATGCCTATGAGTCTGCTTTTTGGATCAAGTTCAGAAGTCTTTGAGGTCCCGAAAGGAATGTATTTGTTAAATTTCATCTCACACTCCCTTGTTCAAGAGGCGGACTGCCGTAATGTTTATATATCACCTGTGTCGCACACACCAAAAGCCAGTCTGCATGGAGAAAATGTGACGATTGTATTTCCAGTACAAAATCAAGCATAACTGTGTCCATAAATTTAGGACTGGTCAGCGACTTTTTAGGGGTTTTTTTTTTTTTTTGCTGTTTAAAACTGTTCTTTTTATTGTCAGCTAGTAAAAAAGTGGTAGTGGGTATCAAAGTTTAAAGAAAAAAATGTAAAAATTGAAGAAAGACCTACTCTCTTTTTCTGAAAGTTGGGAAAAAGAGTATCACTTAATTTTAGGGTCATAATGTCATTTTTTTCAAGAGCTTTCAATTTCTTATTTCAAGTATAGTATAGGGAAACTGCTAACACTGGGCAGATTTGGGAAGAAGGGATATAATGGTAGGAAGGGGGAAAATACAAGCACAGATACACATTTTTTTTAAAAATCATGTGTATTCATTTAACCAACATACCTTGTTTTTACAGTATATAGCAATATCTGTGATGACAATTTGAAGCACAAATTATGAAGAGCTTTTTCTAGAACACGGAGCGCATCCGTTTGAAACAGAGGATGAGCTAGGAGATGCGAAGGAACACTCCTCCCGGGCGGCACGCGGCCTTTCCGTGGCGCTCGCGGGCTGTTACCCCACAGCCCTCTCCCGGCTCGGAGACCGTGCGGTTTCACTTACGGTCGCTTCTTCTGTGCTGGGAAGAGGGTGCTTCAGCTTGTGTGTGGACAGATTATTTGCTTAAGAAAGCAGTGAGGAATGTGATTTGTTTTGAACAAAACTAAACGTAGATTAGACATTCAAAATTAACTACTAAGAGAAAATAAGAGTTTGTTGAAGTAAATAATTACTGTTTTCCTTTTAAAGTGGTGAGAACTTAGGGCTAGAATCCAAATACCTGAAGAAAAGGGAAGACAGCATCCCCTTACGTGGGCTCAGCCAGAACCTCTTCAGCCACCCAGGTGAGACGGCGGCGGCTCTGGCGTAGACGGTCCCCTGCCGCTTCAGCGCCTGCAGGGCGGCCAAAGCCGACGCGAACGATCTCTTTGTCCTCATTTGCAGACCCTCAGAAAGATGGCCCGTTAGCACTACAGCCCTGCTCCAAACCGGCCGTGGGCGCTCCCTCCCCGTCAGCATACTTCCCGGGGCAGCTGCCCAGCAGCTAGCTCTGCGCCGCCTGCCCGCCACCTGGCCGTCCCGGCCACGCGGCCGCGCTGCCGCTGGCGGTGGACTGGGGAGAGCAGCAGGTTTGTCCTGGGGACGGAGTCGCCGGAGGCAGCGGCCTCTGTCGTCTGTGAACGCCGTGCTTTACAGGACAACGGTGTGAACTTCATTGAACTCGCCCTTCGAGACTCTTACAAGCTCCTAGCCAAGAGCGATCTTTATAAGGGGCGTTCGAAGCACAGGGGCTCCGGATAAAACTTTTCAGACGTCATGTGGACCAAAGAAGGCCAATAGCTCATTTTATCATTTTCATTTGGAAAGCAAGTTTTAAATTTGCCACTCGAGAATTATGAGGGAAGATGATTATCTCCTGTTTTTGATGATAATTTACAGTAAAGGGAAAAGTCCTAAAATCGAATGAATTATTCCTTCATAGCAAGTATTTTCCTTGAAACCTTTTAATTAGCTATTAAGTCTTTTGAGTGATTTGATAAATTTACTATAAAAAATAACTTGGACAGATTTACACGACCAGGTAAAGTATAAAGTGTTTTAGTCAATTAGGCTGCAAAGTTTACAGGATTTTACGGCTTCCTGAGTCTATACTCATCTAATTTTTCTTTCATTTGGATTTCTGTAAGTTCTTTGATGCAGTTAAATTTGTATTAGTGGAATTTTGTTTTAAAAGTTAGTACTATACAAAAGAGCATCATGAGTATACATTGTATTTGCTTTGCATTTCAAAATGGGTTTAATGTTTAATAAAGTAAGCAAAACAAACCACTGTTAGATGTTAAAACTTTCTTATTGTGTAAGTTTCAAGTAAGAATAGTTCCTTGGAAAAAACTTAAGTGACCAAGAAAGTCACCCAGAATCATGGGGCCCATTTTTTTCTTGTTGAAAACCATCCAGTAGAGGAGCATTCTCTTAAGAACGTCTAAATCATTTTTATTGGCAAATACAGCTCATGTTCATTCAATCTTTTAAAATTATTTTCGAGGGCTGTATCGTACAGATGAGAGACATTTCAGGACAGTAATGACGTTCCGCCCGCTCCCTGGTAAGACAAAGACAGCCTTGGCTCCTTTTCGAACAAAGCCATAGTCAGTCGCTTAGAAACACGGCTGGCCACCGCCAGGTGTCCTGAACGAGGGAGCTCACCTCAACACTTCAGTGGCCACTGGTAGGCAGCGACTTTCCATGTAGCCTTTTTTCCTCATTCAGCTACACTGTCTTAGTAAGAACCCCTGGTCATGGCAGCTGGAAAGCACTTACAGGTAATCTGGAAAGCTCTTGGTGACATCAGAACCCGCTCTCTTGTCAGCACTGTGTCATTTATATCTAAGTTCAGGGATAGAGCTCAGAGGAGGGGGCATGCAGGTAGCTTTTTTCCTTTTGTTACACAATGATCTCCATTTATGTGCCCACATGCAGAAAATTAAGGGGATTTCCCAAAGGTAGGATAGAGATCACGGTGAGGTGCCGAAGACTTTCTATTAGGTGTACGTGTACAGGCTTCTGAGTGTGCCAATTCTGTGCTCTACCTCTTACAAACTTTAATATTTGACATGGTTTTGCAGTGTACATTGTACATGTGTTAATAATTAAAGTGTTGCATTTAATGTACTTCTGTGATCTCTGTGAGCTTGATTAGTAAGTACTAATATTTTGGGACTAGGACATGTAAGAAGTATATACAATTATAAACAAAAAAGGATTGATCTACAACAACTCTGCTTAGAAAATCGCTTTAACTTACGGACTGAGTCTCCAGTTTGTCGTCTCCCTGCCAGAGTATTTCACAGTGAAGGAAAAGGAATGGGCTCAGAGAGAAGGCACAGAGAGCTTCGATTTGCTGTGAAAATGATCGACGGAACAAGGCCAAAACGGGCCAGCAGGGAATCACAGAGCAAGACTTTCTTTAAAAAAAAAAAATCATTAAAATATTTAATTTTATTAACAGAATATTTACATTTCTTTGAGACCTTATTTAACCATAAGTGAATGTTCCAAGTTTAAAAAGCATTAAGCAGTAACTACACACAAGATGAAAACGGTGTAGACTATACAATACTTTATGTACAATTTTTACAAAGTAACACTTTTTTAAATAATATAACTGGACACAAAAATATACACTTTAGAGAAATTCACATCAGTAATTGTATAAAGCTCTCTTCTAGGTCCTGAAAATCTAGGACAAATAACAGGTCTGTGAGCGAAGTGTTACTGCGATCGGTCCCGAAAGGCCACTGTATGTACCTGTCTGCACACGGACGTTCTCAAGGCCGCCAGCTTTGCTGTGTGATTTCTACACTGTGTTTACAAGTGCTGAGGTTCTTACGATTACGCAAACATTGAGGGGATAGTGGTGTAAGTAGCAGGGGAGCAGATTCGAGCCAACATGTAGGTGGACTGGCTCTAAACACCCCAAAATGAAATTCTACATGACTGATACTTTCCTACTTAAAAAACCAGTAGTGAATAATGTTTAAAATAAAATTACTACAAACAAGTTTGAACCATGATTCAGATTTAGTAGTTTTCTTGAGTTTTTGTTTTTTTTAAATGCAAACAGCTTACCATCTCTTTAGTGCACCTGCATTAAGGCTTTGAATTATTTGACCCAAGATTTTACAATGATAAAACCCGACTCCAGGTTTTACAAGGTTAAAAACAACAGGTCCACAACCACACTTCCTAGTCCGCCCGCTGCGAGTCAGCACGTAGTTAAAGCTCAACACCTGAAGGAGAGGGCAGCAGAGACATTGCTAGTATGTACGAAGTTACACAGGGAGTTTTTAATTAAAGGATGTATATAATAAAACAGCTTAGTGGCAAGAAATTGGTACTAATAAACAAAATGTTTCTCTTCAAAAAAATTGTAACATCTTTGGAAAACTGTCCAGGTCTTTCTTGAGTCCCCATGGAGTCCATGCAGATACATTTAAGACACCCTGGAAGTCCACTGTAGACGCAGGTGGAATGTCCGCCGGGCCACAGGTGCGGACCCTGCCCCGGGCGCGGGCGGGAGGGTCCCCCTGGCTGCGGCGGTCACACGTTCGTGTCCTGGAGTAAGGGTTCTTTGGCCTCGCCTGGCGCCTGGGTGCTGTGAGGATGGCTGTGGCCGCCACAGTGCTTCCTCCAGCTGCTGGGCCGCAGGCTCAGGTTGGTGTGTTCCGGGATAAACAAGGCCACCAGCAGGGCCAGCAGCACCGAACAGGCTCCGAAGAGGAAGGGGGGGCCGGGGATGATGGAGTTCTGGGGAGGCAAGGAAAGCACAGCTAGTGGTCTCGCCCGAGTGTGTGCGCACCAGAGGCTGTATCTGTGGGTAGGAACTCACTGCTGTGAATTAGAAACCGCAATTATTTAATCATGGCCTTAAAGCCATAGCTAGAAAAAGCATCCCCTTTTCAGGAGTGAAGGGATACTATCTGGGGTATCACCACCGTCTCAATGTAAAATTCCAGGGGTAACAACTGACCCAAGAAAACAGCCAAAGGGTTTTTTAAAAGAAATGCAGGTGACGTCACCTGCAGCACAAAATCTGAACACATTCTATGAGCCTTCACTTTATTTGTCGAGGAGGAAAACAGGACAGATCAGAGTGAAACCAAGGAGCTGACTACAATCTATTAACCGCAGGAGCGGAGTCGGCGCCACAGGGCATGCTGGGCCCGAGAGAACCCAGCAGGTGTTTGTGTTAGCCAAAACCTGCACAGCCAGTTCTGCCTGCGCACAGCCCACAAACACACCCTTTATTAATTAAGACCAGTCCTAGAGCTGCTTAGGGGGTCAGCGTAGAGTTCTGTTAAACAAGCAAGGAAACAGGCGCGCTGCCTGTCGCCTCCGTTGTGCCGCGGGAAGCCTGGCAACGCCTGCGCCTCCCTCCGCGCGGAGGGGTGGCCTCCCCTGGGAGCCTGGGCACGACAGGCGTCTTGGGGGTGGACAAGCGGCATGACAGCCAGAGGCTGTCACCTGTGCCATCAGTGCCACACACAACCAGGACGTGTAAACCATTTTTAATTCCTGAGGGGAAAAAAGGAGCGCACAGCCAACGTGGCTTTGGTTTCCAGGTGCGCTAGTCCATCTACAATAAGGAAAGCGCCCCACCCTGGCTTCGGAAGCAGCCAGACACACTCCAGCTGTGCCATGCGAAAGAACACCTACCTGCTCAAAGTGGTGCTGCGGGCTGGTGTTCGTCCCCACGTCCGTGCCTGTCATGGGCAGCTCTTTTAGCTCCACGTGGAATATGTAGAAAATGAAGCCGTAAAGAGCTGGTCCCAGGCCGTTGCACAGCCCTCGAATCCCTGTTATCATGCCCTGTACGACACCTAAGTTGGAAGAAAGGACCGCTCAGCACACCACCAGTGCCGTCCCCCCAGAACCAGCAGTGGCGACTGAAGACCGAGGCTTCAGTCAGACGCTGGCACTGGGCGATGGACAGTGACAGCACGAAGCTACGCAGGGGCCACCGGCTCTGTCACGCGCAATAAGCCAGCGGGGGCAGAGCGGGCTCGGGGCAGCCACCGGCGGCCAGGCCTTCGGCCTCCATAAACGCGCAGCTTGCTTTCCCACCTCGCCCGTCCAGCCGGCCACCCGCCGGTCTTCTGGAACTCCGCTCTTTTGTGGCTAGATGTTTTATTCAAAGAGTTATTAGCATTCCAAAAATTAAATGTTCCCACCACAGAGCCTAAGACAACAGAAATATGTCTGCCAGTTGTGTTGAGATCACTGAACCCGAGACGCTTTCGCAAGGGCCATGAGCGTGCCCAGGCGCCCTGTGCACTGGAGCAAACCCGTGTGCTCGGTGGGTGTGGGCCCCGCCCCCCACCCCCAGAGTCAGAGGGGCAGGCAGGTCTGTCTGCGCCCGGGGGAAGACGGGGCTGCAGGGCTCCGTGCCGCACTGCCGTCCTGGCCGCCCCCACGGACTCACCTTGCTGGTCGGCATCGGCGGTTCGCGAGACAAGCGCACTGACGGCCGGGAAGGTGATGCTGGACATGGCGGCCACGGCCCCCGCGGCCCACATCATCCTGCGGGCAGAGCAGCGAGGCCCGGGCATCAGCCGGGGGGCTGGGGAGGCCCTCCCACTACCTCGTGTGTGGAGAGCGATGTACAACATGAATACAGAAACGCCACTGAACATTCCCAGACGCTGAGTCGGTGACTTCCCACAATAGGCCCACCTCTTCTGATACAGCGTGGGGAGAACACTGATTCCATTAAAACTTACATGCTCCTGGTTTGACAATGTTCTAGAATAAACCGTGAGCAACTCCTTCTAAAAGCTAGACTAGGAAACAGAACACCCATCAGAACACGCCAAGTCTGACAAGAGGCCATGCGCAAGCGTGTGGGACATGGGTACAAACCGGGTCCCGCCCTGCGGGCGCTGAGCACCAGCAGATGCAGGCAGCCTGGCCTCGCACCCTGCGCCCTCCCTGGGGGGCCGAAGGCAGCCTTGTCCCAGCAGAAGGGGGGAGCCTGGCCCCTGCCCTTGCTCGTGGACTCCCAGGCCGCCACGGTAATGACCGCTGGCTTCCTCAGGCCTATCCTTGGGGCCAGAAAAACAGAGAAGGTGGAGAACTGACTTGCGGGGCCCTGTTGCCATGGGGACTGGGCACTTGCTTTCTCCTAATGACAGATGGAGACAGTAAACGCTCATGAGGGATTCAAAGGCTCAATAATCTTGTTCAAAAAGCCAACCTGTGACTTAGGTATAAAATGTCACCTGTCAGGCCATTCCAGAATATTCAAAAACACAAGGGACAGGTTTGTATTACACACAGTTTCAAAGGAAAAAAAGCATAGTAAAAGACTGAAGTCTAAGCCTTAGTTGAGAAGCAAATAACTATAACATTGTCTATTATACCTCAAAGTGAAGAAAAAAATCACAAAAGGCAAACACAAAATGTTTAAGAAAATTAAAATCACACCTACCAAGGTTCTGACCCGAAGCCATACCATGCCAGCTGTAATATCTGAAATCCCAGACCCAGTAAAATGGTGTTCTTGTTTCCAATTGATCTCATAAGTAAACTCAAGACTATGGTCTGGGGAAAAAAGGAAAAAAAGACCAAAATGGTTTGTTGGAGTACAGTAACTTTTTAAAACTAGAAAGAAAAGCTATTTGGTGACTTCTTTCAACCTGTAATAAAAGGGCCATTACGTTTTCCTACAGTTTGGCTTTTCAGCCACAACTGCCCTGAGCATCTGAGGTCGTGACTCCAGGCCACAGAAGTAGAGGCAACAAGATGCAGAGAAAATGCCGGAACTGAAGAGGAAGGTGAGCTTTGCTCAGGACACTGCTGAGCGCCCGCTGCCTAGACCAGCAGGTACAGCGGGCGGCCCGGGGCCCTCCCCAGGGCTGAGAGACCCCGTTGTGTGGCACCAAGAGACGGTCCGCGCTTCTCGGTACACCCACCATTGCCAGCCCGCAAGCGGCCTCACGGCACAGCCCTGCCGCCTCGGCTCACCTGCTGGCGGCTCTGGGCCTCCGCGAGCTGCCACTCAGTTTGACGGGTGGGTGTGGGAGAAGCCCGGCTCATAGCCGAGATCACAGCCTCCGGGAAGGCTGCAGCCCTGGGCCCCACCGGCCGCGCACAGGGGACTCGGGGCCCCCGCAAGGCGCAGGCAGTGCCGGTGACAGGCTGAGGCGTCCGCGCCCACACAGGGCGAGCATTCAGTACATGGCGCCGCGGGGCTGATGGGCTTTCCTGCTTCTCGTTTTCTTTGAAAGCTAACAAATTCTGCAATGATCTGGGGAAATCACTTTCATTCTAACTAAGGTATTAGATATACCACGCAAGATACCTAGTGAGTCCATCAAGGAAGAAATGAAAATAATTCAGAAAACCACTGTTTGATGACTGGCAGACACTCTGAACTCACAATTACCAGGTTTAAAATTCTTTCAACGGTCGTCCAAGAGCTTCATCAGGTTTTGTCAAATAAGCCAGTACAAAGCAAGGGGCTCTTGAACAATGAGGACTCGTAACTTTCTTGTCTGAGGTTTCCTCTTCAACCGGGTGAGCCCGAGACGGAGCTCCATAGGACGTGGGACTCTGCTGTAGCAGGTCCCTCAGCTGTAGCCTCAAGGGAGGTCGTGCAGGGCAGCAGCGTGCGGAGAAAACCTGGCGCGTGGTGGCCCCAGGGCTGGGGACACTCGCCTCGCCCTGAGGACAGGCTGCTTTCTGCTGTCTCCCCAGCACCTAGCACCAGTTCTTAACAGATGTTTATGAAAAGCTAGTGTGCCTTTAAATGTCACACTATCTCAACAATGACGGCACAAATTATAATCTAAACAGTGTACAATACTGGAGAAAAACTGTCTCTTAATTTAGAACAGCTCTTTTGGAAGACATTAAATGACCGATGACTTAACCAAGGGGATGCAGCTGACTGACTGTCAACTGGCATCAGCTTTGGTCATCGCTCAGAGGTCGGCCACGGCCCACTGCGGCCAGGCCAGAGGGCAGTCCAAGTGCAGTCAGCAAAGGACTCCCTCCCTGTGGAAAGGGGGACGCCAGCACCACCTTATTCAACGAGACACCCCGGGGCTGTGGCTGCTGTGAAGGAAGGAAGAGTAGGGCGGGGTGAGGGCTACTCACGGGGGGCGGGGGGCGGGGTGAAGGATGGAGGACCTGCGGCGGCAGGGAGGGACCCGGCTGGACCACACACCCGTGCGGGCATTTACCCGAGTGTCAGGAATTCAAGCCTGTGGGGCTGGGCAGCACCGCGACCTTCGGTGACGCGCAGCGTGCAGGCCGGAAGGGATCGGCCACCGCTCGCTCCCACGGGCGGGCGCGCCTGCCCCGTGTTACCGCATCCAGTGAGTCTGGGGGAGGAACTGCACAGCCGTGTTTTCACGCAAACCTCCCAAATTCTGACGTGCTTACTGCTAATTTTTCAAGTTTTTAATGTTACAGAAACCCCACTGAGCCCTAAGCTGCACCTGCCCGGTTGCAGGCTCAGGGCAGGGCAGGGGACCTGGGACAGGGCAGGACACCGACCTCACGCTCGTTGCGGCAAACCCACCCCCGGGGAACCACGGGCGCCTGCGAGGGGACACCCAGGACACAGGGAGGGGCACGAGGCCCGCCGTACGGTGACAGACCGCGCGGCGGCTCCAGCTGCGGGCCGGACAGGGGAAGGACACGGCCTTCCCCAGGCTCAAGGTCTACAGGACGGTCGTTCTCAACTGTGTCCTTCACACACACAAGAACCCAGATGCCCTTCTGCCCTCGGGCTCTGTATTAATCGTTCTCAACATTTCAGGGGACACAAAAACCCTACTATCGATACGTGCAGACTACGTACCCCTGTTCACCTGTTTCTGAACACCAACTGATTGTCATTTTAAAATGGAATTGTGCATCTCAAGTGCTGTGTTTCCACGTGGGCCCCAAGGCAAGACGGGCGCTCGGAGCCTGCAGTCCCCGGGCTGCGCTTCTGTCCGGACCGCGCGGGCGGCTGGACGCGGCCGCCCCCACGCCCAGGGCCCCACTGCGGGGCTCTTCCCTGCTGCCCGCCCCGTTCTGAGCTCTCGGGGACGGCGGGCCTCCGTGTCCTGTGGGCCGGGGGCCGCCCGCACAGAGTCTGGTGTCACTGCCTCGACAGTCACTCAGGCGGAAGGGACCTCTGAGCGTGCAGCTCCGAACCGCGCGGCTGCCGACACTGGGCGCCAGCCTGTTCTTTCCTCTGGGACAAAGATTAGCAAATCTAATCTCAGCAATGTCTGAAAAGGTGATAATATATCTTGCTCAGCTTGGCTCCACCGCAGGGTTCAAGGTCAGCTGACCGTGACCTTCCCGTGGCCTGCGCATTTCCCTGTGCGACGCTGTTTGAGGCCCAGACACCAGGACAGTGCCCCCAATGCAGGAGGGAGGGCCCTCCTCGGATCGCGAGGAACACGATCTAGACGAGACCTAGACACGGTGGCTTCCAGGTCCAGGGGTGGCCGCGATAAACCCGCACACAGAAACGTGCTAATGCTCAGCGCCGCATGCACGCATGGGCGCCGCCACGGAGGAGGCATGTCACTGAACTTAAATTTGAAGTTTATCACCAAACCTACAAAAACCCACAAAACAATGGGATCTGCAGAGGGAGCCTCCGTAGGAGACCGAGACCCTTCCCCGAGTCCCATTAAAACAACTCTCCCTTCCGCTTCCCTAAAGAGGAAGCGGCCCGCAGGCTGGACCCAGGCTGGGAAGAAGTGGCTGGGAGTGGGTGGGGCTTTCTCCCCAAAGGAGAAGTCCTGGCCCTGGGTTGAACTCGGTGTGGAACCTGGCCTGCAGGCCAGGAAACGACGTCTCCTAAGAAAACGCAAATTCTTCTTCCTCAAAAAGCCACTGATCACCCTCTGGACCCCCCAACACACACTTCCGTGGAGTCCCCCAGCTAGAGGCCGTCCCCAGGCCTCCTGTTCGGCCTGTGAGTCTGAGAAGCCATGCAGGGCCCGCCGCCTGCCCCCTCCTCTCAGACTCCAGTGCCAGCCCCCCCGGCCCCGGCCCCCACCGGCGGGCCAGCCAGGCGCGGTCTGTCCCAAGAACCTCACTTCCCTCCTCGCTGCTGCTGCCACCGGGGCGCGGCCCAAGATTCACGCAGCTCCTTCCTCACCCCACGGCCACCTCCTGTCCCGTCAGCAAGGCCTCCCCAGGCCTCCCGGGCACACGACACCCTGCAGCTCTTGCCGCCCCCGGACCCCTTTCTGTATAGTTCTCAGTACACTGGCTGTGTTTAAATCGACACATTTGATAATCACTTTCTTCAACAAAAAATGTAAACTCTAGCACAGCGGGGACTTAGTTAAGGTCACCGCTATTCCCCTGGCAGCTGCCACGTGGTAGGCAGTCAAAAAATATTTGTTGAACGAATGAGTCAAAAAAAGAACCAAATATAAAATCTCTCACTTTACACAGGTACACATATACCCTGCAGTAAATCAACAAACTCTCTCTCTGATTTATAGATCATGCAGGGATTGATGTGTGTCTGTCCCCGAAATTTGATCAGTATTAGCTACCTGTCAAAATTAAGTCGCAGGCCTGTAACCCACAGGTCCAGACACAGGCGACTCCACCCAGACTCCCCCCGCGAGGACCACGGAGGCCCCAGCGGGATGGCCGGCCCGGGCCAGGCCCCCAGCCACCCGCTCCGGTCACCCAAGGGACTCACCTGCGCGATGATGGACAGAATGCCAAGAACTGCTATAAACGCGGCCACGCTTTCTGGTGAAAATTTCATTATCTGGAAGGTTTCCAGAAAAGCTTAGATTAATAAAAGAGCACAGCAAATACCATAAAAAACCACAACTCCTGTTTCTAAGCAAAGAATCCTCCAGCCCGTGGTCAGTCCTGCCCGTGAACGGAGCACCGAGGGGAAAAGAGGGACGACGGTGCCCTTTCGGTGGCTGCTGCCCTCACAGGCGCCAGGGCCACGGAGCCCGTCCCCGAGGGGCCGAGCGCCCATCAGCCGCGCGAGCAGCAGACACACCGAAGCACGCGGACAGGGACTCCAGCGCTTCCGACCCGAGGAGCGGCAGCCACAGCACACGGGGCAACGGCAGCCTCGCTCCGAAAGCTCCCTGCTGGGACGGCTCCCTCCAGGTTAGCGCTGTCACCGCGGCACCCGAGGAGGGCGGGAGGCGGCCCCGGCAGGGCAGGCTCACCTGTCGGAGGTACAGGAAGAAGCTGGAGTACTGGCCCGCCTCCGGCAGGTAGGACAGGAACACGGTGATGCAGATCAGCAGCACGATGGAGTCCTGGCCCACCTTCTTCAGGGACTGCGGCGAGAGAGGCCGCGTCAGGCCCCAGGCCGGCCCGGCTGCCGAGCACCCGGGGCCCCCCTTGGAAGTTTACTTCCCCCTTCCCAGACAATTCCCAAGAGCACCTCAAAGTCGCCAAAGCATTTCCCCCGAGAAAGGCCCACAGCAAAACACCCCGCTGACACGCCGCACCACGCGCTCCCTTTTCCCGCCACAGCAGGCGGCGGGGACGCACCGCGAAGGGGTCGGCCTGCTCCCAGGAGATGGGCGCCCCCCAGGACGCCGGCCGCATCTTCTCGGGCAGCGACTCGGGCACCGCGACGAGGATGAAGCAGATGTCCAGCAGGGCGATCGCCGTGGCCAGGACCACCACCAGGCTGTCCCCGTACACCCGGCCCAGGTACGCGCCGATGGCGGGGCTGATCACCAAGCTTGCGGCGAAGGTGGCCGAAACCTGGAACGAGTCAAGGTCAAAGGCGAGACTCAGGACGCTGCGACCCCATCGGGCTCCTACCTGTGCAGTGCCTCACACGCGCCTCTTCTGTGGGAAGGGAAAACAATCAGGTTCTTAACTAAACACTGCAGTAGCAGCCTCCAAGACAGAGGCTCCCAACTGTCTTAGAGCCGCTTGTTCAAGTAAATCCTCCTGACGAACTCACAGATGGAACCGATTAAAAAATGAAACAACAAACTGGCCAAGTGGAGGAAGGGCCGGGCCTGGGGCAGCCTATCTGCTGAGACTCACCTCTGCCGTGCCTCCGGCTCGCGGTGCGTCACTGGGCTGGGCTGCCTGTCTTACTGCCGGATTTGACAGCCGACAGACTGTGCGGCCTTTGCCCAGTTAGATGGCGAAAGCAGAGTGTCCAAGCTTGGCACCTGCCGCGTGCGGGCCTCCTCGAGCGACAGACGGCTCTCGCATGAAGACACGGACACACACGCAGGCCAAGCCAAAGACCGCGCGGGGCAGGCCGTGCGCACACCGCCACCGGAGGGCAGGGGCCTCTGAGCAGGACGTTGGCCCGCTGATCTCAGGTCGGCCATGAGACCCTGGTCGCTTCTAACTCATGACACACGCAATCGCTCTCAGTTTTAGTATTCTGTTAAAAGAGCTTCCGTAACGTAAATCTACTCTACTGTAATTTCAAATCTGACGTGTGTGACTAACCAATATTGACTGAATGGCTTTGTACTGAAAAACACTGCTTGATGTCGTCTGAAGAGGTGATTTTAATAGGGAAGGTTTTCCCTGTGAAACAGCAGCCGCCCTGCCAGGCCAGCGCTGGCGCCCCTCGAGGGTCGGCCGGAAACCGAGGGGCTCTGGGCGGGCGGGGGGCGGGGGGCACCAACCTGCCCGTAGGCCATGCTGCGCTCGTGCTCCTGGGTTATGTCTGCCACGTAGGCGAACACCACGGAGAAGGTCACAGCGAACACCCCGGACACGGAGATGACGGCGAAGTACCACCTGGGGCGGGGAGACAGCGGCCCGAGCGGGTCAGCACAGCCGCCCAGCCCCGCGCCGGGCACCGCGGTTCTGCTGCGAGTCCTCAGGCGCGGCCCCTGCGCGGGACACTCACAGCCACAGTGCGTGTGCAGGCCACCCTTGTACCAAACGGCTGGATTTTTAAGTGGCTTTGTGGTTTCTGCCTAAAACAGCAACAAAGCCTGCTGTGACGTCTCACGGCACCGGCACAGAAAGACAAAATTCAGTATATGAAACGGAGGGACACGTTACTCGCCAGTTACTCTGAGTGTGTTTAAAGAAAGTAGATGTTTTTCCACAAGTTGCCTTGAGCTTTTTATATGGTGGCAAAACAAGTAACTCAGTCTTCACATAGAAAAAACCTGTATCACACAGTTCACAAATAAAATTAGGAATAGTTAAAGAGTAGACAAAAGATATTTTAAAAAGCTCTATGATTCCAAAATATATGGCTGTGAACAGGAGTTGCTAGTGGAACGCTGATGTTTAGATTTTAAAATAACGTGATCAATTGAACTTTCAAAGTATCCCCCAGGACTTCACTGCTCACTGGATTTTTCGAACACACCGCTTTCCGCAGCGAGTTCGCGCCCATTCCCCAGGCCCACTGGGTGGCGCTCCGTCTGTCACCAGTGCTGACCAAGGGTTGGTGTGCAAAGCTGAGGAGGTCCTGCCCACAGAGACTTTGGCTTTTCTGGACACACCGTGGACGTACAGCCCTCCTATGATGTGGAATTAACTAGTGATAGGACTCAGTGAACAGAACATTAGCCAAAGAATGAAAGAAATTTACCACTAAAATGGGCTCTGCGACCTCGGGAAAACCACTCCCCGTGGGTGCTCCCTCCCCGCCCCCAGCGGACCTCCTGCCCTTGCCCGGGGGCAGGGGCCCAGTCTCGGGCGGCCGGCGCGGCAGCGCAGGACAGGCCTGAGGCTGGACGCCAGCAGAGGTCGCGCAGGACAGAAGGCGACGTGCCAGTCTTAGCCAGTCCTGCCTGAAGGGGGACACTGGAGCTGGCGCTCAGGCAGCTTCCTGGGCAGCAAAAGGCACAGTAAGGGGCAGCCGCGACGGTCGAGCGGAGAGGAAGAGGCCGGTCCCCCGGAGCGGCCGCGCCGGCTCTGCGCCCGTCAAGCCCAGGCCTCTCTGACGTGGTCAGAAAAAGCAGCTTCCTTGATTTTAAGCAACTATTATTTGGGACTTTACTGATATATAATAAAATCTATTCCTGATTAATACAGATAACGATGATAAACTTTGTGTTTTTAACAATCTACGTAACAACGATAAAAGTCGGCAGCCCCGTGCAGTCCCTAAAATGTCATTCTGACACCGGGGCTCTGAAACGCAGATGCGGGCTTGCCAGCCGCCCACCCGCATGCTTCCCGTCGCGGCCCCTAGGCCCGGAGCCTGCAGGAGCTACCGCCCGGCTCCTCTACCTTCAAGGGCCCTCTTGTCTGTGGCAGAGAATAAATTAAAGAATAAAACTAAAACCTCTAGAGGCAGGATGGCCAGAAAGTGAGCTACATGCGGAGCACTCAGAAAACAACGAACAAAGGCGCTGTGCTGCTCTGTGGCCTGGCCACGCACGTACCATGGGCTGATCTTCATCAGAGGGATGGGGGCACATGTGAAGAACACCGTTAGCAGCAAGAAGGATTTTCGGCCCCAAACATCAGAGAGAGCACCAATAAGCGGGGCACTGAGGAATGACAACAAACCCTAAAAAAAGGTAAATGAAAAGAGTTTATACTATGTCTATTGATGAGCCAAAGGTAAAATCATTTTACCAAGAGAAGAACTTTAAACAAGTTTACTTTTAACATAAGAATACTATTGAACTTCAGACAACCCACTTCTCGTCCCTGTGTGGCCTTGACATCTCCCAGCTCTATTACAATTATCCACAGGGGTGTGGCTGTGTGTTAAGTATGGAGGCTCCTATGGCTTCTCAATCCCAGGAACCCCATGTTAGCAGTTCTAGAGAGAGCATCCTGTTCACTCTGTTTTCAGATTCAGAGGCTATTTGTTGACAAAAGTTGTCAGTCAAATGAGGCTAAGAGTGAAGGCCATGCAGGACAGTGAAGACTTTACCGTGCTGATAAAGTTTTACGCTTTCTGTGCTTTTAAAATAGTTCTTTTCAATTTATATTTTTTTCAGGATAAAGCTTAATAGTAATTACAAAAATTTTATGCTAATAAAAAGCCAATATACAGTAGAAAATTTATAAGCTAGATCAGTATAAATAAGAAAGTAAAAATTATACATTATCTCAGTTTCCAGAGAAGCCAGAAATAGCATTTTTGTGTTTTTTAAAAATGTATCTTATTGATTACATTATTAGAATTGTCCCTACTTTTCCCCCTTTTCTCCCCTCCACCTCGTACCCCCATTCCCTTGAGCAATCAATCCCCTGCCTTAGCTCATGTCCATGGGTCGTCATATAGGTTCTTTGGCTTCCCCATTTCCTACACTGTTCTTAGCAGCCCCGTCTATTTTGTTCCTACCAATCTGTGCTTCTTAGTCCCTGCATTTTTTCCCCCAGTCTCCCCCTCCCCCCTCCCAGCTAACATCCCTCCAAATGATCTCCGTATCTATGATTCTGTTCCTGTTCTGCCTGTTTGCTTAGTTTGTTATTTGGATTTAGTTGTTGATAGTTGTGAATTTGTTGGCATTTTAAAGTTCATCGTTTTGATCTTCTTTTTCTTAGATAAGTCCCTTTAGCATTTCATATAATAATGGCTTGGTGATGAACTCCTTTAGCTTTCCCTTGTCTGGGAAGCACTTCATCTGCCCTTTGATTCTAAATGACAGCTTTGCTGGATAGAGTGATCTGGGTTGTAGGTCCCTGCTTTTCATCACTGTGAATACGTGCCAGTCCCTTCTTGCCTGCAAAGCCTGAGAATCAGCTGACAGTGTTATGGCAACTCCTTTGTAAGTAAATCTGCTTTTCTCTTGCTGCTTTTAAGATTCTCTCTTTACCTTTAACCTTTGGCATTTTAATTATGATGTGTCTTGGTGTGGGCCTCTTTGAGGCAGTCTTGTTTGCGACTCTCTGTGCTTCCTGGACTTGCAAGTCTATTTCCATCACCAAATTAGGGAAGTTTTCTTTCATTATTTTTTTCAAACAAGTTTTCAATTTCTTGCTCTTCCTCTTCTCTTCCGGCACCCCTATGGTTCAGATGTTGGTACATTTAAAGGTGTCCTAGAGGTTCCAAAGCCTGTCTTCGTTTTGTTTTTTGTTTCTTCCTGTTGTTCTGTTTGAATGCTTTTTCCTTGTGTTCCAAATCACTGATTTGATTCTCAGCATCATCCCCTCCACTGTTTATTCCCTGTAGATTTTTATTTATTTCACTTAGCGTAACCTTCATTTCTGCCTGCGTCTTTCTTACACTGTTGAAGTACCCAGTGAACTCCTGGAGCATCCTGATAACCAATGTTTTGAACTCCGCATCTGATAGGTTGCTTGTTTCTATTTCGTTTAGCTCTCTTTCTGCAGTTTTGTTTTGTTCTTTCATTTGGGCCATATTTCTTTGTGTCCTCGTTTTGGCTGCCTCCCTGTGTTTGTTTCTGCGTATTAGGTAGAGCTACTGTCTCCCTGTCTCAGCAGTGTGGCCTATTGTAGAAAAGCGCACCTGTTAGGTTGTTGGGCGGAACCTCAGGTAACTGCCAGGGCGGGGCAGCCCGAGCCACAGCGCTGTGGCTCCCCGCAGGGAGGGCTCGCAGAGGGGCAATGCCGCGGCCTGGCCTGTGGGGCTGTGCCTGGCGGGGAAGCTGTCGCCTGGCACTAGCACTTCTCCTCCCCACGGGCCACTGGGGCCCTTCCAGCTGCCGCCCTGGTGCTGAGTCCCAGAGCGGGGATCTGCGTGAGTCCTAAGTCTGTTGCAGGCCCTTTAAGAGGAGCCTCTTGAGAAGCTGCTTCTGCTGCCCCAACCCCCAGTGGTTTTTACAGCCCAGAGGGATGGGACTGACCTTCCTGGTGCCGGAATCCAGGGCTGGGTGGGCTGGGCTCCCTCGCTCCCAAGACCCCCGCCTGTTTTTTTATCCACCGCACGTGGGTTTGGGACCACGTGTCCCCTTCGCTGCGCCTCTCCACCTCTCCGGCCCCCCCGCCTGTCTAGATGAATGTGGCTCCTTTAAGTCCTCGGCTGTCGGACTTCCAATGTCAGCTTGATTTTCTGACAGTTCTGGGTGACATCTGTTTTGCAGTCTAGCTGTGTTTTTGCTCTAGTTGTGTGCGCAGGAGAGGCGTGTTTCCTTACGCCTCCACCTTGACCCTCTATTCTCATTGCTAGTTTACAAGAGCTTTCGGATCTCTGGGCTGAAAATGCCGCCACACAAAACACAAGGGAAATCTGCTATCATGTGATTTACCATGACGCACAGTTGGCTCTATGGAATCAAACTGCATTTAACACCCAGTTAGTTTAACAACTTAAGTAACCCCCAAGAGTTAACTAAATCTACGTAATGCCAGGATGTTAGGTGTGCGGGTGTGTGTGTACACGTGTGTGTGAACATGGATGTACAGCTGCACCTACCTTTACTCCTTGAATGAGGCCGTTCATCAGAAATGTATGTTTAGGGAACGTTTCATGTAAGACCTAAAGAATAAAAACAAAGTAAAAATATGCTACATTTTAGTCTCGGTACCACTTCTATATTTACATTTCTAAAACATGCCTTCCTAATACAATACAATCTCCTTTTATTCGGCACGCATTTTCAGGTGTGCACGGCACTGCGTGTGGGTGAACACCCACACCACCGCCCGCTGCCGGGGCACCTCCTGTGTCCCCAGGCGCGCGTCCGGGCACTTCACACCCGTCGTCTCCCTGAATTCCTCACCACGCGCCCCTGCGAGAAAGCGGATACACGCAGGGGCCAGATGTGCTGTCCAGGGTCACACAGTAAGTGGCAACACTGGGACGGAACCCAGGACGTCAGGGTCGCAAGCCCACGCTTGTTCGTCTCCACGCTGGCCGCGTCCCACGTGGGGCTGACTGCGGGGACCCTGACAGACGGGCTCGTGCCGCCATCTGAGACAGCGGACTGGGGAAAAATAGGGAGCTATTGGATTAGTTACCAAAAGGTAGATCTAAAAAGATTCCATAAAGTAAGGAGAGAAAACCCCAGCCTGTGCAAACGGCTCGCGAGTCAGCGCACGGTTCTCTCCAAGGCCGCGGTCCTATCACCGGGCACCGCTCGTTCCTTGGGGGGCGGGCGCACCGCCGGCGGCCGCCGGTTTAATAAGCAACTGGCGGCAAGGGGCCGGGCGGACCGGGGCAGCCGCCCGCCCCGCGGCTCTGCCAGTGTCCCCGCGGGAGCGCGACGGCACCGTGGCTCCGCCCCTGCCCGACCTAAAGGCGTCGGCCCCGTGGGGGCGGGCAAGGCGGGGCGGCTCCTCAGGAGGAAAAGCGGGCTCAGCCGCTTCCTGACGCCTCGCAGGGAAAACCTTGAACGGGCTAAGAACGCTCCCCGTCTGGTTGCTCCACTTCCGCCAATAACCAGGAACTTCCAACAACTAACTCGTACGGAAAAGTGAAGAAAATTAGAGAGGAAGTGTTAAGAACTTAAAAAAAAAAGTGTTGAGCGCGAAGGTAATAGTCCCGGAAACCCCGTCTGGGGACCGGCTGTGCAGGAAGGCGGGGAAGCCACTGCCACGCAGGGCGGCGCACGGCGAGGACCGCCGACCGCCGTCTGGGATCTCTGGGTCCAGAGGCCGGTCCGGAAAGGGAAGTCCCTTCCTTGCGTCCTAGGTCCTTTGACCCGCCTTTACCTAACGCGCCCCTGGATCAAACCCATCGTCGCTGACTGCGGACCCGCAGAGTCCTAGCCCCTCAAAGGCTCAGGCTTCAGGCCCTCACAGCGCTTTTCGCTGTGAAACCCGTCCCTGCCGCGCAACTGAAGTCCCCCGTGGGCAGGGGCCGGGCAGCCCCCGCGCGGCCGGGGCTCTGCGGCCTCGGGACAGAGACCGCCGCCGCCACACGGCGTGACACGCGGAAGTCAGCTCAGCCTCACGCTTGTTTTAGAAACTAAGGCTGTCGCGAGTCCCAAACCCAAGGCTCGTTATATGTCTTCAGATTGGTTGTTAAATGAATTAATTAAAAAAGTGTCCTCGCGCGTGAAATCCTGACTCTTCACACATTTTGAGTTGTCTACGGCGACCCTTTCCGCGGAGCGCTGCGCCGTGACGCTCCGGCGGGCTCCGTTTACCGGCGCCTCCGAGGCCCGCGCCCACGCCCCGCGCGCGGGTCCGCAGTAACGCTGCCATCAGGGCAGCAACCGCAGTCCGTCAGCGCGAAGCCTCCGAAGGGAGTCCTTCCTGAGGGACACACACCAGGAGGAGCGAACCGCCTCTGAAAATCCAGCGGCCCGAGCAGCGGCGCACCCTCCGAAGACCCGGACCTGAGCCAGACGGGCCTCCGCCGGGTGTTTTGAAAGACTCCCCAGGTATCGCGGACAGTCACCTCCAGTTAAAATTCTAGCTGCGGGACAGGCTCCAGCCCGGCGGCCCGGAGGCCCGGAGGCGGCGGCGGCGGCCCTGCGGTCTGAGGTTTACAGCGGAGGCACCTGGGTCTCTGACTCCGAAGAAAGCGCTACGTGTTACACGGAGAGAGGAACGCGCACGCGGATTCCTAACGTGTCCCTTGCACGCTCTTCCGCGGGGACGTTGCGGAGACCCCTGCCGTCCCCGTGCACACAGGCCAAAGGACCGGAGGGGACCCCAGCGCAGGGACAGCCTCCGCGCGGCCACTCACTCCTTGCCCCGCCCACTCCCACCCCAGCCCTTCCCCTCCCAAGAGGAAAAGGTGGACCAGGAACCGCGATTACTTAAAAATATGTAAGAGAACTCGGAGAAGAAAACTCTGGGTTTAATATTCATTAATATTAAACTTTCTGAAAGGATGCTTAAATTAAAAAATACGATCAAGTAAAAATGGAAAAAGGTAAATTATGACTACGATAATATTAAGGACAACTCTCCCAAGTAATCATAACTCATCATTTTGCCATTTTAAAATTCAAGTAGAAAGAACAAATGAGAATTAAGAGTTAACTGTTACAACAACTGGGAGGGGTTGGGGAGGACGTCCTGCTATACATTAAATAATTGGCAATAATGTTTTGGCCATTACTCAAAGAAATGGCGTCATGCTGGCAACAAAATAAAATAAAATTATTAACTCCCCCAAATTAGCACTTTTCATTTTCCTGACCAAAATTCAATTCAGTATTTAAATGTTTTTATCCTTACTGGAGAGTATGTTTATTAATTTTAGAGTGAGAGAGAAAGACACATCGGTCAGTCGCCTCTTGCATGTGCCCTGACCAGGAATCACACTCGTAACCTTTTTGACGCGACAAGCGACCAGCCAGTCACAGGGCTCAACTCGGTATGTTAAAAAGTTAAAAAAAATCAAAGGTACTACGCATTCTTTAATTAACAAAAGTAATTAAGAATATACTCCCCTATGTACAAAAAACTGAATAAACAAGACTTTATGTGTAAATAATTGGATTCTGTCTTTGTTCTTAAAGAAGGCAGTTTCCTTTTGTCCAGTTAGGGAAAAAAACTGATACTAAAGTTAGACAAAAATGTGACACACCTAAAGAATAGAAACCGAAAGCACATTTCAAAAACGGCCATCCATACTTCAAATCCTGACAACCACTCGTGGGAACGCTCCAGAAGCTCATCTGGCAGCTAAGCTGACAGCCAAGGTTTCAGTCTCCGCAGGGCCGCCTGCGACCATCACCCCACCCGGAGGCGCCCCGCCCTCACCCCCGGCTGCAGTCAGACACCCGCGGGGCCTCTTCCTGTCCTGCCCTCTGTCTGCAGGAGCCAGCAAGTCCCCTTCCTCCTGAACCTTCCTGTTCTTGGCTCCAGCAGGAGCCTAACACCCGCCTCCAAGACGGTTCTGAGGATTAGAGGTGATAATGTGTTAAAAGGCACAGGGCTGTGCGGGTCCCACAGGGACGTACAGACACGCAGACTGTTCTCTATGACAAAGCTCAAGGACTTCGAACCACAGGAGGACCCACTGCCAGATTCACCGGGACGTGCACTGGGGCGTGCAGCAAGCCAGCAGGAAGGTGCGGGACCCCAGCGGGGCGGCAGCTGGGAGCCCCCGACATCAGCTCCACCACACAATGAAGCTGCCAGCGTCACAATGGGCCCGCATCGACTGCTGGAGCTCCCAACCAGCAAAGCCGGGACAAGCGTGATCCTTGTTTAAAGATTCCCCTCAGAAATGATTAAAGAAAGGTCCATTTTAAAAGCCCACTTTCATTTACTCATTTATTCTGAAAATCCATTTACATAAAACTGATGACCCATTCCAGGTAAATGAGCTGTGGAAAGAATCCTGGTCAAAACACCCAGATCAGCGTTCTTACAAATGTATGTCAGAGAACTGTTATTATTGGGGATCTGGTCTGACCTGGGCGAGCGCAAGCCTTGTTTATTTGAGACGCTCCTTTCTTCTCCCTCTCGCTCCAGCCGCGCCCGCCCGGGCGTCCAAACCCCCGTGAGACACCGGCACGCTGCGCAGACGGAGTAATGATGATGTAGCCACACGGCACAGGTGCCAAGAAATCAGGAACATGACTTTCTCAGACAACTCCAGTCTGCTTTCATGATCATTCAATTTACTTACAGGCCTTTTTGAAAACCCTTTTTATTGTATAACAATGAACAAGCTCATGAAAACATAAGGAAGTGTGTTTCTTTGCAGTTCTGTTTTTTGGGGATTCTGTAACTGTATGTGTGACCTCATTGTACATTTCAAGATCAAGATTTCCACCGCCACCCCCTTCCTTCTCCCTACTCCCTCGTCTACACCTGACCACCGACAGGCAACATGGGCCAGCAGCGCACGGGCGTTCGGTCCCGCAGGGAGGCCTCCCCCAAGGCTCCAAACCCGGGAATATGTGGGTAAAAGCAGCTGAGGCCTCCGAAAAGACCGGGTTACCTCTAGATCCTTGGCTCAGAGGAAATGAAATTTGTATTTGGAAACTGCAAGTATGTGAATGAACTTCAAAATAATCCTGCTGAGTGACTCGGGCCACAGACACCCTCTCGCCTGAGCCTGTCACCGGACGCCCTGCCGCCTGGAGACCGCCAGCCGCCCCGTCCCCCCGGGAGTGAGGGCGAAGGAGTGAACGAGGCGCCTGAAGTGGAAGACACAGGGCGGGAGGGCCGACGGTGTGAGAGGGAGAATCAGCCACGGGAACGAGCAAGTTCCGTTGCTTAGTTCTCGGCCTCTTTACTGTGTGTCTTGCCCCCTGAAACAGGGGAAAAAGAGATTTTAAAGTAGTGATAAATAAGTTAAAAGATTACTTACCACCAACGTGGGTGCTGTCAATAATCCCCAGGCAAAAAACTCCAGAAAGATGACGATAACCGCATGATAAACACTAGGAGAGCCTATTCCTTGGGGCTGGAAAAACAGATTTTAAAAAGTTAACAGTGCATAAAATCAGAAATACAGGAATGAAAAGCTGGCGCTCTGCTTCTCTGGGCATATTTCATTTTGCTCAATTTCATTTTTTGCAGGTACTTTCAACAAAGTAACATATGCCTTGCTATCTAATCTTTCGTCATTTTATCAATTCACAAGTGAAAGTTGTACATTTCTCAATTTGTCTAGATGCAGTCCCACAATTGTATTCACAAAACAGTAAGAATCAAAAAAGGGCAAACTTAACGCGTAAGGAAAATTCTATTTTTGATAATACAAATATAACTCTTTGGCTTTTAGCCTCTATAAACAATCCGGTAATATGTAATAATAATCCAACAAGAAACTGGGATTACATTAAAACATTTCTGCACAACAAAAGAAACCATCAACACAATGCAAAAACCAGCTACGGAATGAAAAAAGATATTCACCAATGATATATATTCAACAAGGGGTTAATACCCAAAATATAAAAGGAATACAACTGAACACACACAACAAAACAATCTGATTAAAAAATGGGGAGCAGACCCCCAAACAGGCATTTCCCCAAAGAAGACACACAGACAGCCCACAGACATACGAAAAGATCTGAGAGGTGCAAGTTAAAGTCACAACGAGGTATCACCTAACACCAGTCAGAATGGCTGTCATCGAATCAACAGACAGCAAGTGCTGGCGAGGATGTGGGGAAAAGGGACCCCTCGTGCCCTGTGCATGGGCGTGCAGACTGGTATCACTACGGAAAACAGAATGGAGGGTCCTCAAAAATTAAAATCAGAACTACCATACGACCAACAATTCCATGTGTGGGTATCTATCCAAAACACTAACCTGAAAAAGACATATGTACCCCTATGGTCACTGCATCATTATTGACAATTGCCAAGATACGGAAGCAACCTAAGTGAAATAAGTCAGACAGGGGAAGACAAACACCATGTGAGTTTGCCTATTTGTGAAATCTAAAAAAAAAACAACGAAACAAACAGAAGCAAAGTCATAGATACAGAACAAAGAGATGGTTGCCAGATGGGAGGAGGGCTAGGGGGTTGGGTAAAAAGGTGAAGGGATTAAGAAATACAAATTGCCAGTAATAAAAATAGTCACAGGGATGAAAAGTACAGCATAAAGAGTATAGTCAATAATATTGTAACAACTATGGACGGTGTCAGATGGATACTAGACTTAGGATGGTGAGCACTTCGCACAGTATGGGAATGTCTAATTACTATAGTACCTGGAACTAATACAATACTGAAAATCGATTAAAAACTGTTAAGCAGTTAAAAAACAACCCCCCTCTGCCCAAACCTGTAAGCATTCTAAATGTCAGAATGCACCCTTTAATCTGTCTGTCCTTAATGGTCCACACTGAGTAAGAGATAGATCAAAATGTTACATACATTAAGATTTTAATTAAAATCTGTTATTTCTTCTGCATGTGGATACTTCAAAAAACAACTTCAAGATAATGTCCTTTCATCAGTGAACTGGTACAGAACAGAGAATTCAATATTTACTAAGTTTAACCTGTGCAATTATTCTGTAGTGAATTATCTTGTTTTCAAATTGAACAACTGTTCTTAAACTTCTGCAAGTACAGACCCTTTTGGGAATCTCCCTAGAAAACATAAGTCACCAGAAGCTGCACAGACAAGTTCAGGGTGAGCACCCAAAAACAGAACCCTGGTGCAGGGGCAACCGCGCACCTCCATATAATCGACCCCGGGCGCGTACCACTCAAACCGGCAACCCGGCGGTCAGTCCTGCCCAGGCCTCAGGGCCACGAAATAGAATCCAGGGAAAAGAAGTTTAATAACTAATGATTAACCCGGCTCATGTGGAAGGGTCACTTCTTTCAACTGTTAAAAACTCATTACAAGTTCTGATTTGAAATGTTAAAATTGGCTGATCAGGCTTACAGAGATGTCATTAGCAGAGGACAGAGCAAAATAATTTTATTAACACTGATGACACCAGCGGAAGAACTGCAGGGGCCAGGCCAGCGCCGCTGGCCAGGGAGGGAGCCGCCGGGCGGCGCCTGCCCGCGTGACCCTGCGCAGCAGGCACCTGATGCTGAATGAAGCTGCCCACCCGTGACACGCACACGCGCAGGGAGCAGCATCCGAACGTGACTTCCCTCCCTTCCTCAGAAAGTGTTCGTAATGGTGGTGCTCTACCCACTTTCTAAGTAGAGAGGCCTAAGGCAAATGCGATTTTAAACTCATGTCTATGACTTTACAATAAAGTTTTCCTTTTGAAGTTATGCTTTTTGTTACTTAACACTGGAGTGGATTAAAATACCAACCCTGCCAAAAGTTACCGTGACACACAGAATCTAAACCTCCCATTATATGTAGGAGTAAATAAAACTACGCTGAAGGTCATCCAGGAACGTGTTGGTGCACACATGTTTTATTGCTTTTGTTTTTACCGCTTTAAATTCACACACTAGGCCCTGCAGGATTCAAAGGGTAACTGAAGCCCCTATTCTAAAGGGGTGTCCAGGGCTCTTGGGGTGGCAGTGGGATGGAGGTGGACAGAGATGACAGATGGTAAGGTCCCCATGCCCACGGCCCTCCGGGAAGTCTTCATGTTTCCTCTGTTCCCTCTTAAAAACACGGCTGGTATAAAGCTGTATTTTGAGTCCAAAAGCAAGCTATGAATTCACCATAACTTTGATAAGTAACAACATAAAAAATAACCTCAAATCTCACAGGATTTGCAATGAAAGCGTCTGCGAAGTGAATCAAAACTCCAGAGAGGACACAACACGGAAATTGACAAGGAACTTGATCAAGCGTTCCTTGATCACAGCTTCATTCTTACCTTGTACAAAGAAGACTGATCCTAAATATCACTTGCTTTTATAAAACACAATTCTGCATTGCTTCTATTTGTAGATTTTATTAAAAATTTAAAGTACCGAGTCCCTGTGGCTGACAAAGGCACGCAGTATCCTTTCAAGCTATTTCTCTTTCCACATGGCAGCTTTGCCACCTTGCTCAAAGAATATCCACACCTGATTTAGTCAGAGTGATGCTTTAATTCATCAAGTACAACCAAAAGATCTTAGGACTTGGACGGCAAAGTTTCTTTTTTCACCAAATGTTAAATCTATGACATCTAAGAAACTTGACAGTTAACTAAAAGTATAATCTGAAATTGTTCCGTTACGTCCCAAGCTCTCTAAATTTTAGCATATTGACTGGGCCATATTCTGAAATGTCAAAAAAGAGTTATTTATTTCAAATGAACACAGGAGTTCTTCCGTGGGGGCCGACTCACATTTAGCACTGTGCTGGCAGCTGGTCAGGGCTCCAACAAAATATAAACAAACAGAGGGTTAAAAGCTTCATTTCTGCTCACTTCCCAGGAAAGGAAGCCTCTTATTTCACCTTTCCGTTCTATTTCGGAACAGGACAGCAAAGAATGCAAGCAAGGCCGGAAAATGTAGCAATGGAGAAATTACAGCATCAAAATGTCTAGCGAGCTATTTTCAATTAAAAATCCTACGTCCCCTGCTGGTTAACTACAGCGCACAGTTTCAAGTTTACTGTGATGACAACTCTTTCTAAAAAGCAAAACTTTTTCTTGCCCTCCATCTGTCTTCCTTTCCAAGCGTCTTCTTCCGATCCTCAGGGCATGACCAATCCCACCGAGCATTTTTTTACGTTAAAACACAAGACGTGATTGTAAAACGACAGGGTGACGGCTGTTTCAGTCTAGGCCCGGTGTCCTCCGCCACGGTCCCGACGCGCGGACGCGAGGGGAGAGCCCACCTCCGCAGGCGTTCGCGAGTCTGGGGCAGCCAGGTACGGGGGCTGCCCCCGAACCGCCGGAAGCCGGGAGCGGGCGCCTTACGGACCCAGCGCAGTGGCCGCGCCCGGTGCCCCGGGGAACAGCAGCGTATGGACAGACGGGCAGGAGCTGCCCCCGGCCTCCCTACTGCGCGGCGACGGCTCGATGGGCCAGCAGCCACCGCACCCCGGCGGAGACGCACATGGGCCTGAGCCCGGGCCCCGGGGGCCGCCGGAGGCCAGGGCGGCAGGTGCGAGCGAGGCCGGCGGCTCCTGCAAGAGCACGGGCCCCGGAGGCCGCAGGCCGAGCCGGAGAGGAGAGCCCAAGGAGCCGAGGCCCGGGGGCCCGAGACGGCAGCCCCGCGGACGGGTGGGGCGGCGAGCCCTGACGGCGGCGGCGCGGGGGCAGAGGGGGGTCGGGTGGGGCCCCGGGGATGCTCCCGGCGCGGCGCCCTGCTCACCGTGCCTCCGTCCTTAATGATGATCTTCTTGGCCAGCATGATACTGCGGTTCGCGGCCCGTTTCTTCTTCTTCCCCTGGGTCATTTTACCATCCTCGAGTCCTGGCGCTGCTGCAGCCACTCCCGGGGCGGCCGGCCCCAGAGGCGAGTGCCGTCCCGCCACTACTGCCGGGCCGAGCCGCTCGGGATGCCCGCCGCCATCTTCAGGGCCCGGCCTGCCTCGGGCGGCGCGTCACATCGTGCGATCGGCGACGAGCAGCCCGGCCACGCCCCGCGACACCGCCCCGCTCCCCACGTGACGCTGGTGGCCCCGCCCCTCGGTCGCGGCGCGCGAGGGGAGCCGGCGGGGTCGCGGGGGTTGCTAGTCGTGGGGGTCGGTGCCCTGTGCCCTCCGATCACCCGCTCGCTCGGTCCTCGATCGGCCAGGGGCGGTAGGGGAGCATTAGTCCCCTTCGCAGGGGGAGAACTGTGAGTTTCTGGAAGCCACCTGCTGACAAATGGTGGCACCGGAATGGTAGCGCGCTCTCCTCCTGTGTCCTAAGCCCGGGGACCCGGAGGGAGCCGCCGGGATCGTGAAGATAAGCCCGCTTTTCAGAAACAGCCTCCGGTGCCCCGGTCGCAGGGCTGCCAGAGCCCATCCGGAGCACGCCCTTCCCGCGGCCCGGAGCCACCGGACCTTCCCTTTCCCCGGCCACTGGAAATGAACACGACCCGGCGCACTTCGTAGCCCACTTCCTGCTTTGCCATATTGTTTAAAAATCAGTCTAAGCGGGGCGGGTGCTTTCTTAGAAAGGACACGTGCTGATTAAGGTATGATGAAATTCAGTTTTGATTTTGATAACTGAGCTGCGTTACGCAAGAGTTTCCTTTTCCCCAAATGTACACTTAAGTCTTAAGCAGCGAAGGGAGGTGCCGGCTAACCTTCAAATGGCTGGGCAGTAACGTGTGCGTGTATATATATGTGAGGAGGGGGGGACAGAGCGAGTATCAGGCGGAATGTCAAGATGCTAAAAAAGTAGTGAATTGCGGTCTGGCGGTTTTAAGACATTTTCATGCTTTGGAGGATATTACTCTTTGGCGGAGGCGGAGCGTAATTCCCCTCTTGAATGTGGCCCGCGCCTAGTGGCTCTTCTCTGTAATGGAATAAAGCAGACGCGGCGGCAGGGTCTTGCGAGGCTAGGTCATAAAAGGCACAGACCCTCTCCCGGCTGGCGCTTTCCCGCCCGCTCTGGGCTCAAGTCCGGGGGAAGCCCGCTGCCGGGTCAGGGCGACCTCGCGGCAGCCTGCGGAGGTCTCGGTGTCCAGGAGCTGAGGCCTCCTACCGACAGGTCCGTGCGTCCCCTGGGAGCCTGGCCAGGCCGTTAGCTAACTGCCACCCCTGCCGACATCCCCTCTGCAGCCTCGGGAGACGCCGAGCTAGGACCACGCCTCCTCCCGCCCCCGCCCCGGCCCCACAGCGGAGCCACTCCGGGTTTCCTGACTCTCAGAAACTAAGATAAAAAAGTACTTGTTTTAAGCCACTGAGCTTTGGGGTCGTTTTTTATACAGCTATAAATAACATACAGGTTAAAGGGCATGTGTGTGCTTTGTATTGTCCTTGCAACTTTTCTGTAAATTGGAAAGTATTTCAAAATAGTGTTAAAAAATACATTTGGTTGAGTTTTCTGTTCCATTTCTGTAACTGAATGGAAACAGAAACACACCAACTTCCATGGAAAGAAGGCAGGCATTTTAGCCCGATCTACTGCAAGTTACATATTCCCATCAAGAGGTAAACTCATCATCTGTTAAAAAATACTCTTGCTGAAACATTTTAGTTGAGGTCCACCCTGAGGCTGGTCAGAGAAAGTGATAGGAGACCGACCGCATAACTGGGTCCCCAGAGTCCGGTACTGGGTGCGGGCAGAGAGCTGCTCAGATCGCCTGTGGGGCGGTCCCCTTGGCAGGCTCAACCCCCTACCTCACCCAGCTGCGCCGATTTACCCTCAACAACCGAGTGCTGTCCAGTCGTTCAAAAGCCCTTGTTTTACTAGACACGGGATGTGTCTAGTGAATGAAGCGAGATTATCTGAATAGAGCTTGCGTTATACTAGAGAACACAATTGCAGAGCAAATACAAAAGGAAGATAATTGCAGATTGTGTAATAAGAGAAGTTGGAAATGACATAATAAGGGAAGTTTAACACATACTGAATGCCCAGAATGTCCCGGACGCTGCGCTAGAAGAGGTGCAACGGAAAGAAAGAGGAGTCTTGTTCTAACAGACGTATCATATACATACTTGTGGCTTTCCATGTGATTTGGGGTTTTGAAGATTCATGAACTTTATAGTAAGAGGCTGTGTGTCAGGGTTCGTGGGTTACAGTCAAGAGCAGCTAGTGGGGGCTAACAAGCAAAGGGGAATCATTTGGAAGGACACTGGGAGTTTCCAAAATTAGTGAGAAGGCCTAGAATCAGGCTTGAAAAGGCACAAGAATGAGGTTGGAAAGTTCTTGAGACGACTTCCTGTGGCCCCTTGGAGGGGTGGGGGTCCCTTGGAGAGAAGGCAGGTGGCTGAAACTACATGTTCCCGGAGAAACAAGATTGTTCCACAGAATTTGGACCCCCCCAACTGCACCATTTAGGAAAGAAACTGCAGTTCTTACTGATCCAAGAAAATCCTAACACATTCTGTCAGGAACACAAAAAGCCACCAGAAACCTATACAAGGTTGTAATAGAAACAAAACAGAAAAGGAAGACCTTTCAATTAACAGAAAATAACAGCCTCTAACACAGCGACTTTTCACCGTTCCATCTCATGGCACACCAGTTACTGAGGTTCTGTGGCTTGCCAATTTGACAAAAAAAAAAAAAAAAAAGGTGTAATTTTAATTCATTCACCCCAGATGGCTATTGTTGTGTTGCCTGTTGCAATTGTCTTTACAATTGCCTTGACCCCTAAGGGAAAAGAGGTCAGTGCCCCTGACTGCGTTTGTCAGGCATTGCGCGTTTTACAAATTCTCCTGGCACCTCAGCATCTGCGTGAAGTCAGCTGCTCTAGAAAACAGGGAGCAGAGGAAAACTACACCCAACGCTCCAATGTAAATTAAACAGTTTTGAATAAGCAATGGTGGACAGAGAAGGACGCAGCAAAAAAGAAACAAAAAGTAAAGAAAAAGTACAACTCCATAAGAGTACCTGAAATGAGAATTGATCAAACTCAGGCGACGTACTCAACAATAAAATCATCTCAAAAATGAAAACCGAAGGGGGATGGGGCGCCAGGAGAGGGTGAAGGGGGGGACACAGGCCGATGGGGGGCAATGGCTGGGGTGGCGAGCACACAATACTATACGCAGATGATGCGCTACAGAATTGTACCCCGGAAGCATATAATTTTATTAACCGATGCCACCCCGATAAATTCAATAAAAAATAAATAAATTCATTAAAAAGAAAGAGAACCAAATTACAGGGTTCCTAAGAGAGAAGTATTACAAATGAAAGTAAAGAAACGCGGTGGCGAGGAATAAATCAGCTATAAGAACGAGAGAGAAAACAAGGTCCGAGAGAAAATGATACGGAGAAAATGATCTGGGCCTCCAGGCAAAAACCAAGAAACAAACACACACACAGACTGAACATCTCCAAAGCGGTGAAAAGGCCGTGGTGCGGACTTCCTGACAGGACACCAACCCACACAGCAGGGAGCGACATTTCCAGAAAACTCAAGGGGCGTGGGGGCTGGGGATTTTATACCCAGTCAAGCTGTGTGTAGAGTATCAAGGCTCTCGAAGTTTTATTATTTTTTTAACTGATTTTTAGAGAGAGAGAGGGTAAGGCTGCAGGGAGAGACATCAGTTTATTGTTCCACTTAGATGCGCAGTCATTGGTGGTTTCTTGTATGTGCCCTGACCGGGGATTGAACCTGTAACCTGGGTGTATGGACGATGCTCTAACCAACTGAGCTACCCGGCCAGGCCTCCAGAAGTATGTGAACCACGCAGGAACTTGGGGAATATTGTACCTACAACCCCTCCTTGAGGACTTTACTAGACCAAGTTCATCCAGCCAACAGTTGATTGGGGAAACTTCAGCTAAAGTACCAGTGGAAAGTATTAAATTTAAAATATTTTTTATTTATAACAAAGACAAGGCTAAGGTGAGAAAATAGTCTGTAAATGTTATATGTTCTAATCAATCAGAAATGTAGCAACTAAAAAAAAAACAAGAAGATGGGTGAAAGGGAGTGAGTCCACTGGTTTTCAAGAAGGCGGTTAGTTGGGGGCAGAGACTGTCATTTAAAGATGGCAAACGAAACAGCAGAAGCCGGGACAAGCAAACAGGGCCAAGCACACTGCCTAAAAGAGTGCAGCGGTGCCGCTGCTGGAGCATACAAGTCTTCCCCAGCAGAAAATGAAAAAGCAAAGCATACCCTCCACACAGCAAAAGAAACACAGTCATAGAGTCATACACACATCGGTGTATTTTTCAAAAAGAAGCCAAGATAAGCCAGAAACTAAAGAGAGTAACTGGAGGCGGTGGTACAGAAAGGAGATACGCGCAGGGCAGCTGCACTCCTCGGACTGTACATTTTACGTAATTTTAACTTAGAACCGCGTAAAGGCTTCATGTATTCAAAAAGAGGACAAATGTGTTTCATTCTAAAATTGAACACAAACAAGACCAATGAATCCTATCACAGTGATCGCGTGACCGCGTAGAGAAGAGGGGTGTCCGTTCTTGAACACGGCTCTTGGGCACTTCTGGAGCCGCCGAGCGCTCATCTTCCTGGCGGGCTGTTCTGAGGGCAAAGAGAACTGTGGTCTTAAATTTTGTTCAGCTTGTTTACCATGAGCAACACTGGCATTCTGACACATACACAGTAAAACCTGTGGGCAAATATATGAATGCCATTAGGGACCAATTTTTTTACTGTAAGGGAAAATAGAGGCAAATATTTAAAAAAATACAACCTTGAAATGCTAAATTTTAATTGTAAATATCTACTTGAATTCATGTCATGATCTTTTAAAAAACTCATTCCCAAGCTTTGTGAACTGAACTGATGTAGCAGCAAATAGAGTCCAAATTCTATTCCTTGTAAAAGGAACAAGGATCCGTGGAGAAGTTGCTGACGTTCCAGGTTTCAGACAGGTCAAAGGTGAGCCTGGGACATCTAGTGCCTGAAGCAAGGAGGAGCTCGGGCTAACGTGGTCCTGTCTGAGGCACAAAGGAGGCGGGCAGCTTACCAAGATCTCCACTGGCTCCTGGCTGACATTCTGAACGTGGAAAACCGCGCTGGCTGAGAGTGACTGGAATATACTAAGTGGAAGACATGAAGATAGCTGAAAAAAGGAGTATTGGGGGAAAAAGTCTTTTTAAAATGTTATTATATTTTACTGATTCAAGAAAGATTTTGTTGGTCCACTTATTTATGCATTCACTGGGTGCTCCTTGTACGTGTCCTGACCAGGGATGGAACCTGCAACCTTGGCATAGTGGGACAGGGCTCTAACCAACTGAGCTACCTGGCCAGGGCAACAATATTCTTTTTAAAATATATATATAAGAATATAAACTAATAAATGTAGAAGAAAATTCAAGAATTAAAATTCTTTTAATCACCGCTTTGCACCTCACTGTAATAAATGAATCGGGTGAGACCCATTAATTGATGCTAAAGCCGTTGAATGAAGGGCTGGCAGGGAACGGAATGTTCCCCTGGGCCAGCGCATTGCTCTAGAGGTGGTTACACACTAAGGGGAAAAACGACCCTCACGTCTTTTGAGACAACTGGAAATACCTGAATGTGAACCGAGATGATACAACGGAGTGATTGTAAGTTTTCTTAAGTGTGTAATGGTATTGCGTTTAATTAGGAAAATGTACTTATTTTTAGACTATGCTGAAGTGTTCAGGAGAAAAGTGTTCTGACACAGCTGCTCGGCAAACGGAGGCGGATGGCGCGAGCCCCGCCACCCCGAACTTGCTGTGAGCAAGACCCTCTCTTCTGGGGCAGGGTTTCCGATCTTTGGGACTTGAAGGAAATTATTTCTGCTTTGCTGTTTTCTGGAGTCCAGCAGGTCTAACAGTCCTGCAGTTGAAGGACTTCTCTATGAGTCCCCTCTCTCTCTTTTTTTAAAGGTTTTATTTATTTTTAGAGAGAGGGGAAGGGAGGGAGAAAAAGTGGGAGAGAAACACAGATGTGAGAAATACTGATTGGCAGCCTCTCGCACCCCCTGACTGGGGACCTGCCCACAACCCACGCATGTGCCCTGACCGGGAACCAAACGGGTGGCCTTTCGGTTCGCAGGCTGGCGGTCAATCCCCTGAGCCACACCAGCCGGGGCTGTGATTACTCTTGCTGGTCACCACCGACTGTGAAGGGCAGCAGCAGGTGTAAGGCTTAGGTTATAAGGTGTGTTTGCATAGCCCGCGGGTTCAAGGATTGTGGTGGACGGTGCTTTCAACAAAAGAAACATTCCCGTACCAAAAAAAGAAAATGAGAGAAGTGCTTTTCATGAGAAGGTACCGAAGAAAAGTATACATTTTAAAAGTGCTGATACTCTTTTAGCGATCTGAAAACAAAGCATGTAGTCCAAGGTTACTTCAGTAAGATAGGTGCAAATAAAATCTTTTATATTGCTTATCATTTGCTCTCGATGCATTGACTTGCTAGTCACAAAAGAAGCAAATACATTCAAATTATGCACAAAGTATATACCAATTACTAATTACCTAACCTTGAGGCTAGCAAAGAGATAATTCATTTGAAAGGAAAAATCCAGGCTACCATCATACAGGGAGAGGACTCCTAACCGGTTCAAAAGAAACCCAGCCCTTCATGCTGGAGCACAAGCTAGAGAAAGACCGCCGCAGTGCGGTCGCCGGGGAGGGACAGGGGCCCAGCGCCACTGCTGGCCCAGGGAGCGAGACCGGCGCGCCGCACGGGCGAGCCGGAAGCGCAGAGATGCGGGGAGAAAGTTACACGGTTAGTTACGAAAATAACTGTTTCCATACATCTACTAAGTAGACAGCTGGATACCAAAAAATGACGACGAAACTTATCCATTAAAAAAAATCCATTTAACAAAAGACCAGTTTATATATTTCTTTGAATGATGTCATAAAAAATTTAAATATACAAATTACATTCCCAAGCCCAAAAGAATCTTCCTACACAAATAAAATACACAGACATACAAATTCAGAACCCATAAAAATATCTGTTTAAATCACAGTAAATTATATCTCATAACAAGCGGTAACACAAAACAGGGCCGCTACGCACAGGGGACGCCCCGGGCGCCCACGAGCGCCACCTGCCGACGCCGTGTGCAGGGTGGGCCTCTGCTAACCTTGTCGGGTAGTGGACTTACAGGGCCAATGTTGAGACGACCAAACGCTGAGTTACAGTTATTCTCACAACGTCCTCGTTTTGCCCATGCGTCCAAAGCTGTGAATTACAGTAATATTCTCCAGAAAAAAAGTCAGGTATTTTGGTATAGCAAGGCACATAGGACCAGATTTTGATAAAGGTGCTTTTTCTTTGATCCTATAATTACTTTAAATATGCTACATATCCTAGAGATTCTTAAAATGTATTTCAATATAGCATAAATAAATTTTATAAACGTTTTCTTATGCAAAGCATGCATCCACATGTCATTAAATATTATAACAATAAAATTGTAAATAAAATGAGTAACGCTACACCCTGTTTTTTAAAAAAAGACTCAGTTGAATGACTATGCAATGGCATTTTAAAAGTCCACTAACATGATATGCAGGAAAGGTGTATCAATCCTTAATAAGAACAGTCAGCGTCACCCCACATCTACCGAGTACCAAGCTGGTTTCCTTTCAGATGCTGTCTCTTAGAACCCAGTTGAAATATCAAACTACTCTTCCTTCATGAAATTGTGACATTCACCACGCACTGACGTAAACATTTAAATTTCGCATCTCTGAGCTCCATTTCCCACCATAAGCGTGGCCCACAGTGTGGCCAGGGCAACTCGCTTGTTGGCAGACTGCGCTCTGTCCCCACTGTGGCGTCTGCAGCCTTTCAGACTGTTACTCCCAAACTCCACGTTCTTCAGTTTTAACAGATCTATCAGCGGGCGCTTTTCTCCCATGAATTAGCGTATTTTTATAGTGAAAAAAGTAGCTGAGAGATAATAAGTGAACTTTAAAAAGTGTAAGAATTTACATAATCGAGGAGCTGTCACTATAAAAGGTTGACACAAGAAGGCTCTTGGAGGTGATGACAACCCCGTCCCCCGCCCCCACCACAAGAACTGTACCATCTGTGTACAAATGTGACCTGGCCCAGAATACAGGTTCCCCCAAATATGACTATTTCTCTATGAATTAAAAAGTAGGAGCTATACCACCCAATCTCTAATAATGTTTTCAACCTGACTAGAAAAGAAAAATACAATTAAAAATTGCTTTGAAATACTTGTATACTTTAGGCTATTTTCTCTTTTTTTCACAACTCTTGATTATAATTTTATAAATTGTGTTGGGAATCTTGAAAAGTGTGTTATTTTGGACAGCTGAAAATATGTTATCACTGCAACTAACATACTGGATATCCGGTCACGCTCCTGGGTTATTTTTTGAAGTGTTAAAATAAGGTCAGGCTAAACTTGAATTCACAATTCATTGTGAGCAGCTCCTGAATTAATACATGATTAAACTGCCCCGGCAGGACTCCCTGCGGACGCACACGCACCTCTGCGTTGAGCCCCGTGTTCCCCGCCTCTGCGGGGTTTGGGTTCCGCACGGCTTAGGCCAGGTAGGAGCCTGCAAGCCATCCCGTCCGAAAGCACTGCGCTCCAAGCGTGGGAGTTACTAAACAAATAGTTGAGAAGATGCTTTTACCTGGCCACCAAAGATCAGTCAGTGAGGCTTCCAGAAAGTCTGCCTGGTGCCCAACTGGAATCACCAGCAAAATGATTTCAAATATTTTGTCATTTTAAACCCATTTAAACTCTGGGTGAAACGGATTAGCCCCACGGCCTATGGAGACCAGGGCTGTACCCATAAAGCAACAGCTGCCCAGAGCGGCACAGGGCACCCGAGGCTCTGTAAATGGAGTTTCTGAGCCAAATTCTGCCCAACAGAGTCCCCAAGATATAAAAATATTTATTTCTTACCATTTTTATACTATTAGAACAGGAAGCTTCTTAAAAAATATATAAAGTATGAATGAAAAAATAAAGTAAAATACTTCTACTCAATGGGTGATTCTGTCTGGCCAATAATTAAACCCACATTCCAGTTTTAGAAAGTATTTTTGCCCACCAATTCATCTTATTCCTTTTGCTATATTATCTCTCCCTTGTACCAATGTATTAAATAACTAATGGAATCTGCAACTCCAACTCCAGTGCTAATCGAAGTGGAAAAGAAACCGCCATTTTAAAGCCGTGCTGGGTGGCGGCTCCGCCCAGCAGCACAGAAGGGGGGCTCCACTCTGGGACCGGAACAGCCTGGGGACAGGGGCTTCGCAGAGGCCCCGAAGCTCTGCTGAGCGGCCTGGGGCGTGGGTGAGAGGGCCACCAAGAAGAGCGTAGCAGCGCGACAACCTGGGATGTCTCCAAGACAAGTCGCTCGGGTCTCAATCCCGTGACGTCAGTCCTACTGTTTTTTGGTGGTGGTTTCTGTCAACAGCTGTAGATTTTACAGATCAGTGGGTAAAATGCTCATTAAAACCATTCTAATTGTGTACAGTACGTGCCTTGATAGTTCAAAACTCTCCAAATGGAGATATTAGATAATAATTATTTTATTTTAAGTTATTAAATGAGTATTTAATCCCTTTAAAATTACATATTAGGACCTTAATGAACATACACTGCAATTTAATTTAAAGCACTATTAGAGGCTTATCAGGGTCACAGAAAAGAAATGCAGCGGGATGAGAGCACGGCCCCGCCAGCGCGCACGGCTCTGGCCCCCGCGGCAGCGGCTGCGCGGCCGGGGAGGCCTAGAGCAGGGGGTGCGGCGACAGGCGGGTGCATCCCTCTCCGTGAACTTTAAACAGGACTAGGAGTTTTGTTCTCTGACAAATCAGACCCAGAAGGTCACTTCATCAATTTGTGTAGTGGAACAAACAGCATCTAGCACACTCTTGTTTACCAATTTTTGTATAAATATAGAAATCTCGGGAACATGTAAATGTGTTTCAGGTGATACTTCTATTTCTTCACAGCTTTACAGGAAATTATAATATCAAAACTCTGAATATCCCATGTAATTTGCTGTAACTGTGCAGGCAGAGTAAGACAAAATCGCTGGCTAAAATGAAATCGGTCTGGCCGCAGAAGCTGACCTGACAGCTGTCACGCGTGTGCGTCTGTGCTCTTGCGAGGAGAGCACAGGACATGTCTGCAGCGATCGAAATGGCCCAATCTTTCTCACCTCAGATTTCAAGTCTCCTCCAATAATTCTAATCCCTGGAAACACTTTCAAGTTTTGATTCCTAGATGTGGTAGGAATTTTGTGACAGACACACATATTTCACCCTTCAACACTTGTATTTCCAAACCATTTAGACACTGTGGTCAGATTCAGCGCGATGCCTTCGGGGTCGAGGAGCCCGCTGAGCCGGAGGACGCGGAGGCGCGCGCCGTGGGAGAAGCAGTCAGGGCGGCCACGGCTACGCTCTCGTGGGGTTTCCTGCGGGCTTGGGGTCGTAGCCGTAGAGGAAAGTGGCTGTTATCACGAGGAGAGCTCCAAGGAAAAAGACACTAAATGGACAAAGAAAACGTGAAAAAGACAAAATCAGATTAAAAGCAAAACTCATTCCTTCTGTTTCTTCGCTATAAAAACAAGCATAATTTGGGGGAAAATGTCCCAGGAATATGACTGCCAATACGGTGTGCTTGCTACGTGCCAGTATTCAGCTGAGTGTTTACACAAGTTCTCGGCACAGCCCCAGGAGAAGGCGGCCGCGCTGTGCCCCTTTTTGAACAGAAGAGGACATGGAGGAGGTGTAGGGAGTTTGCGTAACACGCTTCCAGCCCCACAAGTCTCAGTGGAAGAGGGAGTCCAACCCAGGCACGTGTGACTCCAGCTCCACGCTCACCTGTCTGCTCTACTATCAGAGCAAAGACAGCTGACATGCGTGCTATCTTAAGACGCCTTCGGCCTGCGATACACTGAATAGATCTCAATTTTTTTTAAGTATTTGAAAATATAAAGGGATATCTGCATTCTTTTCAAACCAAAGTAAATTTCGGTTTAAAATCCAAGGGAGTAATAAGCAAAACTCAGGACTAATATTTGAGGATGCTTTAAAAACAAAAAAGATTTCATGCAAGGAAACTTGGTTTCTTCTCCTTTTATCCATAAATATAATACAATAAACTGGAAATGAACTTAACTGGTATTATAACTTAAACTTGACATAAACTAGAATACCAATCTTAACTTTTGGCATGTATATTCCTAAAAAAAAAAAATTAAGCCTTCAAAAAAATTTTAAATGTCATTACACGGCTTATTTTATGGCTTTATAGGACTTACTGACTTTTTAATATGACTTTTTACTTTTCGGGGAAACGGGCCATTCAGACCCACTGGGAAAATTCTGGCCAGCCAGGTTTGTGTACGAAATTTCCCAGTGGGAGACTGTTTTCATGCACTTAATTTGAAACCTTTTAAAAAAGACAGTTAAGTGTGTATCATTTACTAACTACATTCCCATGATTTTTCAAAAGTTGTAGTAGAACAAGTTTTTTCAGACCAAATCTTAAGAAAAATACTTATTTTTCTATATCTTTTTGGAGATTTAAAGAAATAGAAAAGAAGATATTACCTGGTTGGCACAAAATCTTGTAGCCAAAAATAAGATATCAGTGTTGATAATATTATGGATAAAGAGGTTGCGAATCCTTTTAGAATATTATCTGCATACTTGATAACAGCAGCTATTACAAGACCTCCAAGTGCCTGCAGAAGTTTTTAAAGATTATTTTTAAAAACAAACATATATAAAACTGCTTTTCAAACCAGCGTCATTAATAATGAAGCTTTATGCTTCTGTCCTATAAATTTAACCCCACTACAGTAAGTGATTCTCATTAAACAGCTCATACAACCAGCAGCCTCCTAGGTTTTGCTCAGCAGCCCTCTTATTTCAAAAAGCATCTGAGAGAGTAATGACCTGCGGAAACTGCAGTTTGTTAGAACAGAGTTTGATCATATTACAAATAAAATATCTAGTCTCATCCAATTTAGTATTAACGTCACTGTTCAGACAAATGTGGAAAGATCATTTACCAACTAGCGAAATGTTTTTCCTTTTAAGTAAAAATGAAGTATAACCTGAAAGTTACTTCGCTGGCCTTTCAATAGCTCCAAGTCCATGTTCTTCCTCCAGTTTCTCCCTGTTCTAACCCCGCTTTCACTGTCAGCAGTTGCTTTCCCTACAGCATGGTTTTGTTTGTTCTCTTTAGGGGCACAGACAGAACTGTCTCCCAAACCCCTCTCCAATTCCAACGGCGGCTGCTTGCAGGATGAGACGGGACAGCACGTCGCAGTTTTGTTTCCTGCCGGTCCCCACTCTCCGCTCCCACGCCCGGGCGCGCCACCCCAACGACTCCCCGCTGTCTATAGAAAGCCACAGCTTAAGCCAGCGGGCCTCGCCGCCCGCAGTTCCAACAGGTCTCCGCAGGACTCTCCTCCACCTGTTGGCTTCCTCCCTGGGCGGTCCCTCCGACCTACTGCACCAAACCTTGTTTATGGTGCTAGGTCTCCAGCCCCTGCTGCAGGGAAGAGGGCTTCCCTCTTTGTAAGACAAAGCCGCCGTATGTCAGCTCTCCTGACTTACCCTGTCTCTGCTTCACACTTCCTCCGACTTTCAGCAGCACCGGAGGCAGCTGGCGCCCGCGCCCTCGCGCCCTCACGCCCTCCGGAGGCTCAGGAGGGACTCACGGGAGATGAAGTCCCTCGGCCCCTGAACAACTTCAAATTATCAACTGCGGTAATTTCGCAGGACTATTCCAATATGGAACTACAACGGGAGGAACGACGTCTTCTAGTTAAACAGCTGACCTGCTTCTTGAGTCTGAATGGGCTGACTGCAGAATCCCGGTACCGGGGCGCCGGAGCAGCAAAACGAGAAGTTACACTTGCCCTCAGCCTCAACTCTTTTACCCTTAAACTTGCATTTCCATCATGTTGACCTGAAACACTCACGTCCCCTCTTCAAAGCGAGTTCTCCTTACGGCGCCGAGGCCAGGCCACCCGAACGGCCCTGGACCGCCCGGAGGCAACGGGGGCAGCCGCGGGGGCCCCTCCTCACATCAGCACAGCGGGAGCCGCTCGTGTCCCCCAAACTAAAACGAAGTTCATCGCCTTAACCATGACACTTTAAACACTCTACCTGAAGAGCAACAACTGTCCAGGTCAGTCGGTTATATCCCTGAAAAAATCCATTCTTTGATACCAGGTCTCCATCATAAACGTACACACCCATCAGTCCAAACATGCTCCCAAAGAAACCTAAAAAACGGAAAGCTTACGTCAGATTGGCAGAGAGATCTGTCCACTGACGTACCAAGTAATTTTATATTTTTCTTTTTTGATAAATGTAGCTACTTAGAAAATTTTCTAGTTGGATATTCATATACATTTAACAAAAGTATACTTGGTACTATGAGTATAAGCAAAGACATGAGACTGTAAAAGTAACAGAGGTTACCAATCTTAGAGCATAAAAAATATAATGCATGAATTACATGACACATGGCTGGCCCACTCAAACATCTGTCAAAATGCATCTTGTATCTTCCTATTGCTAGATAACAGGTTTTCATATGTTCACATACACACCTGTTTTTGAAATTTCAAGTTACTATAATTGATTTATGTATCCTTCCAGAACTTTGAGCCAGCTTACCATTAGACTGTGCTATGAGGTCAAATCAGTGAACAAGAAATCCATGAAATACCACACAATCATCAATCCTGAACTGACTTTTATGTTTATTTTATAACTGAAGGAAATTTTGGGCAATTCACACAAACCTTGAATATTTTTTCCTTTTCTGATACTTATAGCTGACACATCAGTGCTTACTATATGCAAGGCATTTCCCCTCAATAATTTACATGTGTTATCTCATTTAATTCTCATTAACATATAAAGCACTATAACTGAGTACATTTTACAGGTGAGGGAATATAAGTTATCTGCAGTGTCCTCTGGGAAAACATCGCAACCAAGGATCAAGTTTTTAAGGCCCCAAATGGTGAGAGCAGAAACATGCTTTGTGTCAGAGACTTAAAATTCCACATTCTTGACTAAAAGGTATTCATTTAAAATACAAAATGTTTAAAAAGCCAAAACCTTGCCAGATACTTGGCCCAATAGCCCATTTCATGAAAGGCTTATTTATTTAAGGATATGTAGCAATCCTTAGCTATAACGATATGATCGCTTTAAAAAACATCAGAAGGCATTGGAAACTCACCCAGCTGAATGTTTCTTATCCACACCGACTGCTTGGTTTCTTTGAGGATTTTCTCGAAGTACACCCCGGCGAAGCCGCTGGAGACGCAGGCTATGAGCACCGCCATGAGGCCCACGAACTGCGAGCCCGCCGACAGCTCCCTCGCGTCCGGCTCCTGCGAGTCCGAGGGCCACTGGGCAGAGAGAAAACCGCATGAAGCCCGAGAGGGAAGGGACCGCCGCGCAGCGGCGCCAAGCAGCCGCCGGGCACTGCGGGGCCGCGGCCGGAGCGGGGCGCGCGGAGGCAGCTGCTCGGGCGGGTGCCGTGGGCCCTGCTGGCCCCGCGGGCTCAGGGCGACGATCCTGAAGCCGGTTACCTGCTGGCCACCGCCAGGCCCTTTGTCAAGCCCGTGCTCCACCTGAACCATTCATTGCTTGATATTTTAATTTAAAATGTCTGTCCTACTTTAACACTTACTTTAGTCTATCCTAAGTAACACCTATCAAAGTATGGGTGTGCTGTGCCAGTTATATTTTTCTAATGCCCGTTTAAAATAAATATGGAAAGTATGCATTCGAGACACGCATTCGCTACACTCGGGAAAGTGACGGGCGGGGACTCTGAACGGCAGGGAGCTGGCTCGGCTGGCTTTGTCTCGCGACAGACCACAGTGCGGACGACTAGAGGCTGAATTTGGGGGACAAGTCGGGCCTAAGGACAAGGAAACCAGCGAGGAGGCCCAAGGCCCCATGAGGAACCAGGCAGGCCGTGCAGGGCGCGGGCTGCGCAGACACGCAGGGCACCGTGTGGAGGAGGCTGGGCCCCCGGCTGCCGGGAAACCGGTGGGCCCGGCGAGCGGAGTGTCGGAGGCCCACGGCCGGGCCCAGCAAAGGCGTCCGCCCAGAGGGCGTCCGGAACACACACGTGCAACCCCAGCGGGGACGGGGCTGTGGCCGCGGACCGGGGCACCCCAGCCTGTATGTGTCAGCCAAGACCCCCAGGATGGGCAGCAGGGCCACCCATTGGGACAAGACTTAAGAAACAAGCCTGCCGGGGACCCAGGGTCTACAGGCGTGTGAGGCGGAGGCCCCCGGGGCAGAGACCGGTAAGGAACCGTTAGGAAGAAGCGAGAAGTGCCACATCCTTCCAGGGAAGAACGGCCCGCAGAGCCTGGATGGCTGGACACACCAGCGGCGCCGTCCACGCAGGCCCCGCCTCCTCCCTGCCCCGGGGCTCGTTTCTTCGTGTCGGACGCTGCATGCGTCACAGCCCCTGGTGTGTCTTGCTCAAGGGAAGCCCTCAAAAAATACCTCGGCCGCGAGAACAGCGTTCATTTGCTCTGACAGACCGCGGAACGACACTGTCCCTGCACTGCGGGGATGGCGCTGAAGCCAGGACAGAGCGGAGGGCACACTTATCAGGAATAGTTACCTGTACAAAGGCAACGCCGGCCATCAGAATGACCAGGGAGAGCCACTGGTACACACCGAGTTTTTTACTGAGCATAGACACAGAAAATAGTGCCGTCGTCAGAATTTTCAGCTGATACGTGACCTGGAAAAGGAAACAGCTACAGTCACGAACGACTGTTGGTCTGCTTCTTAAAAGGACGGTTAGAAATGAATTTCCAGTACCTGATAGGTAGCTGCGTCCAGGTTGGACAGTGCCACGTAGAGTAAGTTATTCTGCAGAGTATATATCCCTGATGGAATGGCAAGTTTAAGCGTTTCCATAGGCTTATTAAGAATTTCATCATGTAGTATTCGATTCAGTGCTCTTAGACTACATTCTAGAAAAGACACGAAACAGGCAAATTCAGTCGTTAAGTAACTGAGTAAGTGACATACCCTCTTTCAAGGCTTCCATTTTCTCACCTGTAAAAAAAAGGAATTGGGCTACATGTTAAGATACTTTAGGTCTAAATTATACCTTTAATAATGCTAATTTTTCAAATGTTCAATATCGTAAGTTAGCATATTAAGACCAGCACTATCCTTACATTCAGTCATTGGGAAATACAAGTTAATTGTATAGACATATTTACACACATATATGCAATATGTGCTTACGGTAACCAAAAGCTCACAGCATTAACTTGTCAACCAAGTATTCTTACTTCAACACAGCGACATTATAAACACTTGTATTCTGTGCATTCCATTTTATCACTGGCCACCCGTGTCCCTGGGTCAGTGTGAGGACTTTGATCACGGGTAAGTCAGCCAGGGAGTACGTTTGGCCACACACGACGGAAAACCCAACCAACAACGGCTCAACGCATAGCGATCGGTCTCTCAGCCTGTGGCTTGTCTTCTCACTTGGTTTGATATACGAATGTTTTTCATTTTAATGTATGCAGAGTTATCTATTTTCTTCCTCATTTTTGGAAATCTTGTTTGAAATCATTCACAGTACCAAGGTCATAAAGTTTTGTTTTTTAAATGTCAATTTTTTTTTTTTTTTTGGCCACACACACTTGTATATTAGTTCTCTCTCTTTTTTTAATCCTCACAGGAGGACATGTTCATTGATTTTAGAGAGAGAGGAAGAAGAGAGAGAGAAACAACAATGCGAGAAACATGGGTCAGTCACCTGCCACACCCGCCCCACCAGGGGACTGAACCCACAACCTTTCAGTGTACAGGACAATGTTGCAACCATCTGAGCCCGCCCGGCCAGGGCCGCTCTTTTTTCAACATTCATTATTGTTTTGTATTAGTTGCACAGGATAGACAGTCATGTACTTTACCAAGTGTTCCCCTGCTATTCCTAGTCCCCCCGGCACCACACATCCTGTGGCAACGTGGTTGGCAACATCCCGTGCTGCCCTGTACACCCTGCAACTCTTCTGTGACCGTCAATTTGTGCTTCTCGGTCCCTCCTCCTCTTTCACCCAGTCGCCCAACCCCCTCCCTCCGGCAACTGCCAGTCCGCTCCTTGTGTATCAGAGTGTTTCAGTTTTGTTTGTCCATTTAGTTCGTTCTTTAGATTCCACATACGTTAAATCATGTGGTATTTGTCTTTCTCTGACTGACATATTTCACTGAGCACAATACCCTCTAGGTCCATCCATGCTGTGCAAATGGAAAGCGTGAATTCTTTTTTAAAGCTGAGTAATAGTCCATCATGTATGTGTACTACCGCCTTTTTATCTACTCATCTATTGACAGGCACTCGGGCTGCTTCCATAGTTTGGCTATTTATGGTAAATAACACTGCAATGAACATAGGGGTGTATATATTCTTTTCAAATAGTGTTTTGGGTTTCTTTGGATAAATATCCAGGAGTGGGATCGCTGGATCAAAAGGCAGTTCCATTTTTAACTTTTCGAGGACCCTCCATACTGGTCTCCATGGTGGCTCCATGTCTGTACTCCCTCCCACCGAGCACGAGGGTTCCCCTTTCTCCTCATCCTCACTGGCACTTGCTGTTTGTTGATTTATTTCCATGGCCATTCTGAGAGGTGTGAGGTGGTACGTCATGGTGGTTTTAATTTGCATTTCTCTGATGATTAGTGAACGCTGAGCATCTTTTCAAATGTCTGTTGGCCATCTGCATGGCCTCTTTGGAGAAGTGCCTATTCAGGTCCTCTGCCCATTTTAAAGTTGGATTGTTTGTTTTCTTGGTATTGAATTGTGTGAGTTCTTTGTAAGTTTTGGGCATTAACCCCTTATGAAATGTATCATTGGCAAATATCTTCTCCCTACTTAATATGATTTCAGTCTTCCTAAATTGATTGAGACTTGTTTGGTGGGCTAACATGTGATCTATCCTGGAAAATGTTCCATGTACACTTGAAAAGAATGTATATTCTTCTGCTTTGGGGTGAAATACTCTGAAGACATTAAGTACACCCATCTGATCTAATGTGTCATTTAAGGCCACTGTTTCCCTGTTTTTTGTCTGAAATATCAATCCATTGATATCAAAGGGGTGCTAAAATCCTATACTATGACTATTACTATCGGTCTCTTTCTTTGTCTATCAGTATTTGCATTATATACTGTGTTGAGGTGCTCCTGCGTCGGAAACATAAATGTTGACAAGGGTTCTGTCCTCTTGTTGGATTGATCCCTTTATCATTATGGAATGTCCTTCTTTGTTTCTTATTATAGCCTTTGTTTTAGTCTACATTGTCTGACATACGTATTGCTACCCCAGCTTTTTTTCATTTCTATTTGCATGAGGTATCTTTTCCCATCCCTTTACTTTCAGTCTGTGTGGGCCTTTTCATCTGAGGTGGGTCTCTTGTGGGCAGCATTTATATGGGCCTTGTTTTCCTAACCATTCAGATACCCAGTGTCTTCTGATTGGAGCATTTAATCCGTTGACATTAAGTGTTGATATTTAACCCACCTGGAATTTACTTTTGTGGATGGTCTTTCCATTTGTGTGCTGCTTCACTGAAAGTTGGTTTTTCAGTGCATAATCCCAACGACTCATTCAAGGATATCTTTGGCCCTGTGATGCTAAACGAGTAGATACCTCCATTTACCTGGACTTGAGCAGCAAAGACACTAATTTCTCTGTGTTACATATTCCTGGGTTCTTTTTTTTACTATCTTGCGGGCGACTCCTTCAGTCTTCCTTTGTTGATTCCTCCTTCTCAATCTGGCCTCTAAATGTTGGGAAGGCTATAAAACGTAGTCTTCAACCTTCTTCTTACAAGCACAAAAAATAATCTTTTAAAAAAGTAACAAGTGCTGAGGAGGATGTAGGAAAACGGGAACTCTTGCACCGTGCTGGTGGGGATGCGAGACGGTGCTGCGGCTGTGCACGAAGTCCGGGGCTTCCTCAGGAACTTACACACAGTTACCCGGCGGCAATCCCGCCCCACAGTGTACACGCAGAGGCAGTGGAAGGAGGGACTTGAGCAGAGCCCTGTACGTCCACTGCAGCATTTTTTGTTGTTCTTTGCAGCCCTTGTCACAGCAGCCAAAAGTTCTAAACAGCCCAAGTGCCCATCAGTACACGAGTGGATAGAACATTATGTACATAGACACTCACACATATCATACAGTAGAAGAGTGCTTAGTCACAGGAAGGAACAAAGTTCTGATACATGTTACCACATGGATAAACCTTGAAACCTATGCTAAGTTAAGTAAGTCACACATTAAAGGAGAAGCAGAAATAGGTAAAACAGGCCAATTCATAGGGACAGGAAGTAGCTCCGGTTTCCGAGAGCTGGGAATAGAGGAAATAGGGGTGTCTGTCCCCTGCTCTGTGGTTCCTGCTTGGGCTGACGAGGGTTTCAGACGTTTCGGTGGCAGCTGCATAACTTGGTGAACACAGTGCCACTGGTCTGCACAGGTACAAATGGCTAAAGCTGCACATTTTATGTGTGTATATATATGTATGCACATGTATATAACTTCAAAAAATAAAGCAATATACTAAGAAATCATTAAATTGTACACTTTAAAATCAGTGAATTGGCCCTGAGCAGTGTGGTTCACTTGGCTGAGCATCATCCCACAGAGCGAAAGGTCACCGATTGGATTCCAGGTCGGGCACATGCCTCAGTTGTGGGTCTGGTCCCTAGTCAGGGCGTGTACGAGAAGCAACCGATTGACGTTTCTCTCTCACACTGACATCTCTCTCCCTCTATTTCTCCCTCCCTTCTCCTCTCTCTAAAAATAAGTAACTAAAATCAAATCAGTGAGTTATATGGTACCTAAATTATATCTCAATAAAGCTGTTTTAAAAAAACAAAACAAACAATCACTGCTGGACTAATTAATACAGCAAATAAAAGGCTTTGAATTGAGTAAAAAATTTTGATTCCTCTAAATTTCTGACAATCACCGATTTACAGAATTTGCTCTTATTCTCCAAGCACTATAAATATAAGAAACTGGGAGACATGAATATGATATAGGTTAGAACAAAATGCCTTTATTATTACACTAAAACTGTCCTAATACAATGAAAAGTACTGAAATGTTCGTAATACTCGGGCATTAGCTAACGCAGTAGTGTTCAAATGTGCAGTTAACAACATAGAGCTACATGTAGGCTATAGATAAAGAACACCAAACAGTTAAGGAAGTTTCAGCGACTTAAACACAAGAGCCTAGGTACCTACTGTTGTCTTTGTAGACTAACAAAACGCAGGCCATTATCTTCAAGAGCTCAGCGACCACCACTGCGGTGGAGGAGAGGTAGCGAGGCCCCTCCTCTTTCAAAGTCCTGGAATAGCGCATCGTTAGAACCAGACTGGTCGTCTGAAAGACCAAAATCCCCAAGGACAGGTATTTTAGGTTGGCAGACATCGCTTTATCTGCATCTGCCTGAAAAACAAAATGAATAGGGCAAATAAACAAAATTAGAAAACACAGAGGCGGGCACATTAAAGCCAGCAAGTGACGCCAGGTCCCGGACCGGAGGAGGGCGGCCGGACCAGCCCGCCCTTCCTGCTCTGGCCCAAGCACAAAGGCGGCCCTCGGCAACGAGAACTCTGAAAGGTGAGGAAAACAGGCAAACCTGGCTCGTGACCAGGACCTTGAGCGATGACCCAGCATGAACTCCCTGGAGATTTTTTTGCCACCTGTGTGTCTGCCCTTGGTGCTACAGCAGCTTACAGCCCGGAACCACCAACAGGGGCAGGTCAGCAGCAGAAAAGCCCTGAGAGGAGCCCGTGTCCCCGGCCAGAGGAGCCCGTGTCCCTGGCCAGAGGAGCCCGTGTCCCCGGCCAGAGGAGCAACCCGAGGCAGCGGCCCTGCAGGACGCAACCTCCCACCTGGGTGCCTGTAACCTGCCTGCCGTCCCCACCCTGCACTAAGGACAGCAGGCGGCCGCCTGCCCCACCCACCAGGAGCTGCCGCCACAAAGGCAGGGGCAGAGCCCCGTGGCCTGCAAGGGGAATGCCCGCAGGAGGCAGAGCCCGCCTCCCCCGGCAGGGGCTGCCTGCTGATACAGAGGAGTAGCTAAGAACCGAGGGCGCGGGCCCAAGCCCAATGCCCAGGATACAGTCCAGAAATGAGGGTGCTCACCACTCCAAAGAGCAGGGAAACACCGCAACGAGGATGAGCGAGGACAGCCAACAGACGATAATGGAGCTGACACAGATGTCGGGGTTACCTGACAGGAGCTGCCATAGAAATGCCCCAACGCAGGGAACGGTAAACACTCCTGAAATAATTAGACTCACTCACACAGAAGATGAAAAATAGTTCAGGAGTTCTTTACCCATCCTCACACTACACGTGAACATTTGGGATCCTTTTCTTTTCCTTTTATAAGTTAAAGCAGTTTAAAAAAATGTTCCAATTTCCTCAAATTTTTCAACTGGCTAAGTAGTACATAAGCCAAGAATATTTTAAGCTATTTTTGTAAAATTTAATATTTTATGATTTCTCAAGTCTCTTCCAGTTCTCTCTCTCTCACACACACACACACACAATTCTATTAATCTAATTTCAATATTCTAGAAGTTTTGTCTGGATTTTTAAATTGTAAACTTTGAGTGTGTGTATATATACATACACACAAATATATATAGTCATGTATAACATGTAATAATGAACTACTATATTAGTGTTCTGTACTAATAGACTAGTGAACTAGGATATTAGTATAATGAATTACTGTATTAGAATAATTACTGGATTAAAATAATCTCATTTTAATCTTTGGCAGGTTTGTATCCTAAACCCACTGATTTTATGTATTTGTAAAGATTTTATTTTTTTATTTTTAGAGCGAGGTGAAGGGAGGGAAGAGAGGGAGAGAAACATCAGTGTGTGGTTGCCTGGCACACGCCTCCTACTGGGCACCTGGCCCGCAACCCAGGCACATGCCCCCACTGGGAGCTGAACTGCCGACCTTTGGGATCACAGGTGAGCACTCAGCCCCCTGAGCCGCACCAGCCAGGGCCAATCCCCTGATTTTACAAGCAGTCACATTGCTAGGACTTCTAAAAGTCCTATTAAAAGAATATTACATAAAAGAAATATTACAAGGTTTGGTAGTCACTCTAATGGATCTTGTATTTGCTTTCCAATCACTCTTTTTCCTCTGGGTACTTAGATGAATTTGATATTTATAAAGTCAGTTTATTATTTTTAAATCCCTTCTCACCTCTGTGGGGAGAAAAGTACAACAATACTTCCTTCATCTAAGCTTCATTCGTTGGGATTTGATGAGCATGGATAATAATAGCTTGATTAGAATTTATATTTGCATTTGGTACCAGAAATATCGGTAAGCTTCTTTAGAATTTAAAGACGTTCTCAGTAACTGTTTAATAGTCATTTAAGAAAGAAGGTTTTACAAACACGTGAGGAGGCGTATTTTCGGTCCCCTCGGCGTGTTCGTCCCATGTCCCCCATTTTCACTGATGGAGCTGCCAGTGCGGCGCCAGCCGGTCCGCCCACACTGAGCACCGCACTGTCTGAGCACCGCACTGGCTCCCGCGGCCGAACGCTCCACTCCACGTGAAGTGCGTGCGTCAGCGACGCACACGGTGCGGACCGCCGCGCCCCCGCCAGTCAGGGGGAGTGAGAGACTCGTGGGTCATGCCATCGTTAACTGCGCTGCGGAGGCATCCGCTAAGTTGCGAACCTTCCAAACACCACACACTAATAATTTCTGTGCATCTTTTCAAACACAGAGAGGTCCTTGGAGGGAAATCTGAAAGTCCGTCTGGTTACAGTCTTGCGCCTTAGCCACGTGTCTCATCCTTGGGTCTGTGTATGAGGCTCATCATTCTACGGAGACAAAATCTGCATTTTGCTGATACATGTCTCCAGCCACTAGAAGTCCTAAAAAACTAAATGTTTAGACAGTGTTTTACAATGACAATAAAATGGATACAGATTTTTATAGATGACCAAGTACCTAAGAAATTCTGCAAATCAATTTTCTTTCCATTATAAAAGGCTAAATTTCTACCTTATCACTTTTAAAGTGAGCGATAGTTACATCTTCTAAACTCTGGTCCTGAAACACACTCCCAGAGGACAATATAATAATCTAGGAGAGTACCTACGAAAACACACAAGTCACTGTATAGTGCTGTGCAAATGCAGGCTCTCATTCTACACTAGCCAGAACAGCACGGGTGTAAGCGCACAGAGGACAACGCACACGGGGCTGCCACGCCCTCGGCTGCGAGTCTTTGTCCATTGTCTCCACGATGCCAAATCCTTAAAACTGCAGCCTGGGGCTGTATGCACAACAATGACAAAGTTCATCACGCCAGCTTTCCTTCTTTTCACACGACCTCAAAAGCAGGCAGAGTATTCTCAAAAAGTAGTAAGCATGTGTTGTAGTTGAAATCCATAATAATCTTGTGGAAAATCAAAAAAACTTATTTTTTTTTATAAAAGTGAAATAAATGAGCCAAAGGTAATTCACACTATTAGTATATTCAGTTTTCTTTCTATGACAGAAATGATGACTTCCACTCAATTAGTTCCACTCTTGCGTGCTTAAAGTACAATCCTGCTCAATAATACAACACACTCATCTTTACCATTTCCGGTTCCTGTTACAGCCTAAATTAGATAGCTTTTTATTGTTTCTCCTTCCCTTTCTTCCTCCAGGTGTCAGGTGACTATTTATATAAGATAATGTCAACTTTCTTTAAGTTAATTTTTACCTTGGTCTTTCACAGCCTGTGGAATTTCCATTGCTACATTCAGGTAAAATAAATATTTCTTCAACTATATAAATATAAAACTTATTTACATTTTAATTTTTCAATTAAAAACTGTTCAGTATTGACGTTCTCTTCTCATAAAGTCAGGGATTTGGAAGATACCGCAGCGGATGTGCGGTGCCATGTGAAAGGCGCGCCTCCCCCCCTCCCCCGCCCCCCGCCCCGCCCGGCGCTCGCCTTCCCTACTCCTTCCTTCTATGGGCCTTTCCTGCCACGTGCCGTCCAAGGCAGAGAGCAATTCCACGTATCCTACAAAGAACAGACACTAGTGTAGAAGCTGGTAGGGTCCACGAGCACTAACCATTAGGAGAGGTTCAAGGCTAAGGAGGTTGGTGGCAGATGTGAAAAATGAAGGTATCACAATCACACAACTTGACATCAATGCTTAACACGCACTCACTATGGCCAGGCACTGTGATGCACACTGGGTACACACGATGAACAGGACAGAGTGCTTCTTCATGGAGCTTATCCTCTACCATGGGAGACATACGCTGCTCAAACAATTCAGGAAATAGTCTGACCCTGGCTGGTGGCTCAGTGGGTTGGAGCGTTGTCCCACATGCCAAAAGGTTGCAGGTTCAATCCCTCGTCAGGGCATGTACCTAGGCTGCGGGCTTGATCCCTGCTAGGGGTGTATATAGGAGGCAACTGATCGATGTTTCTCTCTCTCTCCTCTCTCTGAAATCAAATACATCCTGGGGTGATATTTAAAAGAAATAGAAAAATAGAAAAATATCCCAGGGAAGTGTGGTACCTTGTATTAAATTATGTCAACTTGTTGAAACTCAAACCTTTTCCCCAAATCCAGGAGACACTGGTGGTTTGTCTGCCAAGGGAAGCACTGCATAAATTATCACCTGTAATTAAGGTTGATCAAGCGGATGCCACCACAAACGTCTTATTGGAAATCAGCATGTAGTGGCATTCATGGGTTGCTTCTAGGTCAGCTAGAAAACTTGGAGGAAGAAACAATGAGCTTCAGGCTCACAGTCCAAGTAAAGAGTTAGAAAGCTCCCATGCCTGCCCTAAAACATCTTCGTGTCTCCTTTAGCTGCAAAGTCAACGTTTCTGAAAACCAAGCCCAAAGATCCGGTGTTAGGATCTTTGATCCTGTGTTAGGCTGAAAGAAAAAGCAAATTGAGTTTACAACTTACAAGGTTGTAGGACACTGTATTCTCTATTTTTACAGCCTCCATATCCTGGGACATGACCCGATATAAAATATGTACGCTTGAGGATTGTTTGTAGGCTGAATAATGTCCCCTCCCCCCAAATACTAGGTTGTAAGCCCTGGAACCTACATGTTACTTTATTTGGAAACGGGGATTTTGCAGATGAAATTAAAGATCTTGAGATAGGAAGAGTATCATGGATTAGCTAAGAAAGAATTTATGCCAATGGGTCCTCATGAGAGACACAAGAGGGAAATACAGACCCACAAGCGGAGAAGGCACTGAGGAGACCAGGAGACTTATCTGAAGCGGCCGGCCTTGCCACGCGCCGTCCACCCAGGCAGGGGTGGCAGCGCCGGAGGCTGGAGGAGGAACGAGAGGACCACCCCCAGCCTCCGGAGGAAGTGCGGCCCGCGGACTCTTTGAGATCAGCCCAGAGGTATTAATTCGAGTTTCTGGACTCCCAAACGGTGAGAGAACACTTAGGATATACTTGCTTTGCAGAGGGTTGAAATCTAATGTTAAGCTACCACTTCATATGCATCTTAAGTATATATGTATATACATTTCTCATTTTCTCTTGTTAACCTGTCTTTTATGATGGGGTTTCAGCTAAGAACTCCGAAGAGTAGAGGGAAAATTATTTTCCCTCCCCTATGGGGGGAGAACAACTATAGTACCTCAAAAATTTATTACTAGGCTCAAATGAGGTACTAAAACATGGAACAGAAAAAGCACTTTCAAATATGAGATTATTCATAAAAGTCTGAAGTCAGGTTACTCTATAACACAGGCATCATCTTTGCTTCCAGGAGCACTATAAGAATTTGTTTTATGATTTACTGTACCAATTATTTATTAACAGTCTAATATATGTTAACACTGTGCTCAAGTACTGAAATGCTAAACCAATTTAAAAGATAACAATAACTTCTTTTAAAAAGCTTACATTCTAGTAGGGATAAATTCCTCAAATAACCACAGTAAAATGCAAATTTAACAAGTAAAACAAGATTTCTAAAGCTCAACACACAAGAGAAAAAGAATGTTCTGGACTAATGGTAAACTTCAGAAAGCTCCAGAAGGAGGAGGTGGCATTTAAGGTCTTAAAGAATAAGTAGAATTTCTAGAAGGGCCATAAGAAAGGCCTTCCTTGTAGGAAGGATGTAAGCAAAGACCAGGGCAGGCAGGCATAGCGCACATGTCAGAAATCACATTTCAAAGTAACTCTCCAGTTTGGCTAAAAATTAGGCTATGCGAGATAAAACAATTTAAAAAACAAAAAAGAAAGCAAGCGACATACTGATCTGACTGGAAGCAGGGACAGCTCCCAGTTTGGAAGGGCTTTGAATGCCGCCCTAAATAATTAGCATTTATTCTGGCGCCAGTAGTCACTGAGTATTTCTGAGGAAACAGCGACCAAAGAAAGCCTAAGACGTCCGGCTTTCAGAAGCAATGGGAGGAGGGGAGACTGGCAGGGGACCAGCCGAGGGCAGCAAGTCTAGCCTGTAAGCCACTGCTCTTGCGCAGGTAAGAGAGACGGGCCGGACTTAGCCTAGACGTGGTGGGGATGAGGAACAGAAGAACTAAACTTGAGACGCATAAGTAGAACCAAGACTCGGGAGGAAAATAAGGGCTGGAAATTTAGAAGTCATTCCCTTAAAAGGAAACCACCAGAGCTTACCCGTGAAAGTGAGTGAGGGCACCGAGGGGGAAGCTACCCAACTTCATCTGTATCCAAAACAAAACACTCTTGTTCCACTTTTAAATACAGCAGGTAATAGAACATAACAAAATAGTCTTCTCCTATAAAGTAATACGCTGGAAGTGTCTTACTAAGCAAGGCCTCTTGCTACATTTAACAGTGCGCTTTCATTCATTTATCCGACGTCCCGGAGCGGTGCAGAAGAAGTATGTTAGTTAAAATCCTGCCTCCCCCGACAGAGACGCGCGCGCGGTTCCCACGGGGATCCCACCCGGGCGGGCATCCCACCGGGCCTCCGCACCGACCTTACCATGTCTAGCAGTCCCGCGGCGCCTGGAGCGCGGAGCACGGCCGGTGGACGGAGCCACTTGGGGGGGTCACGGCGGGTCGCCGAGGCCCGCCCCTCACCGCCCTCCCGCCAGGCGGCCAGGCGCGCACCGCATTTTCCCTCCGCCCGCCACACCCCTTTCCTCCGGCCCCTTTCCTCCTCTACCCAGCACATTCCACACGTCGTCCCGGGGCCTACGGCGGGTCACTCCCTCTGTTCCCACCCCCGCCGCGCTCGGGCTCCAGGTCCCCGGCGCTGTCCTGCGCCCGCGGGCAGAGCGCGCAGCCGCCGCGCGTGCCTCCGCCTCCCGGCCACTCACCTGCGGGGCAGCTCGGCCGGCTGCGCGCTCGGGCGGCGACGGCTCGGCTCCGTCGGGCGCCCGGGGCTGCTGTGCCCCCCGGGCCCCCCGCGTCCCCCGCGTCCCCCGGGTCCCCGGCCGCGCGGCGCCGTCCGCTCCCTCCGCCGCCTGCCCGGTGCGGCGCGGGCGTTTCCGGGTTCCCGCGGTCCTGTCCCCCAAACGCTCCGGCTGCCGCCGCGGCCCGCGCGACGCCGTTCCCGGCTCCGTTGTGGCGGCCCCGGCTCGGCTCTGGCCGGCTCCGTCCCGAAAGCGAAGCGGCCCCCAGTGCTGGCGTCAGCGTCGTGTCACCGCCGCCTGCCACCTGTGTCCTGTGGCGGAGGTGCCAGGGCGTTGCTTTACGAAAGGAAAGGCCGAGCCCTTGGGGTCAAAGGCCTTTCTTTTTTGCGGGGAGGCGGGTCCAGGAAGCAGACAACCGTCGGGCCTGTAAGGATGGCAGTCACCGACGCTGACCGCAAACATTTGCTCCGGTGCAGGCCGCCACCCCGCTGTCTGCTAGAAGGCGTGTCCAGGTGGTGGCCCAAACCAGCAGCCCTTCTCGCTTCCTTCCTCCCAGGGCTCTGAGCTCCTCTGCTCTCTGATAGCATCTTGGGGCAACCTGCGAATACCTAGGTAATTTACTTACTTCATTGTACTCCGATCTGTTTTATATCTACCCCCGCCCCCACCCCTCGCCCAACACTTTCCTCGAGATCAGCACTAGCCGCTTTATCTCTGGATCTCCAGCACCAGTGCTCAGCCTGCGGTATGAACTTAATACTCGTTTCCTGAGCTGAGCTGAACTGCTGGGTGACAATGTCCAAGCCAAGCACACAGTACAAGGGCTCACCAGAGAAGGGCAGCAGAGCCGGAATTGCAACTCCAGGCGTCCCAGCCCTTTCCAAGAAGCCAAGTCCGCATCCCAGGCCTGCAGCTTGAAGATGAGAAGAACCTAGAAAGGATTGTACCTTTGTGTAGTTTGCCCAAATCATCTCATTTACCCTTCACAACAGCCCCGTGAAGTAGGCATTGGTACCTGTATTTTCCAGAAGGAGGAACTGAGGCTTTCAGACAGGAAGTAGCTTCCTGAAGGGCTGGTATCTACTGAAGGGCAAGCCTGGGTCAACCCCTAATTTGTCTGCCGATAAAGTCCATGCTTTAAGACACCACGCTTGGCTGGCATAGGAAGGAAAATAATACAGAAACGGAAGGAACACAGCTTAGAAAAAAGGTGGCGGACAGCAAAAATAACAATATTTTTGCTATTTTTGCAAAAATAGGGACAAGAGGTATTAGTAAAAACAGAGCTGTCCACCCACGAAGGAGGAGAGAGAAACAGCAGCCTGAGGACATGGGGCCTTCAGATCTCAAAGTCCAAACCTTGTCACCCAGAAGACAGACAAATGAGAACAGGACAGCAGCCAAACAGGACCATATAGCTCAGCGGTAGCTATTTGGGATTGCCAGATAACATTTAAGACGTCTAGGTACATTGAAATTTCAAATAAAGAATAACTGCTTAGCATATGCAATATACTAACACTAAAGCATATACTTACATTTGCAATATACTTATATTAATATTCATTATTTGTCAGAAATTCAGATTTAACTGGGTAGCCTGGGTTTTTGTTTGCAAGATCTGGCAACGCTGTCGAAAGGGTGAATGCATTATAACATTGCACAATCAAAGGTTTTCCACGGTGCCCCAGAGAAATTAAGACCAAATCAAATTATGTTGGAACAGTTGATGCTGTTAGCATTATGCACACAAAATAACTGTCCCCAATCAGGATCTTCAGGCAGAGCCGTGGCTGGTGGCTTAGGGACTTCAGTGGCTTAAGGTTCAGTAAGAGCCAGAAGGGAAGGGGGTGGGGGAGGCAGGAGAGGGTGAAGGAGGGGTCAGGGGTCACGGACGGAGGCTTGGCTTGCGGTGGTGAACACGCAATACAATATGCAGGTGATATGTTATAAAATTGTACCCCTGAAACCTATATAATTTTATTAACCAATGTCACCCCAATAAATTCAATTTAAAAAGTCTCAGTAAAGAAAAAAAAAAGACAACAAATAGGAAAGAGTGGGGACTGTGGTGATATTTTAAAAAGATGTCTGTTCAAAACAGTGAAAATACACACAAAAAAGTCAGCGTTTAGAAAACTAAACCTCAGGTTTCCAGGTGCCACATGCGCTTTGTTGCGACACAATTGCAGCTCTTCAAACTATTGACTTGGAATCGCAGCGCATGAACGAGAAAAACAAGTTGGTTCCTTCAAGCTGCCCAATTAGTTGAATCTGGCCTGTTGTTAGTTGTTCAGGGCAAGGAAAGATTATCTGCTTGTCCATCATTTAGATTTAAGAGGAGTTCATTGAGGTCCTTTCCGTGACATCAGTAGCAGTCATGTGACCCTTTTGCTTTGACATGGATCTGTATTGCTTAACACTCTACACAACATCCACCTGACGGGTTTGAATGAACTTGCTTTTCATTCCCTCCATTTGCCAGAAGGGGCTTCTGAGAGGCTTTTCCTTTTCCATAGACTGACTTAGTCTTTGAGCCCGGGGGTCAGGGGGTGGTTTCGTGGGAGACAGCCCATCCGTTGCAGCTATAAACTCACAACCGGGGCGGTAGGGGGCGGGGGCGGGGGAGGGCGGGGATCTATCCTGGACAATTGCTGCGGCACGGAGCTCGCTCGCCGGGTCTGCTCAGAGCTGCAGTTGTTCCCCGACGCTCTGAGTCCCTGCTTGGCAGATGGACTTGGTGGCCTGGACATCAAGGAATTGGTTTTATCTCAGAGTCAAGGCAAATTGTAAATGGGAGTTGGGGGGTTCCCGTTTACCTGCTACAGTTACCTGACAAAGTCCCCGCAGGTTCCTTTGTGGGCGACTAGGGGAAAGGTGTGCAGTATGTGCTTGTGCTATCAGAGGCTGGTCAGGGGCCTCTTAAGTCTGGGAATGGGTGACAGGTTGCACGTGATTCCAGTGACATCGGGCCTCTGGCCACCGGTGGTGCTACGGTACATTTGAACAGTTCACATGCAGCCGGATTATGCTGCTTACCAAGTGTTTGCCACTCTCTGCCTTCAGGGCACATGGTGGGTTGTACTTCCTGGCTCTTCTGTAGTTGAGTGGGACCACATGAGTTCCGGCCAATCAGCAGTGCGAAGGTTATGGGTGTCATTCCGGGTCATAGCACTGAATCGCCCCTGTGTGAGCCTGTGCGACTCTTTCTCTCTGTTTCTGAGCTTGGCAATCTCTTGATCATGGCGGCTCTGTCAGCCTGTGTCCTGGAGTGAGGAGAAGCAAAGCGAAGGCCACGGTGACCTGCGGGAGACGTACCGCACAACCAAGAAATAAACCTTTGTTTTTCCACGTCATTAAGATTTTGACAAAAACCCAACATATATCGATAAATACAGAAAGTGATGGCCAGCGACGGGGCGTGTTTTAACAACAACCTGACTTTGGTGGCATTGGCTTCAGGGTAAAGTAAGCTGATTGTAGAAGTTGGAATAATGGTAAACTCTGTTACACACTGGAAAAATTTGATAAAACTGTCACCTACAATAACTTGGAAGTTAAGTAAGGAACCTAGTATGCTTGTAGCCAGGAGGAGACTAGAAAACAAATGTTCAAAAGCCTTGCTCCCCCACCAAGCTCGATGGGTACAAGCTACCTCGAATTATGTAGAGAGGTAAATGGAGATGTGTCAAGGAAAGCACCATGGGTATGGCTATTGGCAAATGAAGCTCACCGGCATCACACCAGTAAGAAGCCAGGTTTGTTCTAGCAAAGAAGCCAAGAGCCCGGACGGGACTTGAAATGCCTTTTTGGCCTCCAGCCTTCTACGGGCGGGAACTGAGTTCAGGCACCGCTCAGCCTCCAAAGGACACACGTCCTCCATGCCCTCTTCAGACATAGCCAAGGAAAAGAATAAAAAAGGGAGGACCCTCCCCGAGGAGGTCAAGTCAGGGGAAACAGAGCTCAGTGAACCCAGCAGCCCCTCGCAGAGAGCGGAATTAGCATCTAATTCAGGAAACACGAGTCCTAGTTTCTGCTGCGAAGGTGGCGGGACTTCAACATTGCTCCACGGACCAGCGTCAGCTGTGTATTTCCATTCATCCTCCGCCCCTATGTTTGTTTTTTCTCAGTGGCTTTCCACCCCCCGCCCCAGTCTAATATCTGTTGTTTATGAATTTGCCTTTAGTAGATATTTCAAAAAGTGGTATCGTGCAATACGTGTCCTGTAGTATTTGGTCTATTTCACTTAGCATAACGTTCTCAAGGTTCATCCGTGATGTAGTGCATATCGGAACTTCATTCTTTTTTGTTCAGTTCATCCATCAAAAGACATATGGGCTGTTTCTACCTTCTGGCTATTGTGAAAAACACTGCCATCAACACTCATGTATGAGTCCCTGTTTGAGCCTCTTCTCAATTCTTCGGGGCGTGCGCCTGAGGAGTGGAATTGGTACGTTTAATTTCTGAGGACATGCCACAGCTTCCACAATGGCTGAAGCATTTGTCATTTCCACTGGCAAGGTGCCAGGCTTCTCATTCCTGCACATCCACTGCACCACTTAGTATTTTCTGACAGTAATTATAACCATTCTGCTAGGTGTGAATTGGTATCTCACTATGGTTTTGATTTGCATTTTCCTGATGACTCATGATTTTAAGCCTCTTGTTTTGGAGTTATTGAACATTGGTATATATTCTTTTTTTTTTAATGATACATAATTTTTTAAAATCATGTTTATTCTATTACAGTTGTCTCAATTTTCCCCCCATTGCCCTCCTCCACTCATTTCCCCCGCCCCCCGCTCCCACAGTCAATTCCCACTCTGTTGTCCATGTCCATGGGTCATTCATACGTGTTCTTTGTCTAGTCCCTTCCCCTTCTTTCCACCATTGTCCTCCTTCCCCATCCCCCCTGGTCACTTTCAGTCTGTTCCATGTTTCCATGCCTGTGGTTTATTTTGTTCATTAGTATATTTTGTTGAATAGGTTCCTCTTATAGGTGAGATCATATGGATTTGTCTTTCACTGACTTGGCTTATTTCACTTAGCATAATATTCTCCAGTTCCATCCATGTGTCACAAAAGGTAGGAGTTCCTTCTTTCTTTTTTTGAAAAATGCAGATTGATTTTATTTTTTTTGGCATGTCAAAATCCATTATAAAATATTAATAAATTTATATCCATTATAAAGTCTCAGCAATTAAAACATGATACCAGCACAGAAATAATCAGGTAGATCAATGAAATAAAATGAGCACTCTAGG